AGTAAAATAGTAAATATACACAACTAGTGGCCGTATAACTAACTCAAACACGCATCCGCACACACGCCCCCTTTCCTCTACTTTTTCACCTTTCGGCATCATCGCATCTGTGTGTGCGTAAGCGGCGCTTAATATAGTCATTTTTTTACATAGCTTGTTAATGCACGGAATTAAATTGTTAGCGTTAGGATAACTTTTTGACTTAAACATTGAATTATCAAACAGATTAAAGGCTGTGCAGTTAGTTCCATTGTTCCGAAATATCTCCTTACAACGTTAGCGGATTGATACGATAATAAGCCATAAACTTTTGAAAACATGTGGATTATAAAATAAATATTATAATTAATCTTGTGGTGATCGTTGAATAAGGTACAGGTCAACCGTTGTTTCAAAATAAATAACCTTTTTCAGGGCATTATTATGTTTAATAAGTTGATGATTTTTCACAAAAAAGTTACATTACAGATTTGTAAGTCTCAGAATGAATGGAAACATTTAGAGTAAGGAGCCATATCTTACTAGAATGGCCCATTTTCCCAAGACTTAAGATATGGGAATCTTAAAAATTAACAGTTTCATTAATCTCCTTGAAGAAACGGCCAATATTTCCAATAGAAAATTCAAAACAACATCACAGAGACCATTGAGCTTAATAATAAACTAGAACAAATGATAAACTTATTTCTATCACTGCCCAAGTTATTCCATCCCTTTGGAAATTCACTTTCAACCGCAAAAATGTGCCGTGTTTGGATTTCCCTTTTCTCCGTTTATGCGGCCTTATTGAAAAATTAAACTTGTAATAAAATTTAATGACTTGGCGGTTTTTAATAAAAAGCACCAACGCCTTAACCAACAGAAGCGAGAGAAAATGCCCACAATTTAAGCGCAAATTTGTGTCCATAATCACAATTTTGGTACCTTTTTTCCATTGCTTTCGCCTGTGCGGTAATGACCACACAGAAAATGTGGGCTTGCCCTCGACCTCTAACTTGGCGCGGTGCGTGCAATAAAAAGTAACGAGGCTGTTAACATTAAGGCAAACGTTTGCCTTTCACTTCGGTCAAGAAGTCAGACGGAGGAGGCTGAAACAAAAAAAAATACCTACAGAGGACGCAGGGCCACGGCGACTGCGATGGCGACTCATCGAGGTTAAGTCGGGGCGTTAATATTTAAATTTATATTGCGGCCGGGCTCTGGTCACGGCAGACGCACGGCACGGTCCCGTTTGGCCATCAATTCTGCGTTTAATGCCTGCGCAAATATTTGCGCAATCAGCAAACAAAACAAACGCCGGCCAACCGCCGACTGTCGACTGTTTAAGCAAAGCAATTGACCGTTTCCCAGGACACTGGGATAAACCATACACCGGTACATATAGTAGAGGGAATCGGGATCGGGAATGCCGGGTAGCAGGGGGCTTGGCGTTGAAAGCGACACGGCCGCAACTTGTATTTCCTGTTGACCCGTGTTCGTGTGCGACGGAAAAGCGGAAGTCCTCGCAGGTGCAAAGCCCCCTTTTTTTTGTTGGCCTGTCTCGTGCTGTAAATATCTGTGTTAATCATTTAATTAAACTGCGCTCGCTGCGCATATTTTTCGGACATACATTTCGGTAATTTATGGCGTGATTTGGGTTTCGACAATTACTACTTCAATATGCTATCTTTATGGGCCATTACTGTATATTTACAACCGGGCGTATGCGCAATATTTTGCAAGCGAATAAAGCGTTGCATACTTTTTTGGGCATCTTTAATGCAGCACAACAAAATGGCGTTTTATTTGAAACGTAAAAATATAAATTAAATGCAATATTGCAAATTATGCATCAGGAAGTTATTATTATTATTTAAGATTATTTACGATTGATATTAGATTGATATCAGATATTAGAATACTGCAATGAAAATACATTTTGTGCATACCTATTAAGGTTCATTATTGCAACTCTAAAGTGCAAGGGAAAGTATGCACAAAATGATTTTCTTGGGAAGAAATCAAATGCACTATTTTGGGTATCTTTTATGCATTACAGCGACGTGCCGTTTTATTTAAATCTGAAATAAGAAAGTGACATCCCACCACCTCCCACGCGATTGCCAGAAGGAAAGAATGAAAGCCGTAAACATTCTTGCACTTTCGCAAGCAGCAGAGCCGTAAAAGTTTTCGGTAAACGCATTTCAAACACTCGCCGAGATAGTTATTACAACAGTGCACAAAGCGCCAACAACACAGGCATGCGTGTGGGTGGAAATGGGGTGAAAAGGGGGTGGAGTGAGCGGTAGATAGCAGCATCTGTGGGAAAAACTTGTATCATTTTCTTCAAATGAAATGCAGAACGAGCAGGGCCATCTTCCACTTCTCCGACAGCAGCACAAAGTAATATTTACAAAAGAATATTCTTTTAAGTTTACTTTTTTCTTCGGCATCACTACTTTGTAGCATAGTATAAGGCAGATAGAAGCCATTTTTGAAGTGCAGTTAGCGTTGATCGGTGTGTGGGTGTATGTGCACAGCGAGAAAATCTACTTAAATAGGATAATATTTTTAAAATTTATAATTTTTGTTCTTACTGACTTAGTTGGTAACATTTGTTGGTGCTATGTAACTCTTCAATTTAAATATGATAATACTTTTTTTCCCTTTTTTGTAATCATGAGATGGAGGTTTCCTTTATACCTGTTCACATTTTTTCATAAATACTTGTTTTACTCTTGTAAATAGTATAAAAAAAAGAAGGAAGTGTCTTACATTTTTTTTTTAAATTGGTATATTTTTGGTAAATATTGACGATAAAACTTGTGGTGCTTAAGAATTTTTGGGCTTGAAGAGATGGCAGGGAAAATGTTAAAGAAGAGGATTTATTAAAACTTCAACATGATTGCAAATATTGAAATTCTTGTGCCATATTAGGGGTATTTTTTCACTGTGTGGTAGTTTTTGGGTGGGAGGGTCGGTGATTTGGGAGGCGGATGTAGCCGAGCTTAGCGGAAGCCTGGCTGCAACTGTCGTTGTCGTTTTCGTTGTCGCTGTCACTGCTCACTCTCTATCTGCATCTCTGGTCCTGACCCCCTGACCCCCTGCCACCCCTTAAAACGCCGCCCCCCCTCCGAACTGAACTCAACATCCGCTGGACAATTGATGAACGCCTTTGTTGTTGTATGCAGAGTGGATTCCAGTTGAACTCCAGTGCCTGTCCTCGTCCAAGTTTCGAGCAAGTTCAGTTACCATTTGCCGTGTGGAAAACTTTGTGCAGTTGACAACCAGAGGGAAGTCGGGCCGAGGAGCTCAGCCATTTTTATCCTAAAGGTCCTGCGGATCGTCGCCTGATGTTTTTCGTTTCGTTTCGCGCCAGCAGCAAAAGTGCCGAGTTCAAAGTTTTGTTTACAAAGTTTTCAAATTTTTGTGGCACTGAGTTGAGTTTCCGCCGAAAGCACCCGCTATTCCCCTTTTCCCTTTCCCCTTCCCGTTCCCATTTTCCCATTTCCGGCTGCTGTTGATGATGTTGATACCGCTGTTCCGCCGCTCCCTGATTTTCTGCGGACTTTTCTGGGCAGCAGCTGGTCTTTGATTCGCAGTCATCCATCATTAGCCACAATTATGTGGCAGGTCTATTAAATTTCCATCAATTTGGCAAATGTACCAGTAACTAAATGATGCAGAAAATGCAATGGCAATGGGGTGTGGCACTTCAGCACTCGAGGAACCGACATGCAGACACATCCTGCGGCTCCTTCAAGTCGTCATTGCGCGTAAAATTATGTCAATGCTTGTCAACTTTTCCGTTGAGCCAAGTTGCCCGACAAGTGCACCCTGTAGTGTCTTTGAGAGTGCATTGAGTGAGCGACTGAAAGTTTTCTTTACCCCAGGCCCATTCCCCGTTCCCCGTTACCCTTTCTCCATTTTTCCGCTTTCATGTGTGTGGGTGCGTTATTGACTATGCATAAAGTGCATTTACAGTGCTTCTCAGACAGAAGGAAGCTGGCAGGATAGAAAAAACAGTTGCGCTTACTGCTGCCGCTGCGGCGCAGAAACTTTTTTAATTTAATGTACAAATTACCTACCAAGCAAGCCTCAAACAGAAGTCACTAGAAGTCCTTAAAGGCGACAACTTCGTTTAACTTAACTTAATGCAAACTTGGCGCTCGCTTTTTTCTTCAAATTAGCCTGGTTAATTAGCGTAATATATGTGCATGTGTAACTGTGTGGGTGTGACTTGGCTTAACTTCCAGCTAAAATTTAATAAGTTTCGGTCGCCAATTAGCATTTCCCCTCGCCTGCCTGCAACTGCATCCTTGCATGAAATTCCCAACGAACTAAACCCCCCGAAAAAGCACCTGCAGCTATCCTTAATGTAAGTGGAACGTTTTGCATAATTATTGTCTTGAAGCTCACAAGGCGCTGGCCAAGTTCTGAATACTTTGTGTGCACCTAGATAAACCACCAAGAACACACACTGTGTAAATATTTATGTAGCCCGCAAATGCTAGACTTTAATTTAACTTTTATTTCGTATTCCTTTTGATGAGCACCATGTAGCCCAGTCACTTGTACGTGAGTCGAGCTTAGCTATATGTATATATGAACTACCAACTGAACCGTCATCGGTTTGTGACCAGAAATAAAAACACAGCAAAGACAAATGTCAACGGACGCACTTCCCAATTCCCCACAAAAATAAAAAAAAAAAGAATAACCGAACACTAACACTCACACCACGACACCTACGTATACTCTTCTTAAGCAAAAATATTTAAATACTTATATCATACACAATTTATATGATAAGTGTCTACTCTTTTCCTTTTTCGTCTCTTTTTACGCTCTGACATTTCATTTTCCGATAACAACAACCAACCAATGCGCATTTAACCAACACACGCACACCACAATTGTAATGTGAACTACCCACCAAAATAAAAACAAAACACCACCCACTCGACAACCACAACACCACAACAACCACCCTTCCCGAATAAAAACACCACAAAAATCAGAGCGTGCCGGTACTTCGAACATTTGGCGGTCATCACATCGCGTAGCGCGAGAGGGATCGGGAAGTGGGCGTGGCCAGCTCGCCCTCGACCACGATAGCCACGCCCACCGGTACGCCGCCCCTGCTGCCGCCGCTGCCCAATGCGTTTGTGGCCATCAAGACGAAGTCCGACTGTAGCAGCAGCAACCACAGCAACAGCAACAACAGTTTGACCCTGAACAGCGGCAACAATAGCTTCAAGTCGAGTGGTCAGCGGAAGTCACCACAGCCGCCACCGCTGCCCTTGAAGAACGGGGTCAAGCAGCAGCAGCAGCAGCAACAGCAGGAGTCGCACTACCAACATCTGAGCTACCAGCAACATCCCGGCGGCAACACCCGCAACACACTGGATCGCAAGCAGCAGAACAACAGCGGTGGCGACTATTGCACCCAGATCAATCCGCACTATTTGCAGACCTTCGACAGCTTGGATCACTACAGTGTGGCCACGATGCAACAACAGCCGCTACGCAGCCAGTCCAAGTCGCAGATCTACAGCTACGGCAGCAGCGGCACCGCCAGCGACAACAGCAACCACCAGCAACATGCGACGCACCAGCAACATCAGCACTACCATAGCAGCAGCAACATTGCTCACATCGAGCACCACTACCATCCCCAACACGGTGGCGATCGCTACAGCCACCCGCACGTGCAACAGCAACAGGTGCACCAGCAACATCAGCAGCAACAGCAACACCACAGCCTGAAGCACACCAAGCACGGCAAGGCGCACAAGAATGGCAAGCACGGCTCGAAGGGCAGCAGCAGCAAGTCGCAGGACGACTTCAAGGTCCTGCACAAGCAGCAACCACAGCAACAGCAGCAAAAGAGCAGCGGCAACAGCAAGCCGGCCAAGCGCAATGGTTGCAGCAATCAAGTGCTGCCACTGCCACCGCAACAGCAGCAGCAGCACTACTCCAGCTCCAGTGATAGCCTACCATTTGATAATAACTATTATTAGACACTAGCACACACTCAGGCACACTCACAAATTAACACGGGAAATGGTTAAGGGTGTCCCCAAAAATCAAAAGTTTAAACATTTTGCAAGGTTGCTGACCCATCAAACATTTAGACCACTTAAAATATGCTTCAAACTACAAATCTTGCACTTAGTTATATTTTAAATTCATTAATGGTTTAAAACTCTAAAGATTTCCACTTATAACACGAAACGTTGCACATCACAAATTAAACAATATACGAAATTCTTTCTTTATTACATTTATAATTATTTTATAATTGGTAAATGAGACCGTAATTATTACTCAACAAACATTATTCAGCCCCGATAAACTGTGAAACAATGTTTTAAAGGAATTTTAACTAGCAAATTGCTATGCACTCACATTTATTTGCATTCAGTAATTTTTTTGTCGTATTATATTACATTGTCTTAATTTGAACACATTTATGAATTAAAATACCAAATGAAATGCAGTCATTTCATTAATTAGTTTTATTATTGCAACCATAAATTTGCGATTGTATTTAAAGAAGGACCTACATATTTAAATAATGGGAAACTGATGGATTTTGGGACATCCTTTAAATACCTGTGCTCAACACACACACCCACACACACAGAAAGACTCACACATTTGTGTTCGCCAAATGGTTGAAAGTTTTCATTTGATTGAGAGAATTTGCAAACAGAATTTAGAGCTGCAAGATGCATTCCTGATTGCAATGCAAATTTGATTTTGCGGCTGCAGGAAGACGATTCCTGGCATTTTTTCAGCTGCCGGATACACAGAAGTCTTGGAGGGAGATAAGTGTTTTGAATGCCATTTGTTTGGGCAGCTTGTTGTTTTCGAATGGATAGCCTCTAAATGAATTGAATATTTACCTAGTCTATAAACTAATTTAGTTCGTAGCAAATGTCAAAAACGCAATTGAAAGCCATTGAAATGGCATATAAAGCTTATTGTTTACTGTGTACATAGAATGGATAAGCGTATTAAACTAGTTACTTATATTGTAGACTTAAGCCAGGCCCACCAGTCCCTGACCCATGACCCCTGACCCCTGACCCTCTGACCCCCTGACTCCAAACAAAAGAACCCCCCAAAAAAAGCTCACCAGCCACCAACTTAGCACCCAAAAGCAGACCGTGTTTTGCCCCCAACTCGGCTAATCAGATTTTGTTTATTTGTTTCATTAACGAATTGCTTGAAATATCTGCCAACAACAACTCAAACCACACAACAACAACAACAACAACAACATCGACACACCACAAAAACCACACTGCTTACAACACCTCCAGTCGAGTTCCCAGGCCAGAAGCAGCGCTCACGACGAGCTGGGCAATCTGCTCTGGCAGCAGGACTCCTGCGAGTTCCTGGAGCAATATCCCCCAGCGGATTGCCCAGTGCCGCCCCTGCGCCACTGCCACGCCCCCGGCCATGGTCACCATGCCACCAAGACGATGACCCGCCGGAATGCCGATCTATTTAGCGGTGATCTGGGCATCCCCGAGATCAGCACACACGTGGGCAGTGTGGTGCACACCTTCGAGACGTTGGCCCTGCAGCGGCGACTGGCGGAGGAGGAGGATCGCCATGCGGACCGGGAGCTGAGTAAGTATGAGACCGCCGGCGGTGGCACCACCGGCACCACCACCCAGAGCAAGTACAGCCAGCTGAAGCGCCGCTCGCAGGAGATGCGCCAGCGGCTGGTGCAGCAATTGCACCGCCAGCGCTTGCAGCAGCAACACCTGCAGCTGCAGCAGCAGCAGCAACACCAGCCACACCACCTGCAACATCAGCAAAAAGCACGCTCACGAACACAGTCGCAGCCGCAAAAGCAGCAATCCTTGCACGAGGGGGTCTTGACCAACAGCTGCAGCACCCAAACACTGGCCTCCGGCTTTTGGCAGCCAGCAATATCATCATCACCACAGCGAGTAGATCGCTCCCGGGAGCAACTGCAGCAGTCCACCTTCGAGGACTATCGCAAGAATTTGTTTGGCACCCTGCGAAAACATGCCAGCCTGGAGGACAATGAGGAGTTGCAGGACGAGTCCTTTATAGTGAATGCGGCCTTTGATGAGATATTCTCCTGCTATGATGACGATCATGAGGATGACAAGGAGGGGACGCAAACGCAAACGCAGACCAATACCGATGATCTCTTCGAGGACGAGCACATGCTGGTGAGCCTGAGCGAACTGGATGACGAGGTGTTCGCCAGTCGGGCGCAGACGGCCTCGACCACGCCCACCACCAGTGCGGGGGCCGGGCGAACGCCCAAGCACAGCACTCCGCAGTTAAACCTTAATAAGTATCCCGCTCCATCGCCACCGCGGTCCCGCACCCTCACCAATCTTTTCGAGCGTTTGAAGTCGCAGGATAGCAAGGCGCTGCAGAAATATTCTGGCGATGCGGCGCTCAACAAGACGGAAGACTTCAATCGGGGCTCCACGGTCAGCAAGTCCTTTGTGCAGCAGCTGAGGAAGCCCTCCCACAAACAAAAGAGGGCGCCAAGGCCACCGCCCAAGCCGCAGTCCCGCTCCCAGGTGGCCATCGCCCATGTGACCCCTCTGCGCAAGGCCCTAATCTTCCCCAAGCGATCCAAGTCCTCCAGCGAACTTCTGCTCGACGATCTGAGCGTGCAGGCGCGTAAGTATCAGCGAAGGATAGAGCAGGGATCAGCGCTTTAAACAGGATCAATGGGCACCCAGTTATGCACCTGTTTCTCACCTGTTGCCCAGTTACTTGCCTGTCCCCCCAACCTAGATATTAAATCGATTCTTTTCGTATTTCTGTTTACCCAGAGGCGACGCTTTTGTAGACTAAGTGACCCTAAACCATAAAACGACCCGACCCTTACCTTCGATTCTGATCAAGACCCCCTGTACCGAACCCGAATCCGATGTAGATGTGGAGGAGTGCAGCTATCCCGCCGCCATAATGGAAGACAAAGATACGACCCGAAGCAAACCCAAAGAGAATTGAGCCATACGAGGAATAGCACCCGAAGAACTAAACTAATTTCGTAATTTACCCGTAATTAAATTAAGCCAAGTACATTACTCGAAAGTGCATGAAAATCAAATCAAAAGATGACTAACCATATTTATATATACAACCATATATAAATATACATATACATTAATGTACAAATAGGATCGTGGATGCCCCGAGAGCGGGTTAGATATGGAAATGAAAATCAAACAACAAAGTCGTGCTCTCAACCTAGTTATTAACGAGTACAAGTTTGTCTCTTCAATTATAATTTAACTTCATCAAAGAATATACCATACAATCCCGATATACATCTATACATTATTCGGATATATATAGCATATAACTGCGTCACTTGTTGTAACTTGTAGGATAATTGCAAAATCAAAGCAAATGTAAACCAATTACAAGAAGAAACATTACTAACTCTTACCTGCATGCAATAAAACTTTTGAAAATGCAATCCCATCTTATTATGTCTTATTTGGGTTTTTTGAGTGGAACAAGAATTGAACGGATAAAAAGCATTTAATTGTTGAAGGTATTAATATTGTTTTGACTGTCGCACTTTATTAAACATTATAAAGACAAATTTTAGCAGTCACAAAATAGTCAAATTTAGTCTGTTTTTAATCCAAAAGCAAATTCAAAGCCGAACGAGTCAGGTTTAGTATTAAAAATAACTTATGGGTTTTTAACAGTCAAGTAGGCATTAGATGGGCGCAACAGAAGCTTGAAAAGTCGAATAGCCGGGCGTCCCATTATCGGGTTTAAGTTCTGCGTACCGAAGTTCCACTTCAGCAGAAAGACAATGCTAAAAAAAGAGAATTTGGTTGGTAACTTTAAAAGGTAAGTAGGCTAATATAACTTACAAGCGCTCCGGGCCACAAAGCGAAGAACAGCTCTCATATGACTCCCATGATTTTCCATCTGGCAAGCGTGCGATCTCCTGCTCCCACAAGGGCCAGCTATAGCGAACGGTGTCCTGTTCCTTGGCCCATGTAAGGTACGCCGTGGGACTCTTCAGGACGAAACGCTGGGCCTGGTAGGTGCGCGTTGTCATGTCAACAAACTGCATCACGAAGAGCAGCTCGTGGTCGCGCGAGTGAGTCAGCGCGTACAGCTTGTCGGTGCCCAAGAAGTATTCTCCGTCCGCAATGCTGTTGTACCCATCGCGGAATTCCTTCGCAGAGCGCTGGGTGCCATTGAATCGCTGCAGCACCAATGTCCAGCCGCCTTCGTCAAGAGCCTGTTCGCAGAAGACGTCGAACGGTCGGCTGCCCTTCTCCAGTTGAATGCGGGTGTACCCGTACTTCTCGGTCAGAGCACAGTTGGACAGAATGGCTCCTGAGCCTTCCGCCAGCTTCTCCGTGGCATTGGCCAGTCGATTCAGAACCTCTGTCTGCTGCTCAATCTTCTCTTTTAAACTACGCACAGCACTGGAAACCGCCGCCGAGCTTCCACTGTTAAAAAAAGAGTACTTAATTATAATATAACTTTGTCAATGAGTCTAAAGTGTAATTTTTTCTTACCTTGGTAGTTTAACGTGTACTCCACGCGTGTCCCGATGCAATGAGTGATTGCCTTCAGCGAACAACACTACAAGGATTATTCCCACCACTACTTCAATTCTGAACATCTTTTCGCTTTGAGGATAAGAATGGTTGTGGCCTGAGAGTAGCACCTCGGAATTGAGGGAGACTTCCGAAACCACTGATTAGGCTGCAGATAGCGCTCACCTTGACCGCGACTCAGAGTGCACTGGCCAATATCGGCGTCTCTAGCTTATCATAGTCCGGTTTTGTGTCGCATCTCATGCTTTCGGAGCTGCCCCGCCCGACTAAAGGTCTTCTCGCACACTTGGCAGCGATGCAGTCGTTCGCCGGTGTGAATGCGCTCGTGACTTCTGAGGACGCCCAGTTGGGCAAACCTCCGGTCGCAGTGTCCGCAGGCGTAGGGTCGCTCCCCGGTGTGCGTCCTGAGGTGCAAATTCAACAGGTAGACCCTCGAGAAGGTACGTTGGCAGACGGTGCAGAGGTGTGGACGTTCGTCAGTGTGCCGGGCGACTATATGCCGCCGCATGTTGCTGGACTCCACAAAGCCACGTCCGCAGTGGGGGCACTGGTGCTGCAACAGACGCTGATGGCGCCTCTGATGGGCCATCAGTGCTCCATTGGTAGTAAAGGACTTGGCGCACAGATTGCAGGAAAAGGGCCTTTCACCGGTGTGAAGACGCATATGGGCCACCAGACTGGATGCGGATTGCAAACACTTTCCGCACTCCAGACACCTGTGGCCCCCCTTCAGATATACAGGATCAGAGCAGCTGTGGTTCTGAAAGCTCCTGAGCTCTGTATAGAACTCGCCACACTTCTCACAATCGTATATGGTGATAGAGGCATGGACATTTTCAATGTGCCGTCTAAGGGCTGCGGGTTGCTGAAAAACAGCCCCACAATCCTGGCAACTGTGAGCTGAAACTTCAGTAGGTTCCTTCTCGCAATCCTCTTCAGCGGATGGCAGCTCCTCGATGTAGTCGCTGGGGTCAAAGGTGATGATTTCCTCCTCCAGCAGAGACTCTGTCATGTCAATATTCATCTTAGCAGTCTCATCCCGCAACCTTTTCTCTGCCTCCGCGCACTTTCTGCGAAACTTGGCCGCGATGAGCAGCTCTTTGGTGCACTCCTGGCACAAATACTTAGGATGTTCATCAGTGGAGTCCACCTGGCATGGATTAATGGTTTGAATAGAAAAAATGGTGAAAATGTCTCAGAAAACAGCCCAGAAAACGTACTTTGATGTCGCCACAAGTTTTCAGCAAGGTGCACAGATTTACTTGCAACTCCTCGACGGTTTCGTAAATGTCCACGAGGAATTCGTCTTGTTGGAAACAAACTCGACAAATTAATTCAAACATTTGCGAAGTTATTTAACTGATAAATCAAATTAACAAATATTTCACATCGGGCAGCGGAATTGGTAGTTTACCGGCGTTATCGATAACAAGGTCCATCGATAACTAAATACTAACAAATTGAACAGCTGTTTACACTGAGCGAGCTATCTATAAACCAACAATTTTTTTATTAAATATTTGTTTTAAAATAAATAAATAACATATTTTTAACTAATATATGTGTATACACAAATTCAAAACTCGTGCCAGAATCCTGTTATTACGTTTTTACCATTTATTGCAATTATTATTAAATTTCCCGCGCATTTGCTCATGTATGGTATTATTTTAAATACCGTAGAAATCCTCTAAAGTAGCGAAGTATTTATTGGGAATTCCCGAGTTCACCAGACGGTAACACTCTTGTTCTTTAGATTTTGTTGTAAGAGCTTTTACGTCAAAAAACTCGTCCTTAAAGAGAATTTTCCGAAAATTGATGACGAAAAAATGGCCGCAAAGAATTCAGTCGACAGTGTTCAGGTTAGAAAAATCAAGGAAGACCCTCAGGAAAACCTACTAAAAACATAAAAAATCAAAATATTCCAGTTTCCGGAGGGAAAAGGAAACTGTGTCCTCTGCGCAGCCGTAGCGGAGAGGATTTGCCAGAGATGCGGGGACTTTTACTGCTCCAAGGACTGTCAGCTGAAGGATTGGCCACGTCACCGCTATATCTGCTTTCCGCTGCCCGCTTTGGTTCATCCCAAGTCATATTCGGTGCTCTTGAGCGTCGAGGAATTATCGCTGGAGGGAGCATGTGCGGTTAGCGCTGATAAATGCGTAGTTGGGGCAGCTCCAGCCCCCGTTCCAATCATAGTTCCTGATATTATGAATCATAATATCGGCAGTAATATCAGCAGTACCAGCAACATTGCTCCCAAAAATAGTGTTCCGGCACCGATTCCCACTCCCCTACTTCCAATTCCGAATATCGTCTCAAGTAACAGCGGCAACAAAGCGAAAAACAAAATTACTTCCCCGCCAAATGCGATCATGCCGCCCAGCAATAGCCTGGTATACATCACCGGATTCCGATCCGCGAATCGATGCAATATACGCGATGCCAGCGAAGCTGCTGACAAGGCATTTGCCCAAGTGTGCGAGAAGGTTTTGTATACACTCCAATTTCATTCCCCATACGTTCCAAGTATAATTTTTACAAACAAAACTCAATCAAAAATAGTCCAATATACACAAATCTTAAAGAACAATAACCCTATTAAAATTAAATTTAAAGATTACGATTTGTATTTCACTTCCAGAGTCCATAACTGTACCTAATTTAATCCGATTTTAAAGTGGATTCTCTAAAAATCTGCATTTTTACCCATTTTCATGTTAGTTATATCTAATTTTCCGATGTCTTGTAAAAGAAAGACCCAAAGTTGGACTTCTAGACTCCATAACTTTACCAAACTTCAGCCAATTCCAAAGTGGTATACCTCTAAAGACTTATGATTCGATTCTCTAAAAATCTGCATTCAAAATTGTCAATTTAACGTTGATCAAATTTGTGACCCATTTTCATGTTAGTTATTTCTAATTTTCCGATGACTTGTTTAACGTTGTCCCAAAATTGGTCTTCGAAAGTCCATAACTTTACCAAATTTAGTCCGATTCCAAAGTGGCATACCTCTAAAGACTTGTGATTCGACTCTCTAACAATCTGCATTCAAAATTTTCAATTTAACGTTGATCCAATTTTTGACCCATTTTCATGTTAGTTATTTCTAATTTTCCGATGACTTGTTTAACGTTGACCCAAAATTGGTCTACGAAAGTCCATAACTTTACCAAATTTAGTCCGATTCCAAAGTGGCATACCTCTAAAGACTTGTGATTCGAATCTCTAAAAATCTGCATTCAAAATTTTCAATTTAACGTTGATCAAATTTTTGACCCATTTTCATGTTAGTTATTTCTAATTTTCCGATGACTTGTTTAACGTTGACCCAAAATTGGTCTTCGAAAGTCCATAACTTTACCAAATTTAGTCCGATTCCAAAGTGGCATACCTCTAAAGACTTGTGATTCGACTCTCTAAAAATCTGCATTCAAAATTTTCAATTTAACGTTGATCAAATTTTTGACCCATTTTCATGTTAGTTATTTCTAATTTTCCGATGAATTAATTAACGTTGACCCAATATTGGTCTTCGAAAGTCCATAACTTTACCAAATTTAGTCCGATTCCAAAGTGGCATACCTCTAAAGACTTGTGATTCGACTCTCTAAAAATCTGCATTCAAAATTTTCAATTTAACGTTGATCAAATTTTTGACCCATTTTCATGTTAGTTATTTCTAATTTTCCGATGACCTGTTTAACGTTGACCCAAAATTGGTCTACGAAAGTCCATAACTTTACCAAACTTCAGCCGATTCCAAAGTGGCATACCTCTAAAGACTTGTGATTCGACTCTCTAAAAATCTGCATTCAAAATTTTCAATTTAACGTTGATCAAATTTTTGACCCATTTTCATGTTAGTTATTTCTAATTTTCCGATGACTTGTTTAACGTTGACCCAAAATTGGTCTTTGAAAGTCCATAACTTTACCAAATTTAGTCCGATTCCAAAGTGGCATACTTCTAAAGACTTGTGATTAGATTCTCTAAAAATCTGCATTCCAAATTTTCAATTTAGCGTTGATCAAATTTTTGACCCATTTTCATGTTAGTTATTTCTAATTTTCCGATGACTTGTTTAACGTTGACCCAAAATTGGTCTTCGAAAGTCCATAACTTTACCAAACTTCAGCCGATTCTAAAGTGGTATACCTCTAAAGACTTGTGATTAGATTCTCTAAAAATCTGCATTCCAAATTTTCAATTTAACGTTGATCAAATTTTTGACCCATTTTCATGTTAGTTATTTCTAATTTTCCGATTAATTAATTAACGTTGACCCAATATTAGTCTTCGAAAGTCCATAACTTCAACCAAAACAAACAAATCAATCGTAATACCCATATAGTTTAATGAATTTAACGTGACCCAATATTAGTCTTCGAAAGTCCATAACTTTACCAAATTTAGTCCGATTCCAAAGTGGCATACCTCTAAAGACTTGTGATTCGACTCTCTAAAAATCTGCATTCAAAATTTTCAATTTAACGTTGATCAAATTTTTGACCCATTTTTATGTTACTTAAATCTAATTTTCCGATGACTTGTTTAACGTTGACCAAATCAAAAATTTAAGTTGATCAATCATTTCATTAGTTTATCCATACTGTTAACAAATCAAAGTCCATAACTTTACCAAATTTAGTCCGATTCCAAAGTGGCATACCTCTAAAGACTTTATATAAATCTATTCCAAATTTTTTTTTTTAAACAACAAAATTTATTAAAGTGGCATACTTCTAAAGACTTGTGATTCGATTCTCTAAAAATCTGCATTCAAAATTTTCAATTTAACGTTGATCAAATTTTTGACCCATTTTCATGTTAGTTATTTCTAATTTTCCGATGACCTGTTTAACGTTGACCCAAAATTGGTCTTTGAGAGTCCAAATTGGTCCAGGCCGTACCAAATTTTAGCCAGTTTCAAAGTGACATACCTTTTTATGCTTTTTGTTTAATTCTTTAATACTCGTATCGTAATTATAAGCAGCTTAGAATATACTTGAACCTTTTATTCAGGTAGTGAACAATTTAAAATAAAAATATTATTAAGAAATGATTAACAAATGTTTTTTTTTGACCGTTTTGTTTTTCGAAAAAGTTTTTTATCCTTAGCTCCTTAATTAGCTTGAGTGTTTTTCAAAGACTTAATAATAAACTTTGGACCCTCCTCAGATAAATGCTATGGGAAATGAGATGCCTAAGATGGTAAAGCCACGTTCTGGCTTCTGCCTCGCTCGTCACAATGGAATGTTCCAGCGGGCCAAAATGATAAACCCCTTAGCGAGTCACTATGCTCGCTTATTATTCATCGATCATGGAGTCACAAAGTCAAGAACTGTTTCAGATATGCGAGAGATAAATGATGAACTTCTATCGCTTCCGTGTCTCAGTCTGCCGGTGCAGCTTAAGGATGTGGCCAACTTTACCATCACTGACGATGTCATTGCATTCGTGTCCCAATTTGAGGGTGAAATGTTTGTAGCAGTCCATAAAAAAACACCTGGATGCATTTATGTGGAACTGCTGGACCCGGTTTCGAAAATGTCGCTTAATGACAAGATACGCGAATTCTGCTCCAATAAAGAGGTGTTTGAAAACCCTTTTAATAAAAAGAAAGACGTTCCAAATCAGCAGAATTCCCAAAAGACACCAGAATCTAATAAACTCAAACAATCGATTCCTTATCCATCCATATCTGGGTCTCAAACTACGACTATTATGCCCCAGCAATCTGTAAAAAAAATTGAAGCTGATGTTAAAAATCAGAGTGAATCAGTAATAGATTTCCAGGAATCCTTAAAAAAACTGGAGCCTGAAAATATGAATCTTGAGGAAATAAATCTTACCAATGTGGAAAAATGTATAAAGTCCTCTCAAACTAATGTAAATTTTGAAGTTTGCAAAACAGATTTTCAAAGAGCAGAAAAAGATTCCCAGGAATCCTTGAAAAAACTGGAGGCTGAAGCTATGAAAGAAAAATTCCTTACCACTGATCAGGAATCAATTAAATCCTATCAAACTAAAATAAATTCTGATGTCCTCAAAAACGATCCATCAAAAACAGAGTGTCAAACAGCCGAAATGGAGTCCCAAGAGTCCTTAAAAGGTCTGGAGGCTAAAGATAAGAATCAAGAAGTAATAATTCCTACCGGTGACGATAATGTAAAGATCAATGATCCAAGTGAACTTTTCAGCAAGTTTTTCCGCACTTATGTGAATGCAAACGATATTCACGAGCAGGATGAGAAAAAACTAAGTCCAAGAGAAATATTTGCTGAATTTTTACGTTCCCACGCGAAAAGTAAGGATGTAAAAGACTCGCAAATATCCAATTTTTCTCAGGAATTAAATCCTCAAAAAGAAAAGGTTGGGAAACCTAACGAAATTACAAATATTATAATTGAAGACCCAATCAAATCTAACCAAGTTGAAAATGAAGAAATTGCTAACTTTAAATCCAATCTTGGTTCAAAGGATAATGAGATGCCTAAAGAAGATGATAAACAAACTGTCGCTAAGCAAGAGATTCAAACTGCCCCTAAAACTTTTTCAAAGTCAAGAGATGAAGAAGTTAAAGATTTTTTAACACAATGTCTAGCATCAAAAAATACTTTGCTAAGTGATAATGCTACTCCTTTGAAATTTCCAAAACTCAAAGAAAAGTTGGATTTGCTATCTATCTCTAAAAAAAGTTCCCAAGAAAATGGGATGGTAATGCCCAAAAACCAGCCTCTGGTGCCTCCTGTAAGTAGTTTTTAATTCTTTTTAAACTAACAGATAACAAGATTTATTTAAAAGTTTGATTTGGTGTCCATCTCTAAAAAAAGTTGCGAAGAAAATGGGATGGTAATGCCGAAAAACCAGCCTTTGTTGAACCCTGTAAGTATATTCTTTTAATTATTTTAAAACTAACAGATAACTAGATGTATTTGTATATTCATTAGCCTTTTGAGCTCCGTCACTTCTCAATAGAAAGTAAAGATGGTATCGATGTTTTCGTTGTCGACAATTCGAAAATCAGTCGCGGTATTTTAGGGGCATTTGACAGCTCCTACGCCTATGAATTTTCCACCTTGCACTCTCGCCTATCGGAAATTACAAATTCGGAGCCTTATAAACCAGTGTAAATATTTTATTTGTATACATTTCCTTATAATATATATTAATCTTTTAATGACCCCCTTGACAGCGCAAAGGAATATGTGCTTGCCCGATTCGAGGGTTCCTGGTATCGTGGTAGAGTGGAGCAGATTATCACTACCAAGTCGCAGACTGAGTACCGTGTGCAGTACATAGATTACACCAATGTGGAGGATATTACCGAACAGGACATTCGTCGCTATCCATTGAACTTTACAACTCCTTGTAACACAAACCTTTGCGTCATTCAAGGTTTGTATTTAAAAATAATACGATTTGCATGTATTAATTAATATCTTTACAGACTTTCCACATAAACCAAATCCAGCTCAGATTTCTTATTTATCGGAGGTCTTGAAGGTTCACCAATTAGTCCATGTTGATGATGTTAACTACCTGAACAATATAGCCATGATCACATCGCGATCCCTTATCAACAAATTGATGACCTTGTAATCCAAGTTGAACAGCATTTAATGCATTTAAACTCGTAAACATTTGCAATTGAGCGATAGGTTGAACCACTATGCCTAATACAAAGCTATTCCAAAATTTTTGACCCAACCAAATAAGCCTTACGTTTGAAATCATTTTAAAAACATTTATATATAAATAAAATTCAATTAAATAACAACGTTAAAAGCTGTTAATACACAATTATTATGTTCCCTAGCTTAGCTGCCGTTGATTCACTTTTTTTTAAATTAGAAATTACACACAACAAGGTTACAACAGATTGAAAAGACATGCACAAAAGTTTTTAGTTGGTTTTGTTTTTGTTTCTCTAATGTTAAAAATGGTAGAGAAATGTGGTCTACAACGACAAAGGCACTGTTAGGCGTAGGTTAAAGACTTTGCTCCAGACGTTTAGACGTTCTTCTTCATCGTCATCTCATGAGCGGTCCGCAGGCGTCGTCGCAGTTCGTTGGGGAATCGCTCGTAACACTTTTTGCAGACCGGCTTCTCGTCGTACTCGTAGAACTTCGACTTCTGTGTCATTTTTGTATCGCACACGGAGCAGGCAAAGTGGTGAACACACCAGGCCTTGTTGAGGGCAGTAAAAACTATTAACGATATGAAAAAGTTGGCATTAGAAACAGAAAAACTTGTTAAATAAGTTTAATTACCATCGCCTCCAATGACCTGGTTGCATACGAAGCACAGGTTGCCAAAGAGCTGATGGTAGTGCGTCTCGCAGTAGGCCAATCCCCTCTTCTCGTAGTGCCGGTGGCCCAGGAACGGCTTCTCGCACTTGGCGCACACGAAGTGCTCCACATGCCAGTGCTTGCCCAGCGCAGTTACCACTCGCTCCTCAATTGGTCGACGACAGGCGCCACAGATGGGAATGCCCATTTTATCATGGCAACGCAGACAATACAGTTCGTTCTGTAACGGAACAAAGACATATTAAACAGGATTAATAAAGTCACATTTTTTTGTGAAGTAAATTAATCGTTGCCCAATTTACATCAGTTTCAATTTTAAGTATATGTAAAACTTGAATAAGCAAATGTTTTTCAAAACCACGATATTCAATCAATTTCAGTTATAGAAATTAAAAAAAAAAAATTGATAATAGAAGATAGAAAGTATAATCTATCGTTAGATAACTTTCTATCCGTTCTGGACGTTCTGTATTTCTTAATTTTTTGCCAAAAACCCACCATATCGTTAGCGGCCAAACCCGGTCGACTTTTCACTTCTCGGGCCGTGGAATCCAGCTCAGTGCCGCAAGCCGTGCAACTGAAGTGATAGCCGTGGTACACTTCTCCGCGGAATCGCAAAGGCTCCTCGTCGATGAGGCCGCTAAAATATAAGCAAATCAGCAACATATCCAGATTGAAACTTAGCAAAACTTACTGGCATTTTTGGCATACATAGCGGCCGGTGATCTCCGCTTTCACCTTGGCATTGCACTCGTGGCACAGGGCGCGGTTTTGATTTTTAATAAACCCGCAGTCGGCCAGCTCCTTGGCGCACAGTTGGCAACGGAAGCACTGCGGATGCCAGCTGGCTGACATGGCCTTGATGACCCGCCCGATGACGAACTCGCCGCACTTGTTACAGCACGGAGCGAACAGAACATGGAAGTCGCGTTCGCAATACTTGCGACCCTCGAACTCGTAGAAAATGCCATCTTGGAAGGGTCTGAAGCACTGAGCACACCTGCAAAACAATTTGCCATAAGTAGATGATTTGGGAAAAGGAAACTATGTCATCCAATAAAGAGATGTGTCGACTATTTTAAGAAATTTTATACAAAATGAATAACCTGATAAAACATTAAAAAAGCTTTGTATAATTCATGGAAATGTTGTGCTCGGATGATGAATTCTTATCGTGACGGAATTCGTCAAAAATGTTAACAATTTATTATGTATACATATTTTTTCAGTATACACAGTCTGTGAAGGTTTTAGTTTCAAATATTTAGCTCGTATTTTTAAGCAAACACCAGTTAATAAATTTTGTATCTAAATGAAACATATAGGTCAACACATTGAACTTGTAGGATTTTCCAGATTTATGTAGGTTCTACTTACACAAAGCACTGTGTGTGCCAGAGTTCTCCATTGGAGTTGACGATCTTCTCGGTGGGTTCGAATCCATCGGCGCATCGCGTGCAATGCATTGCACTCAGCGACATGTTTGCTGCCTGGACTCTGCAAATTCAGGAGAAGATCGGTATTAGTTTGTGGTAAAAATGTGACATTTTAGAGGCCTTTACACTTCAGCCTTGGAGTACATCATGGTTATAGCTTTAGCGCGAAGGAGCACAACTTTAGGGTAGGGCGTGAAGCGAAAAACTGGACAAAACAATGAGACTTATCGCTTTGCCGGCTCTGTTGACGCTGGCTGAATCATATTTCCCTCGAATGCACAGCCAAAAAGCTTTATAGCATTCCTTGGATTTGTAGCTTTCGTCACAGTGAGTGTCGCATGGCAGTTGGATATCAAGCGTTAAAAGGTGCGGATGTCATGACTTCAGTGATGGTTAAGATATCATTTTGGAGCAGGTACAGTGCAATATAAACATACATTGTATGCGATAACAGGTTTGATTTAAAGAATACAGGGAGTTTGGTTTGTGCCTCCTATAACCAAAAAATATGGTTTAGGTTAATTTATAGTCCTAAGACCCCAAAGTTCAATAAACTTTTAATATCAAATCTTTGTATACAGCGAGGGAAGCTATTGAATCACTTATTGAAGTTGCAAAGCATTGGGCATTATTTTGGTTTATAAATTAAAAGATAAGGCTTTTGACTTTCAGTTGGATAGGGATTTTCGATTTTTTATAACTTTATAGACTTGATTTCTGCTCATTATTCTCCTTACGATGATATAAAACAATTTAAATAAAAAATCTTTGAATTAATTATTGATTTCATTGACCATATCAATTTTATAGTGATTCAATGAAAAGTTAATAACATATATAAGTAAACTAATAAAAATAAATAATTTTCTAGGTATTGATAAGTTAGCTAGTGAAGCAAGTGAATTGTATACCCTTCACTGTTTCAATCAATGAGCATTCTTTGGCCCCCGAAATGGGTTAGAACTTTAAACAACGAGTTCAAATTTGGATTTGCCGCCAACACAATATCGCCCACTCAATCAAATCGACAAACACAGTCGCACAAACAAATAGTAAACAACACACGAACGTGGATTCACACACACACACACTCTTTCAAGTGGCGGCGTTTAAAAATAAATTTGAATGTTGGCATGATGTCATCGATGGAGTAAACATCTGGCAGACAAATTGCATTCCATAGGGGTCTAATTCGCCCGCATAGCTTTGCAGAGGGTTAAGATTGTATGAGGGCATGAAAGATACGCATTACTATCCTTAAATGGTAATTGATTCTAATAATTAGAAAAAGCGAATTTATGCGAATGAGTAATGATGATTTGTAGGCTGCCAAATGATGCAATAAGTGGGCGTTTTAAGCCCAAGGACGTTTGGAAAGTGGGGCGGAACATTCTGCTTACTGCACGGGCGGCATTCTGTGGGCTTTTCTATTTTTTCTGTTACTCTCGACTGGCTTTCACTTGCGATTGGCACCTGTTGCACCTGGTCTACGACTTTTTCGGATCACGACGAGCGAAACACTGCAAAAACATATAAAATTGATCAATCTGTGTCTTCTGGCTTTTGGCGGTGTCACTTTGTCGGGTTTCTAGCCAGATCCGGTTGATTTCCAGCTAAGAGGACAGGCTGCGCATCACTGTCGCAACACAAAAACAACAACGGGTCTTGCCGAAATAGGCGAAACACAGGAATTTCACACATTTCACTTGCTAATTTTATATTTTAAACATTTTTGTGCACTAAAGAGGCTTTATTTACCTACTAAGAACGCTTTTTAATTAAAGCCACTTCTTGGGGCAATTAATTTAACTTCATTTAATTAACAGCTTCCGTGGAAGAGACACAGAAAAACCAAGTCTATTTTGACACTAAAAAATCCCACTGAAATACCTGCCTATCGATAACGCAATCAGCTTATGAGAAGGTAGCCCTGTAAAATCAATCGATAGGCTGCTATTAAGCGCCAATTCGAAAATTATTATCTACTAAACACATTGCGATTAGTCAAAGTAACCAAAAATACATTTGTCAAAGAATTTAACAATTTACGGCGCCACGCTTATCACTTTGTGGCAGTTTTGCTTCTTTGTTTCACCTTCTTATCAGTTGCTGGCCAACTGCTGTTCTTCTTAGAGAATGTTTCGTAACGCAGTCTTATCAGCAAAACTGTTTTATACTTATACCTTCATGTACTATTTGTTTATAAACAAGCTCTATTCACATGTTAATTAAAACTGTACCAGGAAACCCCTTTGACATTGAAATTGATTGATATTCTTACAATGTTTCTTTGCATAAAGAAAAGCACAGGGTAAATAAGCAAGAATGCAATACTGACATTTTGTGTGCTATCTTTAGAACTTTTATACCTACATGAAACTAAATAAATCAACCGTACCAATGCCGGTATTTATTATTTTTATCATTTAGAAAAGTTAATTAAAAATGGTATACAACGTTGAGATAATAAGTATCTTACAGTAAAAACCACTATAGTTTAAACTTTTTAATTCTTGATGGCTCACCGTACTCGCATGTAAATGCATTATTTGTTTGTTTTAATTGTTTCTCCGAATTATTGTTGCCTGTATTTGTTTGCGCCAAACTTCCGGCTTGTGGGTGTGAGGGTCATATTTTCGTAACACCCCTCGCCGACTTCCGCAATGTGAAAAGAGATAAAACTTCCAGCTGCAGTTTTGGTTTTTGCTTTATTTTTATTTGCTTTATTTGCCTTGCTTTATGGAGCGTTGTCCCGTTAAAACGGGTTGCCAGGCGAATCGATCAGCGCTCTTTGTTTATCAATCTCACTCTTTTGTCAGTCGTCTTTATTTATTATTATTAAATGAGTTTTTTTCCAGCATAACAAAAACAAACAAGGTGGCCGACAAGGCCGTAGTGTGTGCGAACGAGACGGCAGAACAACAATCGCCATAAGAACAACATTGGATTCCACTCGTCACATCAAGCTAATACCATCCACACCACACACAAAGAAAAAAGCAGCTCGATATTAAATCAAATATTTTATTAATCAATTATTACATATTGAAGGATGTTACATCGAGATTCTTTAAAAAAATATGTTCAAAGTTTCTGATAACAAAGAACTGAGTTCAAACCCACCCTCTAAATTGGTTAATTGTTGTATTTTCTCAGCTCTTTAACTTAATCCGAAATTATAAATAAATTCATCTAATTTATTATAATATTTTTTCTTTCTCTGTACACTGTCACATGGTTGGAAAAGGTGGTGGAAAGGGAGTGGGATGGTGGAACCTGGAAACCGGGCGGCTTCGAGACTTTCGGCACGTAGCTACGCGTAGCTGTAAGTTTATTACGCATGTTTTATGCTGTTGTTTACCAAAAAATTCGCCAAGGCAGCCCAGCCCCCAACCCCGAAGCACTTCAAAATGTGACTCGGGCGTATGAGCAACATGTTAAAACATATGGAAATCGGTGTGGAATGTGGAAACTACAAGCGGATGCAGATGCAGTTGCAGTGGGTGTCTAAAAATAAATTCAATTATGCTCTCTATTATTGCAGCTGGGCTCCAAAGCCGGCAAACCAGATGAACAACTAGTGCTACTGCTTGCAGTGGAGTAAGCTGAATGTGTTTCCAAGGGGTTTTGAAAAAATCAGATTAATAAATGAAAATATAGATTGAGCCACCAATCTCTTTTTATACCCTTGCAGAGGGTATTATAATTTTGGTCAAAAGTGTGCAACGCAGTGAAGGAGACATCTCCGACCCTATAAAGTATATATATTCTTGATCAGGATCACCTCCTGAGTTGATATAGCCATGTCCGTCTGTCCGTCTGTCCGTCTGTCCGTCTGTCCGTCTGTCTGTCCGTCTGTCTGTCCGTCTGTCTGTCCGTCTGTCTGTCCGTCTGTCTGTTTCTACGCGAACTAGTCTCTCAGTTTTAAAGATATCGAATTGAAACTTTGCACACACCCTTCTTTCCTTTGCACGCAGTATATAAGTCGGAACGGCCGGGATCGGACGACTATATCCTATAGCTGTCATATAACTGAACGATCGGAAATGCCATAACTTTGGTGTTTGTAAAGTTAGGAAGTTGAGATTTTCTATAGGTTTTATTTTTGGCCAATCAATCTGACCTACCGAATTTCATGAGAATCGGCCGACTATATCTTATAGCTGCCATATAACTGAACGATCGGAAATGCCATAACTTTGGTGTTTGTAAAGTTAGGAAGTTGGGATTTTCTATGGGTTTTATTTTTAGCCAATCAATCCGACCTACCAAAGTTCATAAGGATCGGCCGACTATATCTTATAGCTGCCATATAACTGAACGATTGGAAATGCTATAACTTTGGTGTTTTAGGATGTTGGGATTTTTTATGAGTATTAAGAATGCATCATATGAATAATTTTGGAGAATATAATTTACAGAGTATTCTGCAAGGGTATATCAACTTCGGCTCCGCCCGAAGTTAGCTTTCCTTTCTTGTTTATTCTATTTCTAACTTACATATATCATATAAATATATATAAGTCTTTGATCATTGAATGACATCAAGTCATTAAGAAAAATATCAAATTAATCTAATCAGAATTCTGTTTACAAATATATTTTGAAATCAACTTTATTATCTCTCTGTAGAGATAAGAAGTAACGTAGCAGTTACAATTAAATCAAAAATGTTTTAAAATAGATGCAAGTCGTTTAAACAAAGTTATTTTCGTTTTGGTTTGACTTCAAAAAACCCTTTACACAGATACTTCCTTATAGATAAGTCACTTTTTCGAAATTAAAATGTAGTAGGTCAAACAAATATATTATTTATCATTTATTCTGTTTCGTAAAGCTGTTTTGACCCCATTTTAAACAGTATTAAGCCCCAAGTCCCGCCCCTTTTGTGTACGCCCCTGTATAAATGTGTAGGTTTCTCTTGGAGTTGCACAAATCCATTGCAGCTTCATGAAAAGCTCAGAACTGAAGCTTCCAAGTTCGTCCATTCATCTTTTTTGTCGATTTCTGGGCGGCGAGCTTGGCACAAATATTTCAAATATGCGGTCGCATTGCATAAAACGCAATTAATGCTCTGACCGCGTCCGCATTGCATTTAGGCCCTGCCTTATCGCCATTTGTTGTTTATCGTTATTGCTCGAGCGAGCTTATCAAGAAATTTCGAAATACAAATCCACCTTACTGGGAATTTTACTTGAACTGAAATGGTTTACCTCGGCACGTGAATACAATCAAAAAATCCCGGTGCCCCAAGAAGATACAGTGTGACCTCCATTAACACAATTAATTGAAAAAATGTAATTTTTATAACTTTGCATTCCCCAAAGAATTAATAATAGTTTTAATAAAAATTGATTTATTTCTTTGATTTTTAAACTGCGAAAAAATCATAAAATGTTTAAGCCGGTTTGACATTAGTCATCAAATGTATTTTAAAAAATTTGATCAAGTCTAGAAAAAATAAAATTAATTAATTTAAAATAATATTTAAGGTTTCTTACTAATACAATTTTTTTCAAAAAGAGTTTACTAAAGGCAGACTGTAAATAATTCAATTTGAGGTGCGTGGGCGCCGGAAAACAGGGAAAACCCGGGGGAGAGAGTGCAATCCGGTTCCCGTGGGTAGCTTATTTGGAGCGTTGGCACCGGCAGAAAAAAAAAGAAAAGTAAAAAATAGAGACAGACGAAAGCAATTTTCCCGCCTGCCAAAGTTTGCATTTCATATGCAGTCCGAAGCCAAAAGGCAAATAAATACATTCAATTGTTGGCAACGCGTCACCATTTTTCGCTTGGCAACAGCGAACTTCAAACAAAGGCGGACGGCGAAAACGTTGGACAATTAAAACCGAAAGCCAAAACAAAATCTGTGTGCATGCATATATTCGAGTGGTGTCCCCACACAAATGCAGTGCCGGCGACCTGTTGTCGCCAATGTGCGATCTTTAAGTTGTATCTTTCGGACCTGTTACAAAGTTCATTGCTCATAATAGACTATAGTCTAGACTCTTCCGCTGTATTCTATTTTCGGCAGCAGCTAATTCGGACACAATCAACGGGGGTTGTAAAAACTAAAAGCTTTTGATAAAATTATAAAGTAGAAAAATTCTTTTCTTGACATAAATAATACCAAAAACTCAGACATACATATCTAGAACTTATGCTATTGTGGTCTCTTTAAACTACAAAAAATTAATCAAGGCTAAAACTTTCAGTACGGTTGCTAACTTTTGGAAACGAAAGAATTTTGGTTTGATTAAAAAAAATTTTTTTAATAATAATTTAATAAAACCAGCTGGTGATTTTATTAATTAAATTCCATCAAAACATTTTTGTATTGTTTTCCTTTAATTTGTTTAGGTTTGTTTTTGGAATTAAGATAAGTTTTCAAATCAGAGAACAAAAAAGATTTTATGTAAACGAGAAGTTAGAGATGCCTGGTTTCATTCACCCAGAAATACTTTACATAACTTGTTTTTTTGATTGATGAACATTTAATATACAGGCATATATTAGATATCCACTACAGGTACCACCCAAACTCTTAGTTCCACCCACTCACGTGAAGGCAACCAAAAGCGTGTACAGCTGTCCATTTGTTTTGCACTATGACAATGTCATTAGCACTCGAAAGAAAGAATCGGGCACAAAGCAAAACAGCAGATAACTCGCGGATCGGATTGGCGAAACAAAAAAAAAATAGTAAACCTATATATTCGTATATGTGCTCAGTTAAAAATAAAACTATTTAGCCTTTACGATGTCGTTGCCGTTGCCATAGTGACGTTAATTCGCCATGGAATGACAGCTGAAATGCGAAAAACTGCAATCTCCGGAGTGCGCAAATAGTACCAGAGATTAGCTCAAAGATATATACTATAGTCACCTGGGAGAGTCGTCAGCTGTGGGGAGATCGAGAATACTAATCGCCTGTTAATTGATAACGACCACAACAAACTGCCAGGTAGACAGGTAGCCAGGTGCAGCGCAACACTCTCGACTCTGGCGAACATTATACAATACAAGCCCGATTGAGTGATAGAATACCAGGCAGCACGATAAAGTAAGTATGCAAAATGAAAACAAACAATAACCAGTTTAAAGCGGTGGAAAAACCCTTAGGGGGAGTGTTTACCTCGTATCTCCTTTAGGTAAGTCACATGACCTCGGGCCTTTTGGGAGGTGTGATCCGGAATGGTCTAGATATTAAAAGATCCAACATATACATACCTTTTGCAAGGTGAACTATAGGGCATACACTACAGCATCAGCAAGTGACACGCCCTCTTTAAAGTGAAGTAAACATTTTGATTAGTGTCTTGATTAACAATTGCTTTTATTCATTGTTTATATGTATGTATAAATTTTCTTATTGTTTAGTGTATTTTTAATGTATACTCGAATTTCGATTCACATATGTAGGCATAATTTAGCAATTTCAAAACCAATAAATAGGCAAAAGCGACCAACGATTAAAGATAAAAGAAAACACTAGCTGTTCTTTTCAACTTCCTGACAGTACCAACTAAGTTAGGATAGATATATTTCGTTATGCTTCAAGTCTTTCAAATAGTTTCGCTTTTTCGATTAGTGGTTATGCATTGCATAGATCGAACAGTACGTTTTTTAATCGGCCATCTGGCGTTTTTGCTCACTTACAACAGAAATGAACCTTTTAGCTTTCTGATTAATTGCTGTTATCTATAGTTATTTATGTACATATATGATTTTTTTTCACTTACAAGCAGGCGAAAGGCACTTGAACAAAGAAACAAACAAACAAACACGCGACGAGTACGCCCAACTTACTACGATTTGCACAAGTTATAGCCGTCTATATGCATATGCATGTGGCACTTACTTATGTATTTGTGGCTAAGGTCTAAACTGCTGCATCGGAAACTTTGAAACGTGCCATGAGCTCTCTACTCCTATGTACAACTTAGACGGACCTAGAGCCTACAAAAGCCTATATATATAGTATTTACATAGCGGGTAATATCAAAAAGCAGCCTATCAACTCAACTTAACACAATGGCATACATAAATAGTGGGGCGGGTCAAATTTTTAGTTTTCAATCTTTGGACACTTTTAAGAAAAGGCTTAAGTGAATCTAAAGGGTAAGATTTGTAATTATCTTTCAAACTTTCATAATAAACTGACAGATTAAATATATGAAATATGTTAAAGCTGATAAGGTAGACAAATAAATATTCCGCTCCGTTAGTAAGAGATTGTACAGCAAAAATTCTTAGATGCTTCCCTTTTAAATAAGTCAAAACTACGGAATATTTGTTACCTCTTTCAGAATACAATAAACAAAAATAGCCTTTTACCTATACTTTTCCATGCAGTTCTCTTAAAATAGTTTTCTCCCTTTTCAGTTTATCCTTGTCCTCGCACATTGACCGCCCCTTTATAAATAAGGACTAACTAATGACACGTCTGGGGGTATAATCCGACTCAGTTGCTCATTTGGAGGCCACCGCTGCTGCGGCTGCCCGTCGACGAGGAGCCCGTGAGTCCGAACTGCGAGACCAGCTTGTCGTAATCCTCGAGAGAGGTCTCGAACTGCTCCAGTTGCCGGGACAGATCATCCATGGCGCTGGCATCGGCGGCACTACTGGCAATCGCCGTCGCCGCTGCCGTGGGACCACACGCTGCTCCTCCGCCGGAGCCATTTGTTGCCGGTGTGGTTAAGGAAACCGAAGAGATCTCTGCCTGCAGTTCGTTGAGACCCTTCAGCGGTGGCGCATGGTAGCATTCCCTGTAGAACTTGGCCAGATCGTTGACATGCGACGTTGGCGAGGCGAAGGGAAAGTGCAGCTCCTTGAGCAGATTATCATCATCGGGCGGGGGTTGTAGCGCGGGTTCCGAATGGTGACGATACGTGGTTGTGACGCTGGCGGGGATCAGAAGGCTCTTGATGGGTGACACTGAGTTTCCAGAGTTCTTTTCAAAACTCTTGAAGCCCGTGGAGTTATTGTTGAGATTGCTGCTCTGGTTGAATTTACTCTCCTGTGGATTATTGTTGTTATTGCTGCTGAGCACACTGGCGGTTGTATTGTTATCCAGGCGGTTGAGGGACTCCACAGAACCACGTCCACGTAGAAGCCACTCAAAAGGCGGCGTTTCGGGGAGCACAAAGTCATCCTCCGTGTACTGCTTTAGTTTGCCCATATCGGTGAAGGCTCCCGGACGCAGAGGCTTTTCAATGTCGATAAAGCGACGATCTGTGGCATTTTGAATGGGATTTAGACCGCCAAAGCCCAGCTTTTTGGGCAATGCAGTTCCATTTTGATGTTGCTGCAGGTTGCCAGGGGAACTGGCATCTGTGGCGGGCCTGAAGTGATCCGATTTCAGCATGATGGTGTTGCTCTCCGCCTGGGCAGCCGTGGGAGAGATGGTCAACTTGGTGCGATAGGCCACGGACATCACGAGCGAGCCCACAATGGTGTTGAGCTGGCCGATCTTCACGTGCTTATGGCCCTCGCCCAGGGTGTGTACCTGTGGCCTGTCCACGTAGATCCTGTAGAAAATGCCGTACGAATCGGGGCACTGCCGACGGGACAGCTTGTAGGCGGGGGTGGTTCGGGTCAGCGAGATGAGGGACTTAAGCATGATGCCCATGCGGTTGTAGATTGCGTGGGCTGCTTTCAGGGTCTGGCCCTCGGGGTTCAGCTCGTTTGTGGCTGGGGAGGAGCCATTCTGGGGTGCGATTAGGTCGAGCGACCACACCTCAAGGACCATCTGGTCGCCCTCGGCGGTTTTCAGGGAGATTTCCACGCACAGCGGCAGCCGCTGCAGGATGCTCTCTCCGGTTTTCAGGTTCAGGGCCCGCTTGGTCTCGTCCAGGACCTCGGGATGATCCTGGCCAGCAATGTTAAACCAGTCGCTGCCCGCCAGTGGATTGCACTGCGTCTGCATCTTCTCGCCCAGCCGGGATTGGACCACCACCTGGGTGGACTTCAAAACCAGGAACTTGATGAACTTCTCCAGATCCCGCTCCGCTGCATTTGGTCGCTGCGCCGACATTTCTTCGGTTTTTCTTTGTTTTCCCGTGTGTGTTTGCGATTGTCTGTGTCCAAAGTTCGCTGTCTGCGTTTTGGTTTTTTTTCACTTTTCTATTTCCGCGTTTTGATTTCTCGCGATTCTTGCGTTTTAGCGTCGCGCACTTTGCTTTCTAGGCACTGCTAAACATCATTAAAACTTGCCCGGGCATTTTGCCAAAACACTGTCATTTGCACTGCAACGCCCTTTCACTGCGATTCCTTGTTTTTGTTTGTACGCAAGATCACTCCCACTATTTTCATCACAGTCAGCGTCAGCGTTGGCCATTGAGAAAACAGTGTAACCGCATTGGAAACTGGAAATATGCTTACAACCTAAAAAATACCAAGTACTGTGAAAAATATTCTGTGCTTATACCCTGTTCCAACGGATACACATCCAGCAGTAGCTCCACCACGCAAAGTGCCTTCAGCAACATTTTTTTTTTATGGAACTACTTAAGTAACACCAATCTTATTGAATTTTGATCTGCTGGGTGGCAGTTGTTCTATTAAAATTCTTTAAATTAAAAACCGATAATCGTTGACAACCAGTGTTGTCTAACTTGTTTCATTAAACAGTTATATACTTGAACAGCATAAAACACATTAAAACATACATAAAAACTTTGGGAAATCTGTTTAACAGTTCAACAGGAACAATGTTCGGTCGTTTCTTTCATTGCTAAAGCCTAGTGCTCAGATCGACGAAAACTGTACGCCAGTCATGAGAACCGTAGCAAAAAGATTAAAAAATAAATGATTTAAATTCGACTGTACAACTTGCATCACCTGATAAAAACAACGACGCTTTCTTTTTTCCAAATTTAATAAAACCACCAATCTTAAGATCCAAGAAACGCCTCAGGACGAACTTGAAAAATATTTCAAGGAATTCGTTGAAATGTACTACAAATTTAGTTTAATCGAATGGTGGCAAGGTAACAAAATAAATACGCCTTGTTGGCAAAACTAGCGATCCAGATATATTCAATGCCAGTTTGTATTTCTAATATGAAAAACGTAGTTTATTTTAAATTTAATTTTGCATTTGAACTTAATATGAAAAATAAAAACTTGTTCATTCAATCGTCCAAATAGTTTTCCTTTTCATTATATTTGTTGATCGCAATCAACTCGAGTATTTTAGCAAGGGATGTATGAATGGCTGTGGAAACAGGGTATTTGCTGAGGTGTGGCATCTGCAAGGAGAAATTTAAAAATCTGGCAACGCCGCCGTCATGAATGATACACGTCACGTACGCAGGGTGGCGCGCGTTTAATTTTAAATTGGATATGTTTGGGATTCCAAGGACCCATTGAAAAGTATTTTTTACAAAAGTAATTCTTACAATCCGAAAACTAGGCTAGGAATCGCCACCACCCAATGCCTGCACATCCTCCCGGCAGAAATGCTCGCGATCCTTTGAGGTCAGGACATGTTTGGGCAGATATCGAAGAACAGAGGCCGGAACCTGGCCCAACATGGCCAGTCGTTCCTGTTTAATGCGCTCCTCCTGCTCAGCATCCGATTTGGCCTTGAAATCGAAGTACTGGACATTTTCAGCGGTGGCCTCCGCCCGTTTCCTCTGATTATCCTCAATCATGGCCAGCAACATGGCTCCATGGGCCCTGCGCTTGCGGTAATCCTCCAGCTGCTTCTCGTTCTCCTGACTGCTTACATCTGGAGCCTCCTGCTGCCTCGAAGCTATCTCCAAACGTTTCAGCTGCATCTGGGCCATCTTGCGGTGCTCAACCTCCTGGCGATAGCGATCCAACTCCTGTTTGGTGCGCCGTCGTGACATTTGCTCCTGCTGCATCTGCTGGCGAAATCGCTCGTCGCTCTTGGCCGTGTACTCCGCCTCCAGCAGATCCAACAGCAGATTGTCCCGATGGCGTTTTTTGTTCTGCAAAAAGAGTGGGCTTTAATACGAAGTCGGATGTAAGGCTTCCCAAGACCCACCTCTAACTCCAGGACCTGCTGACCCAGGCGAATGCTGATCTCCTCTTTCTTGCGCTGCACATCCTGGCGTTCCTCCTCGAGCTGGAGTTTCCTGCGCTCTATTTCGGTTTGCTTTTGGGCTAGATCACCCAGTTCCTGGTTGTTTTGGGCCCGCTGCCACTCACGGTGTTCCTGGTTCTCCTTGATGGACTGCAGCATATCCTGGCGCTTTTGCAGCTTCTTCCGTTCAACTTCCAGCTGCTGGGCGCGATCCTCCTCTTGGATTTGCTTTTGCCTCATCTGGCTGAGATCACGATCGTTCATCACCTGGGCGTGCTCTTGCTGGCGACGTCGGCGGTTCTCCTCCATTTGTCCTGCCAAGCACTCGCGCAGGCAACGCTGTTCCTCCTTGAGAGCGGCTTCTTTTTCGCGTTGCTTGGCCTCCAGTAGGCAACGCTCCTCGGCCACTTCCTTGGCCTCTACTTTTACGGCCAACTGCCGCTGGTGTTTTCGTTCCTCTAGACTCTCGGCTAGCTCCTTGGAAATGGCTGCTAGACGCAGTTGCTCCGCCAAATCCCGCAATTCCTCGCAATCTCGCCTTAGTTGCTGGCGGCGTTTCTTCTCCACAAACTCCGTGTGCTTAATGTCCCTCATTTCCTGCGTCATCGCAGCTTTCTCGATGAAATCCCTGGTCATAGGGTTCTCCTTGGACAGCTCCAGACTGCGATTCACTTTCTCCAGGTCGTGCTGCATCTTCTGGAACAGCCGGGAGCTGTAAAAGTCACGCTCCATGCGCAGCGACTGCGGCACCTTGAATTGCGGTTTTCCGATGTTGAAAACTAAAGAGTTCTCCTGGTTACGCCGATTTCTAGTGGTTGCCATGGCGGTTGCGAAGGTCCAAACAAAAATACAGAAAATCCAGCCGAACCAACAAATTAAATTACATGAACAACACAATGGTTTTGGTAAGCAACTATGAAATCAAAGATTACTAGATACTTTTACAATCTTACATCCTTGGAATTCACGATCCTTGTCTGCGTTTTCTGCGAATGGCAATTGCGATCATTCACTACGAGATACTATGGGATAGTATAACTTTTTTCGCCAAAGAACCCCACATAAAATATTTTGCAATGAATCTGCTCAATCCTGAATCCTGCCAACTAAACCAATTAAAATAAAAACTTATACTTGGTCATTTGATGACTTATAATTTTTTTCAGAATCATATTTAACAAATTGTGTTCAAAATAAAGGCGAAATTTGTAAATGCGAAACGTTCTCAGTTGTCGAAGGCAGTCGGGAAGTATTTCTTGTCCTTCTCCACGATGGTCTCCAGCAGATCGTCAATGTCGGTGGTGGGGTAACGTTCCACCCAGGACTGGATGTAGCCCTCGTGGGTGGGCTCGTAGGTCTTCAGCTGAACCTTCTTGTCCTTGCCGACCACCGTGTTGGCCTGGACGAGGATCATGCGTGGCTTCTTGTGCGCCAGACAAATGTCCCGCCACTTGGCCCACGGATGCGAGCCGCTCTCGTTCACCTCCGAGTAGTGTTCGTACATCTTGGAAGCCGCCTCGATGTCGGCCGTAGATTTGTACACCTGCAGTTTAGTCAGGAAATCGCCCAGCGCTTTCCTGCCCACCGTATCGATCTTGCTGCGATCTACCGTCAGCAGCAGGTTCTTGCCACCTTCTGTTTCCTCGACTTTAACGAGTCCCTCGCCTGCCTCTAGCAGCACCTTCATGATCACGAAACGAGCACGGGAGTGCGCCTGCAGCCACAGCTTCGACTTGGGATTGAACATTTCCAGAGCCACTCCCATGCCGTTCCAGATGAGACTCAGCCAGTTGATGTAGATAATGTTATCCTGCTCCCCCTTGTCCTTGAAGCCGAAGATTTCCAGGATATCACGCTGCAGGGAGAGATACAAGCCAACGGCCTCGGCGCGGCACTCCTCGTACGAGGAACCAATAGCTCCGAACTTGGTGTCGTAAGTTTCTCCGGGAAGATACCACTTGGCGATGGTTTCGCCTGTAATCAGGTTCTTGGTGTTCTCCTTGTCGAAGTTGTAGACGCCGGCCTCGTCGATGCGGAAGAGCTTGCCACTTCCATGGCCCAGGAGCTCGTGGAGTCCCACTTGCACCTCGAATGCCTTCACCTTGTACTCCTTCATCAGGGTCTGATCCTCCTCGGAGAGGAAGGGAATGGGATCCTTGCGGTTGATGTTGGCCAGCACATTGCCCAGTGAGACGTTCTTGAAGCCCTCATCCTGTCGAATTTCATCGTAGTTTGGAATATTAATGCCTGCTGGCACTCCGCTGCCGGCAAAGGTGAGCACATCCAGGGATGTGAAATCTGGCTTGAGGTAAGAGTCCTTCTCGTACGGCTCTGTCCAGGGCAGGTATTCCACCAGCTTCTCGGCGCGGTTCACCAGCTCGGAGAACTTCGCCGAACTCTCCTTGTTCACCATGGCCACGAATCCCTCGAACTCAGCACGACCTCCGGCGGGATCCCTGTACGTTTCAATGAAGCCAATGTAGGTCTCGATGACCGGTCCCTTGTCCTTGATCCACCAACGAGACCCGTTCTTGTGCTCGTCCAGCGAGCCCTGCTCAAAGGAGCGGACGTAGTGCTCGATCATCTTGGACTCGTTGTCGTTGGCCGCGTACTTCTGGGCTTCCAGCAGATGCTGGTTGACGCGCTGCAGCAGCTTCTGGTAGTCTCCGCGTGTCACCCGGAACTGATTGCCCTTGTACTCCTCCAGTGGAAGTGTGATCCCGTCCTGCGCGGACTCCGCCACCGATCCCAGCTTCACGTCATAAATGGTTTTACCATTTTCGGTCACCTTAAAGGTGCGGCACATGTAGGGCTCAATACGTTTGGAGGTCAGCCAGGAGTTTACGATCTCCGAATCCTCCTTGGTGCAATTGTCCGACCAGTAGGTGGTGATTCCATCGGGAGCAAAGCCCAGAATCTCGTTACGCGACTCCAGCGCATAGACCAGATCCTTGACCTTCTCGAAGATCTTTCCAACGCGCGGCTCATCGGCGTAGGCAGCCGAGGACTTCACTATGGCCTCGAACTTCTGTTCGGGCAGATTGGGCACGATCTTGCTGTCGCCCATGCCCTTGTAATTGCCCGCGTTGGCGAACACGCCGCAGGTGTAGACCAGGAAGCCCTGAAAAGAATGAAAAGTTGTACATCAGTATTTTTTTTATTATTTCTTCTTCATCAAATCCAATTATCTCGGGAACCCTACTGTATGGTCTCCTTACCGTGTACTCATCCGCAGAGACTCCTGCCTCCAGAGCCTTGGCCTTGAGCTCCGCCGGCTTCTCAGCGACAAAGATGCGGTGCAGCAGGGAGAAAATGAGCGGTGCCTCTGGACTGGACTGGATCAAGGCGATGAGGCCGCCGTCCCACGAGGCCTGGCTGAAGTGGTGGGCATAGAGCTTCTCCTTATCCGTAAGATTCTCGAAGGCACTCTTGCAGTCCAGATCGGCGATGGGCTGCGTGTTGGGCAGGACGAAGTGGGCGGTTTTACTGGCCATTTCAGCGGGTTGGGGAAGATTAGCACTGCAACTGGAAAGATAGCAAAATATCGAGATAGATAAGTTATCTGATGTTGAGATACCACCTGGCAAGTACCTGTACGAACGAACGAGGGAGCTACAAAGCCCCGAGCTTCTGGAGATGGAGAATGGCGATGGGATCGCCCGGACACTGGGACTGCTCCCGTAATTTGGACGACTACGGAACTGGCAGAGCCTGTTCAGTTGCTGGCCGGACCTCTGTAGCCCTTTTAGCCGAAACATTACTGGAGAATTTCGAAACTTTTCCTTTGAAAACTTTATTTACATTACATGTGTCGCTCAACTGGAAAATGTGAAAATGCTACTTTAATTTGGAAAAAAAGCCAAAGAGTTGGTGGAACACATGAAAGCTTGATGGCGGATGCACTTTTATCTCTGGCCAACCGACAAATCTGCAGATGTGGCAGTTAAGCGGGGTTTTACCAAGAGAATATGGGAAATCAAAAACTATGGCTATAATGAAACCCGTAAACGTTGAAAACTTGCTGATCACTCGGAAACATGTGAGTGATTAAAAAGTACGTGGTTAGACAATTGAAAAACAAACAAAAACCCTGTCAGGCAATCGTGTTTTATTAGGAAAACAATTTAAATATAATTTCGTGCTTACGTACCTTTTGAAAGTAAGAAAAATGCAGTAAAAAAATGCCGACAAAATTGCAAGTTGTGCAAGCAGTGTGACCAGCAGCGCTGCCTAAATTATAACAACGATTAAAAAATCCCTTAATAATGACAAGCGACATGTGAATGTCAGCTAAGTGGCGGCTTTATTTGAATTAGGGTATATTGCTATTGTTTTCAACCCAAACAATTTCAATGTAAATTTATTAAATTACAAAATATTAAGGATATTTATCTGTCTCTTCTGAGGACCCTGAAAAGTTAAGTGAATGGTTAACACCTTGTTAAAATATGTAAGTTTTTTAATTTGCCGTATTTAAGTATGTACAGAAACGTTACTTGCTGTTAAATAACTGTGTTAAGTTGTTCAGAACGTCAAAATTAGTTTAATACATTTAAATTTAAGTGTTTTTTTTGAGGTTATCATGAGGGATAACTCATCATGATTTTAGGCGATAATAAAGCCAGCCCACAACCAGATGTCTCCAGCTAATCCAAGGAAACAAAGTACCCAGGTCAACCTGTACAATATATTATCCGCCTTGCCGCCCTTCAGAAAAACTGGCAAATCGTTGTGCGCCTGAAATTGCTTTCGTAACTTCAGCATTTTGGGAGGTGCTTTTCCAGGGGCGGTCTTCGGAGGAGCAGCGGCATATTTCAAAGCAGCCGAGTTGCGAAAAAGACGAATAGGTGTGCATAATGTTCCAAATTCACCGGTTCCCCGAAGAAGGGGCTACATAAAAAGGATGATAAAAAATAAATTATTATTTTACTTTAAAACTTACGCGAAAAGAAAGAAAATTTCGTTGCATTTGTTGTTGTTCTATGAAACTTTGTTAGTATTTTGAACAAAATTTTGACTGCTTTAAATTTAAGGTTTTTAAATTATAAGGTCTAGTTTGTTAAGTTATCAAAAGCCTACTTTAGGTTTATAAGTGTAATTGTTGCACAAAAACAGAACTCCAAACTCAACGGTTTCTTTTTTAAAATCGACTGTTTTGTCCACAACAGTTGTTATCATTTCTGTGTGAATGGCAAATTCTTCTTCTTTATAGCTTCATTAAAACGCGCAAATTCCATAAATTCGCCAACATTTAATAATGCTTTTTAATTAGAAGCAACAAAATGTCCATGGCTAAATACCTGAACCGTTCCGTGGGCAAAGCTGGCAAAGATGCGGCTGCGAGGATCTGCACCCTGAAACCCACGGAACCAGAGCATCAAGTGATTCATCTATCCGCGGGCGAGAATTTCGTGGGACGCAGCCGGGAAACCGGAATCCGGGACTCAAAGTGCTCCAAGCGACAAATCGAACTGCAGGTGGACATGAAGAAGGCCGTAGTCGCCCTGAAAGTCCTGGGAGTGAATCCTTGCGGCGTCAATGGCGTGATGGTGATGCAGGACACGGAATGTAAGCTCAATCACGGCGATCTGGTGGAGATCGTCTATGGCAGACATCCCTTTGAGGTGGTTTTTAGTCCTCCACCAACGGATGACAACGAGAAAGCTGCTCCATCGCCCACTTCTGCGTCTATTACCGAGAAAACCGAGAAATGGGACTCCGCTGGCAATGGAAAACTAGTAATTTTTACCAGCGCCGGGGTAAGAGCATCTGAAAAGATAGCCGGCTACGATATGGATGGCACCATCATTAAAACCAAATCGGGATTAGTTTTCCCCAAAAACACCGACGACTGGCAGATCATCTTTCCCGAAGTACCAGAGAAATTGAAGAGTCTTCACAAAGAAGGGTTCAAGATTTGTTTCTTCACTAACCAAGGAGGCATAGCACGAGGAAAAATCAGCCTTGATGACTTTAAGGTAAAGATCAAGCAAATTGTGGCTAAACTAGGAGTTCCCATTCAGGTATTCATAGCCATTGGAGATGGTTTCTACCGCAAACCGCTGACTGGAATGTGGCAGCATCTTCGAAACGAAATGAACGACGGCCTGGATATCCAGGAGGACCGCTGTTTCTTTGTGGGCGATGCAGCTGGAAGACCGGAGACGGGCAAGGGAGCCACTAAGCAGCGCAAGGATCACTCTCTAGCCGACAGACTCTTTGCCGCCAACATTGGGCTTTCTTTCTACACTCCTGAGGTCCATTTTCTGGGCAAACGAGTGGAGCAGTGGAACAAGCCGGACTTCGATCCCACTGCCGTACATGACAAGTTGTCTCTGCTCGATCCAGATGATCTAACCTTCGAGGGCCACTCCTGTGAAATGGTCATCATGGTAGGGCTGCCGGGTTCCGGCAAAAGTCACTTTTGCGCTGCCTTTTTTCAATCACGAGGCTACAAAATCGTCAATGCGGACACCTTGGGAAGCACTCAAAATTGCCTAACTGCCTGCAAACGCTTCCTTGACTCGGGAAATTCCTGTGTGGTTGACAATACCAATGTGGATTCGGCATCCCGCAAGAAATTCCTGCAAGTAGCCAGCGAAATGAAGATTCCCTGCCGCTGTCTTGTGATGAACTTGCCTGTAGCTCAGGTTAAGCATAACATTGCTTTCCGCGAGTTATCCGACACCAACCACTCCAAGATCAAGGATATGGTCTTCAACATGATGAAGAAGAAGTACCAGGAACCAACATTAGATGAAGGGTTCAAGTCCATTCACAAAGTGAACTTTAAGCCGGAGTTTGCCGACGAAAAGCAGGAGAAACTATATAAAATGTACTTGTTGGAGAAGTAATGAAAGTTGTATTTAATCCAACGTGAATATACGCTTGGCTATGTCGTCTATCAACCAATCCATAGAGCTGAGAAGCTTCTCCCCGGTCACCGCGCTAACTCCGGCCACCAACCAATGATGCGTGGTGATCTCCTCCAAATGTAGTATCTTAAAGGATTAAGGATATTAAATATGATTTAAAATCTCAAAACCAAAAACTATTTACCTCTTTAATTTCATTTGATGAGAGGGCACCAGGCAGATCCTGCTTATTGCATAGAACCAGGAGTGTGGCTCCTGCTAGACGCTCTTCTTGGAGCAGGACCTGCAGTTCTTGGCCACATGACTCTAGACGCATCCTGTCTGCACTGTCCACTACCCAAACCAGACCATCAGTGCACTCGAAATAATTCCGCCAGTAGGATCTCAGGGACTTCTGGCCACCAACATCCCACATATTGAGGGTGTAGCCATTGTGCTCCAGGGTTTTAATGTTAAAACCAAGTGTGGGAGAGATTGTGTCTATTGGTTCGCCGTTAAATCGTTTAAGAATCGTCGTTTTGCCGGCATTATCCAGGCCTCTAAAGTTAAAGCCAGGAATGAATCACTAATCTTCGTTTTAAAATGTCCAAGAACTCACAGCAGCAAAATGCGCATTTCCTTTTCCCTCTGACGCATCTTTTTTAATACTGTGAGAAAGCCCATGGCAACGTTTGTGTTTTTGTAAAACAATGGACTAATAAATTAATTATTTTATAGACAGCTGCTTAAATTTCTGTTTCAGTAAATAATAATTTCCGGGTGAATACCAAAAAAGTACTGGAACACTATCGGCCATTGAATTCGATCTATCGATATAACATCGATTTTCCTCCAGCTGTAGCTGTCATATTTGAGGTTCGATATTTTTCGCCCAGGAAAAGTGCTCGCCTTTTGCTAAATATTAAAAATAAACCCAAGCAAGATGATGAACCTATCCAGAGTAAGTAAATAATGGACTCCACAGTACTTCAGATTTCAAGCTGGAGAAAAAACATGAGTTTCATGAGTCAAAAAAGCAGTACTCCCGAGTAATTACGTAAGTTCCCTGGAGCGTCCAGAACTAACCGCACATTTTTTGCCCTTCCACAGGCTGTTGTCCGTAGCTTCGCTACCACCGCTGGCCGCCGGTCCGCCGCCGTGCCCAAGGAGCAGATCGAGAAGGGATACTTCGAGATCCGCAAGGTGCAGGAACACTTCCAGAAGAAGGACGGCAAACCCGTGTTTCTGAAGGGCTCCGCCGTGGACCAGGTGCTCTACCGGGTCACGATGGCCCTCGCTTTGGTCGGCATCGGCGGCATGGGCAAGCTCTTCTACGATCTGAGTGTGCCCAAGACGGAATAAAATCACCATCCCAAAACCTAAGCTAAGCCACTAAACCCGCAAGATCCGTGATTCAGTGTAGTCGCCTTATATTTCGATGTTTTGATTGTGTAAGTTCCCTGCGGAAACGCATAACCCATAACTTCATAATACTACATTTACGATTGATTTTTCTTGTTTCCCAAATCTGATTTGTGAGCTCAATTAGTTTATTTTTAAAAAATGTACATATATTTGTATGTAATAGTTCTCTTACACATTGTGTACCTTCTTCCGTTGTGTTTTTATGTTTAAATGAAACATTTGATTCTATCATTTTTTTTAACTTTCCTTATTTGTCTAAGAACTTAATTATTATATTGCCTAGCATCATCAAACAAGAATGTTAAAATTTAGACAGCTTATTAGTGAAATAAGTTTGACTAATCTAGCTAAAGACATAAAGGACATAAGACATTGATCCTCCCTAATACAAACAGTATTTCAACATCTATAACCTATTCCTCTTAATCTTCCAGAGCTTTGCCCCGTATACCTGGTCAACATGGAACACCCCAACCCACAACCTGGCTTGTTGTTTTGTGTTAGAATAGCTAAGATTTGATGTGTAAACTGAACATTCGCAAGAGCATTTAAAGCGTGGAAATATAAGAGAAGCTGGCTGTAAAGTAACGAGACTGCTTATTTGTTTTAATGCATGGTCGCTGGCAATGATATATTTGCCCAAAAGTATTTCCCCTTAATTGCATTGACATTAAGCAAACAAACAGCGGCGGCATGGAGCGAAGATCTGGGATGCGGCCGAGACTGGGGAATCGGCTAAGGCAGCAGCAACGCCAACGGTCTGTTTTATAAATCAAAGGGCGGCAACTCGGCGCGTTGCCATTGGCATGGAAATGCATTTTAAATCGAGCGAATCATGTTGCGCTTTAACACAAGCACAGGCCCATGCACGCCGCCCGTTTATTAATATCCGACTGCGGTGGAATATGCAATTCAAGGCGTTTTTCATTAGTTATTTCTCCATAAACACTTAAATAAAACTAAAGCATTAAAAATTAAGAAAACATCCGCCGCTTTATGAATTTTCTCTTGCATTTTCCATACAATCGCAGATGGGCAGTGCGTCTCATAAATGTTGTGAAAATTAGGATATAGTTTTTATAAAAGAAGGTTCCACAAAATGATTTTATATTACATTTTGTATTGTATATTCCATTAGTAAAACTATTCCATCAATTAGTTCAAGAATCTTGAATAGTCCAAATTTTTAGTTTTTAAATTATCCATAAAATGTGTAAGAAGAAAACATTTGTTTGCATAAACACTTCTTGGGCTTATATTTGTATTATCAAAAATGTAAGTTAGTGGTTTGGTCTTGACAATTCGAAATAAGAAGAATCATTTTTCAGTACTCAAATTTCTTCCAAATATTATTGTTATCTTAAAACGTTTTGTAAAGATTGCTGTTCGGATGAGATATGGAAACTCATTTGATTAAAGCACTTTCCATAAGATCTCGTGGTACCTGCCTTACATTTTTTCTACGCACTGTACTCGCACACCCACCACAAGGGAAAAATAAGAAAAACATAGTCTTTCCTTTTCTGTAGTGTTGTGTTGGCTTGCTATTATTCCGTTACGGCCCATTTAAATTTCGGGATGTGCGCGCGAAACGAAACGCATAAAATGGACGCGAGTTGGTATACCGTTAACGTTAACACATTTTGAACTGCAAAAAGTTCTGCGTAGGTGGCTTCGAACGGAACTTGCACTGGTGATCTATTAGTGCAGACATTGTAGCCCACTCCCTTCACGTACTTCCCATACCTCTGATTATCCCAAATATATAGATTCTACGAACGGGAAAGATCTCAATTTTTAATTAAAGTTCGTTTGGCTAATTGTAGGATTGGATAGGATGGGATGGGATGGAATGGCGGCGCACATGTCGCAAACTTATTATATTTCATAGACTGTGAAAAATTTAAATGAACACAAAATGCCAGAGCTCTGGCGGGGTTCCATCTTATGCCGTCTTTCGGTCGGGATCTTTCGGAGTAACTGCAACTGCAACCGTTCCACTCGACTGCCCACAGCCAAATTACAATAATAACTCAAGAAGCATAGAAGATGCCAGGCTAAACGCTCCGCCTTCTCTTCCCAGGGTAATCCTTTGCCAAAAACAATATGGTAGGAGCGAATCAAAAACAAACAAAATAAGCCCCAAAAGTGGGGGGATTGGATGCGGATGCGTGTAGAATCGGGAATCGAAAAATGTGTTTCATTAAATCTTATTTATAGTCGGCAATTTTATGCATTTAAAGCGCGTCTATCAGCGCTGCATCTCAGCGGCATCAAGGCGATGCGGAAACGGCAGCGACGCCATATTGGATGGGAAACTCATAGGCGGCGGGCTTTGATTCTGGGCGGGATCAGGGGGGAGTTGTGGAGCAGGGTCAAACTGATTACCATGCCAATCGAAGGGATTCTTCTTGGGGAGAACCAACTTTCACCTTTCCCCTGTTGTTTGTTTTCTTTTTTTGTGGTTGGATTTTTGTATCCAGCACTTGCAGGGTATAAAAGGTATTATGGACCTTGTTTTTCGCAAACTAAATATGTTTAAATTAATTAATTCTGAAATATCTTAGTTCGTAACATAAAGATCAATTTCAATCTGCTATCTATATCGTTAAGAAATTTGTGTTTACATTTATTATTGCCTTTAAAAAAATATCCAATGATATGCTGGATCTGACTTTTTATAGATTTCAAATAATTCTTATAAAGGATTTCCACATTGGTTCCCTATTTTGAAATTTTTTAGGGCAAAGGGATCAGAGAATAATCGGTATAGGTAACCACAGCAACGCCAAAAAGTATGCAATGAAATTTTATATTTCAACAGTAGTTTAAACCCAGATAATATTTCCCCAATTTTATAAAATGAACCTCCAAGTTAAGTAACGTTATTATCCAAATAAAGTAATAAGTATCTTACAGGCGGGACTTCTCAGGTCCCATCTTCTTCACTCGTTAGATGCTCCTCACGTGAATTATGGCCACGTCCTGCTCCGGATCGGATCGGATCGGCTTGGGATCCCGGATCGCAGTCCTCAGTCCGCACAGCAGCCGCAGCCACAAATCAGAATGCCGTTGAAGCGTTCAAGTGCAACGAGCATGAAGCGAACTCGCTGCCGCTTTCGTCTCCAACTCGATTTGGGTCCCCAACTTCCTCCCCCGGCCGATGCTTCCCCAGTTCCCAACTTTATCTCCATCTCCCCGTTTGAGGCTGTCGGCAAATCTGGGCAACTTTCAGATGAGTATTTCGTCAGATTGTCGCTGGCGGTTTCTGCCAGAAGAAATATGAACAAAAAACACGGGTAAAGTCGGACCTTCGGGCGATTTTTTGACTCTTCGAATATGTTTGCCCAACGAAACCCGTTTGGCCTATTAACACTTCGATTACAACTCAACTTTTTCAGCACTCCGGATGCACGGACACGGAGCCGGGCACTCTGGGTGGTCCCGTCGCACTATTAGTTAGATTTTGATTTATTTGAGCTTCAATTAGTCGTTGAACAAATCTGTTTATTTATTTGCTTTTAATTATTGTTGGAAACCACAAAGCCGTGCCACCGCTCTTTATGGTCGCTCCTTGCCTTGGCCGAAGAAGGTTTTTAATTAGCACCCGCCGGATAATTCACAAAAAAGCCATCACCAAATAGCCGAGGATTTCTTCAGACGTTAATGGAACCGATACCCCAAACGATCGAGCATGGCAAACACAGTTTTGTCTTTCGAAATAACAACCGAAGCGAATGCTTATTTTCGGTTTCTATTTGCGAATCTGGAATCCCCATTAAAGTGGGGCGAAAATACCTGCAATCCATCGTAAAGAGCTATGTTCAATGGGTAATAAGATTATTTTGATATAGTTTCGCATCCATGGCTTCGTCCAAAATATGAGGGATTCGGATGGCGTAAACAAACAAAAACATATTGTATGCCTTGCCGGAGAACTGGAGGAATGCCGTAATATATGTATATAGCCATTGGGAATTTATAGGCCGTAACAAGCCCGGCCCCGTGAAAGATGCGCCGGAAAACCGAAGCCACGGCAAACCAGAAACACATGTCCAGGCCGAAGGACTTTCGGGGGATGGGAATGTACATATATATTGGTCAGTGCTGGGAACAACGTCATCTAGTTAGGAATTTAAGTGCGAACGTGTGGGATCAGGTGACACTAAGGTCGGTTGCGGTATGTTGCCTCTCAAGTGAGCCGGGTATTCGCTTACACCAATAATTCATCCTCAACTGCAGTTGCGTCGATCCGTTTTATGTAGCGCCCAAGGTCCAGGGTTCCAGGGTTCTAGGACTCAAGTGGGTCGCGTAATCACGTGTCGATGCCTATTTCGACTGGGGGGTGTCGCTGCCGTAGACAATTTGACGCTTCCGCCCACTCCAGCAGACATGCACTGGAGATAAAAATGTTTCTTTAATGATTCTCCTAAAGATCTGAATTTTATTATTTCGGTAGATTACAGAAAATATTTGGAGAATTCTAATAATTTGAATTTCAGTTGCTCGTAGCATAGAAATATTTTATTAGATCTTTCATGATCTAATGCCTTTCATGATTATTATAAAATATTTATGTTTTGTATTTTCTTATAAGGTTATATACAATTGAAAAGCGGATTAGCTCTAAACAAGATACAGTTCTTTATAAGAGCCCTTATATAAATTATAATATTTTGACGGGAATTAGTTTATTGGAATTTCATGGTGGTCCCAAAGCCCTCTTATAAATACAGCTTAATCGACATTAAAATAAATCATTGACCTCTAAAAAAAGCGTTGTTTTGATGTCATCTTAATCTTACAAACGGTATGCTTTTCATGCTTCATGATTTAAGAGTGAATTTTTTCCAGTGCATAGTCCACGCTCATATGGCGCAATCTTACATAAGTAGCTCACTGTGTCTGACCTGGATGTGTCAATTTAATAGCGCGTTTGCCACTTTATGACACTCGATGCTGCTCCTGGCACTCGGACTCCTTCTCCCACTCCTTTTCCCAAATCTCTGGTGTTAGCTCCTTTGTTTTTTCAAGTGCCTTGCATATCCCTCTCCGACTCTTTTCACTCCTTGTTGTTTCACAACACAGGGAAATTCGACTGGGAAGAATCTGTGAAAGAGAAGAATAAGCGGAAAACGCACAGTGTTCATTTGTTATGCTTGTCATTTGTCGCTGCCTGCCGGCAACTTCAAAGCCTGTCACCCAATTTGTTAAACGCGGAGACAATTTTGTCATCGGCTCCCCCACTTCAGTGCCAATTCTTCAGCCATCACTCTGAAGCTTCGGCCGCCGGGAAAGAATTCTTAGCTTTCGCATGTGGCCAATTATTTTGTAAGTCGATCCAATGTCGTTTTCGGGGCTTGCCTTCTACCATGTGGTTCACATGATCTAAAATTCGGTGAGATTAAATCCGTTTAAAGCGTTTTTCTAAAGCTTAGATATGATCAAAAAATATTTTAGAAACTTTTTATTTGGTGCTACATTTAATAAAAAAATATACATATATTTTTAAACCACTTGATAACACTTGAGATATGTATCACATTCTTAACACTTACACAAATTTGACTAAGAAAAAACAATATGTTATTGAATTTTTAAAAAGTCGAAAATATTATAGTTTTTAAGCAATAACAAATTATAAAGTAACTAAAAACTAAAATAAATGTATTTTACAACTGAATGCTAAAATGGAAGTTAGATAATATGGATTAAAAAAACAATTCAAATCATTTAAGGGGGTCTTCTAGTCTAGAGGCTCGAATTTCGACCTTTTTTTAACGATTAATAAAAAAAAATCAATAGATATTTTTACTATCCGTTTTTTTTATCATTTGTTTATTAAACTTAAAGGAGTACATAAAATAAATTTCAAAAAAAAAAATTAGTTTTCATTGAGTTATTCCTTCTTGAAGAAGAGGGGAAAAAAAGAGGCCGTGTCCGCGTCGCCATGATATCTATGCTTGTAATTATCTGAAAAATAAAACAATGATAGATTATTAATGAGTACGAATGTCGCTATGGCATGAACCACCAAAAAAAATCTTTTTTCAAGAAATGGCGGCTACTCAAAGAAAAAAGTCGATTTTTTTCACTAATTTTTCCACTTTGTCGAATTTTTTGTTGGTTCATGCGATAGCGATATATTTAAAGAATATTCATGCCAAATTCCAAGTAAATCGACTGATTAGAACTTGAGCTAGAGTGGCGACCGCATCAAAAAAAGTAGTTTCGAGAAAAACGCGTTTAAAGTTCCAGTCGTTCGCTCAACTGGTCTAGTTGCCACGTCACTAAAACGGCAATAACTTTGAAAATAATTTGAGTTTTGAAAAATCCTTTTAGGGAGATATTTTTGAATATCCAAACTATCGAATTATGAAAAAAAAAATTGTTCGATTTTCTCAAATTTTTAGACTAGAAGACCCCGAACGAGTTTACTTAAGTATCAGAAAAGATTAGTCATAAATTCATAAAATCAAGAAATTAATTCGCTTTAAGCAAAGGAAATCTGCGAAATGGCGAACGTCAAACCAGAAATCGCAGGAAATTTAGCTGAGAAAGAGCGAAAATCAGAGAGTGACAGGGAGAGGGCCAATTGGATTCGCAACAAAAGGTATGAGCAGGTAAGCGTAAGCCAACTCAAGGAGGTGTGTCCAACGTGCCATTGTATGTGTGTGTGTGGGCCAAACTCAGAGATACTCACACATTCATAACTCAGAGAAGAGAGCGAGTGCAAGCACAATTATCTCGAAAGTAGCAAGTTTTACCCATTTTAATGAGGGAATGACAACCGAAATTGGCATCTATCATTAAATGACGATATTCGGGATTAGTGACAATCAGATGAAGACGGCATTTTCATATAATTAACTCTAACCAAGCACGACGCAACGCCTCAGTGAGAGTTGGCATCACGCATACGCCGCATTGGCCGCATCGGGAGGTGGATCTACGGGGTTAGCTGTCTGTGCCGCTTTATTAGCGATATGGCTTTCTTAATGAACCAAAAATAGATGCACGCGCACCCAGAATTCCCACAGCCCCGCCCCCTTTCCTTTCTTTCCCTTCCCTTCCCCTCCCTTCCCATTCGTTTCCTTTCCTTTCTATATTCCTTTTCCCTTTCCGCATGTGTGTGACACTAAGAAGTCATGACATCGCTCGCCCACCCTGCGTAACGCTACGGATACGCTTACTTGCTTCAGATTGGCCATTCAAGCATTCAGAAATTAACTCCGCCCGGTTGCGTGTGCTCACTCACTCGGTTCGAGTGTATTGGTATTGCAGCGCAGCTCTTTCGTGAGAGAGAGAGCGAACGAATACTAGTGCAAGGCCCGCACTCATGGTTACACCCACACATCCGCTCGCACACTGAAAGGGTATTCAGGAGCGGTAATATCATTATCCATGATATTAAAGAAAATGTTATCGGAAAAGTTAATTATTGGTTTTGACTGTAAAAGAAATTCTATTCCTGTTGTGCTTGGGGTCACTTTCTTTTAAAATCACTAGCAAAATATAACTAATACCATACTATACTATAATTGCACAACCTTTCTTAAGGTTGGTTTTTAAATCTCCTCTCAAAGTTCAATAGATAATCTTTGTCGTGAAAAACTTACCTAATTTTAAGTTGGAATTTGATGAAAATGAATTTTCTACATTTTTAATTTGAGCTTTAAAGGTTCAAATATATAACAACATTGCAAAACAAAGTGAAATAGCTCACCTGAAGCAATATAAAACGTTTATTCTTTTCTGTTTTAGCCAATAAGTTATTAAAGAATGTAGATGTAAAAAGCGGGAAAAAAGAAAAGTTATGTAAAAAAGTACATTTTGTTTTTGAATTAATTTATTCAACGTACTAAGACCCGATTTTTAAAACTTTTTAACTCCGCTCCTGGGCGACGAAAGACGTTCTTCATTTTTATTATTTGTCCGCGGACCACCAGCTCACGCACACCAGTGCACGAGCATCGCCATTAAAACCAACAAATACTGTCGATCGACCGCCCTCCCTCTCACGGATGTTTATGTGTAAGTAGGAGAGAGCGAGAGATCGCGGGATGCTGCGTCGACGCGGTGGCTTCCACTTGAACATGGGTGTGGATGTGGAGGTGGTTTTGGTTGTGTGCGTGGACGTGGATGATGGGCGATCGTGATCACGATCGGCAGAGCAGCGGGCAGCGTTAGTCGCAGCAGACACGGGTGACGAGCAGCAACGATCGTTTTTGGAGAGCGCGCCAGGGTTTCCCGATCCTAAACCGTTCCAAACCGATTCCAATCGATACGTTACGATACGACCCGATTCGCTAGAGAAGAAAAGCCAACGGATGATCAAAAGGCGCGCGCACGGATCAGTGAATGCGGTTAAATCGGTGCCAAATCCATCGATCTTACGGGAGGTCCCCCAGTCGAGTTAAACTAAACCGATATAATCCGAAATCCAAAAGCATAGCAAAACCCATTGTAGTGTCATTAAGCAGTGTGTGCAGTTCCCGCTTCCCCAATAAGGTGTGATAAGTGCGTGATAATTTTCGAGGCAACCTAGTCGAGTGCGATCGTTTTGGCCCGAAAATGTGCTAATCAGATCTCAGTCTTGGTTCACGGCATCGCAGCCCGACGCTGCTCCGCACAACTGGCGCCAATTTGTATACAAATTTCATGCCTTAATTGAAACTCACATTATAGCCAAGTGCGAAAAGTTAACGACTAGGCAACCGTCGACAATCCCCATCAATAATAAACCATCGCTGCGAATCCAACCGGAGAAAGTTTCACGGCGGAGTCGACAAAAGTAAACGGAGAAGGAGACAATTGCAATTCTGGAGTTCTTCAATCAACTGTCATCGGCCGAAATGGACCCAGGTAGGTGCAAATTGCTACCCTTCAAAATTCTAGGCCCCCCAAAACACTTTCCATTCAACTTAGATTGATTTATCGACATGCGTAAATAGCCGACGGCATTGGATAAGATTCAAAAATATTTCACGCTACAAAAGATTTAAATTGGTATTTTATATCCATTGAATAGTAATTAGTATACTAATTTCAAATTAGTATTATTTAAAGGAATACAACATTATTTATAAATTTAATTTAAATTTGTTGTGCCAATAATTTGTAACCTCGTTAGTTTTGAATTGGTGTCAAGTATAATTCTATTCAGTCAAAAGGTAATTTATGTTTAGAAGTTTACAAAAACGACTTAAGAGGGTTTTTGAACAAATTGTTTAAAGCAGGACGTCATACTATTCTATATGTCGTTTATAAAAATCTATTTTTCAATCAAAGATTAACAGTTTTCGGTCTCTTCCAAAGCTGATTATCATATAAATTTCAATATATTTTTTGGGGAAATAAAAACGAAACCGAATCAAGCAATCCATTTAGCTCTTTAAATTGATTATAGAGACAATTTTTGCCTGTGCACTCAAATCCGCACCTCAAGTGTTTTGCCAACAAAGCACTCTCATCCGATCCTCCAAGCAAGTCCTGATGGATCCCGATCCCCTTAGGTAAACACAGTCGATCGATGGATGGCCCGACTTCTTTTTTTGGGCCGGGCCAAGAGGCAGGTGTTTGCTTTTGATTTTCGTTTCAAAAGGCTGCCGTCGCTTTGCGCATGATTGACAGCCTCGCGGTAGCCGCGGCACTTGTTTGGCTTTCGATGATGTCGCCGGCATCCGTACGCGATCCCAAAACCCAAAACCGAAAACCCCAATCCGATCCCAACCCCAGGCCCAAACTCCGGACCCATGCCTCCTAATTTAACTAATGACCGTTGTAATGTTTGTGCCTTTTGTCGTGCGGTCTTCACTTTTGGCTCCAAGTGTCCGTGTCTCTGTTTGTCCATGTGCTTTGGGCCAAAAACAAAAGCCGAGTGCAAGACATTGCCTTATGGCCGAAAACTACATACACAAGAGTGTAAAGATTTGCCCTGTTGTCGGGAGTTGGATCTATTGACAAACATCTGCGCAATTGAATAATTTGGCATGCGTCGATTTACTTTTAAACATTTCCAATTGGTTGGATCATCTTTCGAAATAATTGGCTAATGGTTTCGGATTGCGCTTTCTATGGGTGACATATTTGCCTTTTTGGTTTAACAAGTTTATGACAGAAGCAGGCTTACAAAAATAATGGATTTTGTGATTTCAAAATATATATTTTTTTAATCACAATATAAAGTTAGAAGTAGCTAAATATTTGGATAGGTAAAAGATAAGATATTTTATTTTTGTTTAATTTGAATCAGTAAAATATAAAAATAAAAGGACGAGGTTTTTTTATTTTATGATATCAAGATGAAACCTATTAATTAATCTGCCTCACATATGCGCCCAATAGTTTCAAGCATTTATTTGTTTGTGGTGAACTTCCAAATTGCAAAGTATCAAAAGGGTTTCACTTAAAGGATATATGTTTTTTCCACTTGGCCTGGCAGGAAAGAGGGAAGAAGTCGGCTAGGAGGTCCCGCACTTTGGTCCATTAATGACTTGCTTTCGATGTTTTGACATTCTGTTTGTACGCCGGCATTGTTTGCACGGCCGCAGACGTCGGAAAAGATATAGACGCCGAGAGGTCCATGGTTGGCAGACCCATACCCAGACTCTGGACCAGAGATGCAGAAATGCGTGACTAACGGCCACCGGTAGCCATCTACTTCGGTAGCTAAACATGAAAAGCCCACCAGACGCGGGCCGCAAGTGCAAGATGTTAAAATCACGGAAAGGGGCTGTAAAACAAAAGGCGCAGACGATGGCCACGAAAGGCAGGCAAACACTTGAGATCCGAGGAGGAAAACGTCGCGTCAATGTGTACACGCCTTAATGGAAGAGTCTATATAGTGTGTATTTGGTAGGTGGCCAGGAGTAGGGTGCGGTGGATGGCCGGGGGACTGGGGGAGTGATCATAAAGCCCGACCTGCAGCTTCCTCCCGTTGATACCGACGATTGCAGGCCGGGTTTGGGAAAACGCTTCACTGCCACGGCTTGATTGTGTGGCGTCGTTTCCCCTGACTTCTTTAATTAAATCACATCCCCATCCGCTGATGCGGAACTTTCATCAAGCCCATTTGCAGTAATTTCGGGTATTACAAAACTTCTGAGAGCTTTTAAAAAAACCAAAAAACGATTTCATTTATAAAGTTTCACAAAGAATTTATCATAATTATTCCATAAAAAATTTTTAAAAAGGTTTCCATCTTTTAAAAAATTGAGTAAGCTGTTTATTAAATAGGATAAAAGTATTAATAAATTGATATCCTACTGATAAATATAAAAACACTTTGAGGCAAGAGGTTAAGATCACATTTGTGGATCGGTTGAAATTTCCTCCCTATCTTCCTTTGGATATCTCCCCACGGATCCAACCTCTGACATCTGACAAGTGTACTTCATGTTGTTGAGGATAAACTCAGCTCATTACCATGAGTTTAATGAGTTTCTAATCGTTAGGGGGCACGTGTTCACTCCGGGATAATGAATGCAGTCGCATCAATAAGCGGACTTCTAACATCTGGTTGTAACCCCTAACCCCTTGATGGCCTGTGTCAAGTCCCTTGGGTGCGATGGCGACCCGCAACCGGAACTGCTGCACAGGAATTCCGACTCCATTTCCCAGTCTTGGAGCTATAGAGCCAGTGCTGCTAGTTTGGCTATTTTTCAACCAGTTCTTATATAAACTAAGAAAAGATTCTTTAAGTTTGCAAATATTTCGTGGCATTGAAAAGTCAACTTGAGCGTTAACTAAAAAAAGTAGAACTTACTTATCTCTGTTAAACAAACTCCAACACAAAGAATTATAAATATTTTAGCTTACAATTTTTAAGCATCCCGTAAGTTGAATTTATTTTTTTTAAGTGAAAAAAGGTACACAAATCCTCATGATTTTTGGTTATTTTTTCATAGCAACCGCCTTAGCTACTTTCTGTAATCCCCAGAGGGCAGCACCGCCTAGGATTCGGGAGTGGGCGAGCTGGGGAACACATGGTTAGATTTATATGCATGTTGCGGCTGTCAGCGACGGGCGTTGCACATTGCTCGAGTGCCGGCGAACCCGAACTGCGGCGGAGTTGTCGGTTCTAGTACATTGCCAATGATTGGTCGGATGCGTTGGATCTCTGGATCTCCACATTGGGTCTGTGGGACGGGATCGGAACTCTGGCCATGGGTTTCGCATCGACATCGAGCACATTTCGGCTACGCACTGCGCATTGTGCGCATTCCTGGTACGCGTAATTGAAGTCGCCGCGGCATATCTTCTTTGGTTTTCGGCTGGGTCGCACCCCTTTCGAGTTTACCCGACATCGGAGCTAGAGCCGTCATATTTCCTAGCCCATACTATCCCATTGGCCCCCATCTCCCAAGGGGGCGGGATAAAGGAGCGAGTGCGTCGCTATCTTGGCGGTGGCTGCCGTGATTTACGGACTCATTAATTTCTGTTGACAGACAATGCTGTTGACGCCGCAGGAATCTATTTAGCTTTATGTACTTTTGATTCCCACTTGCTGGGGCGCCTATTTTATGGGCTTCATTTATAATTCGAAGCACTTGATCTTAAATCGAACATGTACAACAGCATATGTAAATTTTGGCAGATTTGATAGCTAAGAGAAATTAAATAAGAAGCTGTTTAAAAAGCTTAATATAATTCAGAAATGAATTACATTTAACAGCAGTTCTTTAAATTATGTTATGTAAAAGAAAGTAATTCAAATCAACGTAAAAAGAATCGAGATTACGGGTAGAATCGATCGAAGCTAGGAAAACAGAAAGCGATTCCAGTCCTGACTCTTTTCATTGATAACACTCGGATTTGAACTCTGCAGATTAAGAAGGAAAATGGCATTGCCAGCAGATCAAAGTGACAGACGGAGAGTGGCTTCCTCTTTCTCTTGGCCGGCGACTCGAGTCTGTGAAATTTACTGATAAATAAATGCGATTGTGCGGCAAATTGTGCAACGCTCCGAATGCAAAATTGTCGACAAGCTCTTGTAGTTAGTATAGAAAAGAAAAAAAACATCGATGTGAAAACTAAACTATTTATAAGTCGAGGAAGACCGCAACAATGTGCATGTGGGCAACTAACTAAATATTCACAATGTGAGCAGTGGAAAAGGGGCGTACCACATGGCGTATACGCGACGCGCTGGCTGAGCCTCAGCTCAAGTCAACTGAGTTGTTAAATTAATTTTTTCTGCATGCCGAATGCATATAAATTTTGATAAGATGCAAGAAAATAAACATATGAAGGCATCTCCCCACCGCGACGGCGCTCCGTCAATCAACCTGAAGACCCCAGTTCCGAAGGAGAAGGAACCGCTTGCCAAGACCCAAAGATTTATGGGGACAACACGCAGTCGAAAATGCATTCGCACATATTGTATAGTTATGAGATGGGAAATCCAATTTGCCATGCACTTTTATACCCTTCCAATAAGTAAAGTTCTTTTGAATTTGAATGATCATTTTCGGAAATTACATCCACATTTTAATAATATATAAGATTCGATTTTTGCAGGAAATGTATTATATTTTTTCATATTTGGACTTCCCATTTGTGAAATTTTCACATAAATCTGTTAGTTCCGGAAATATTTATTAGGCCATTCAAAAAATCAAAATAAGATAGTATCAAACTTAATAATAGTCGAATATTCCCCCATTAAAGTGTATTTAATCGTCAGACTTAATATATATTGGCTTTTTGGGGATGTCTTTTTGATGTGATTCTGCCTGCTGATCAAAACAAACACCAAACCAGAAGCCCCAAAATATATTGCCCTCAATATCAAAAACATCATTTCATGCCAAATTTATATCCAATTCGGGCCCAACGAACTAAAAATAAATGTGTATCCAAATTGGCAGCCATTTTGGTATTTTGATATTTATTTTATTTGTTTGCAGTTAATGTTGTGAATATTCAGACAATTACTCAAAGTTTCTTGCGATTTAATACAATTTAGTGGACCATTTTCGTAGAACGCATCGCTTCGTGTGAAAACGTGTTAATTGACGGCCCGCTTATTAATTAAAATGAAATTTGAATGGCATTTTTATTTTCTCAAATAAAAGTCTCATAGGCGTGATAAGTATTATTGTCATCGTCGGAGCTCGCTAAAATTTCGCCTACGCAATCAAATACAAAGTAATAAATAATACAATGTATTTTTATGATCACATAAACAAAATGTCTTATCAGTTTGAAATGTTTGAATTTGTTAAATTCAATTAGGCAGAAAATAAGTTCATTGCCTCTCGACATTTGACATCGAAAATGTTCTCAGCGTTCATGTTTTTGAAATAATCGCCAAGTCAATTGGATGCCTTGTTGGAGTTGATTCAAAGTATTTTTTTATTGCAATATTAGTTGCAACTTATCGACGAGACAAGACAAATAGGAAGAGGAGGCATTCTCGATTATCGCATCGGTATATATTTTTCCAAGCTGATAAGATAAGTATAAATAAAGTATATATATTCATGTGACTGTAGTGAAATAATTCCTTACATGGAGTTTACAATAAAACGTATCATTAAGAAAGAAGACCCATCTGTAATAATATAAATAACGAAATTTCTTTTTTCAAAATTAATTCTGTTCTTGAAGCCATTAATCAGAAATACAACTTTTTAATTAAAATACCATTGCTGTAAGTTTTAAAATTGTTTTTGATATACCAGAAGCTATACTGTACATACTCATACATGCTGACGTTTTTCCGACCCCTCCGTCCATTTTGTTTAGCGAAATATTATTTTTAATTAGTTCTAGTTAGTTAACGTTCGTTAATTGCTCCTGTAATTGGATTTACGCGCATCAGTGGCTTTCGTGAATACTTTAATGATATTTTAATAAATTATAAAAAACTTAAGCTGCAATATGTGGAACTTTAATTGCCGGCGGCAAAACTTTGACGAAAGGGCAAGTGTTGAAAAATTTCCAAGAACAAGAGCCAGAAATAAAAAAGAAACTCTCACAAACAGAAGCACATTAAAGCCGACATTTCTTTCTGGATTGCGTTTGTAATTTGCTGATCGTTGGCGGAGTTCCAGTTGCAACAGTGGTCGCCATTGTATTCGGCAATTTCCCAGAATTTATGAATTATAATTTTGCCATATAGACAATTTTAATTGAGCTTTTTATGGCATGTTGAAAGCCGGGGAAAGGCACCAAAAACGGGAGCTGCACGGAGAACAAGAAGATCAGAGATTATATAGTTTTGCTGTAAATTTAATAATTTCTCTTGTGTTTATTTCTTAAAATACAATTAAATAAAATAGTTCTGGGGATAAAAAGTATTATATTAGAATGTAATTTGAATTTAATTTTATAATACTGTCTTTTATACAAGAATCCATAACGGATTGAAACCCATTTCCTTTTTTTTCTCTGTGTGGATTTCGGGATCTCGAGCCAAGCGTGACCAACTAAGTAAAAGTTTACGATTTCAAAGCAAACACAGCCATTTGTAAGCCATTTGTCCCGAAACACACAGATACAGGAGCGTCGGCTACCGAATCCGTTTTCAATTTCCGCCAGGGGTTGCGAAAGGACCTCGAGTCCGGAGACGAAAATCCATGGGCAAATATTTACCGATCAGGCAAATGCAGTCTCCTCCGTCTCCATTTCGTTTCAGAGTTTACGATTTTTTAAGCTGTTTGCCCGACCTCTTCACAATTCCATAGCTGTTTGCCTTTCATTAACAGAAGCTGCTCAGATCGGACCGGATCGGATCGAATGAGGCCCCGATTTCAGTTTGTTTGCCTTGATTAAGTCGCTGACTAGCGGAAAGTCGGAGTGCCAATGGGGGTGCCAGGAAGGATCCTTATTAGAGCTAAAGTAGCCCAGTCAACTTGATCGGCCGCAGCAGGCGTAACTTAAAATTAAATAAACAAAATACGCCTCTTAGCGTTCGAAGGTTCTCCCGGAGGCAAACAAACAAGCCAAACAAACTCGAAACGCGACGGCGACCTGGGTAGCACCTAACACACTGCTCCTCTGATCGTGACCGACACAACCCGTACCCATGCACCCCGTGTAGGAATACCCACCTCCACCTCCACTTCCACTTCCACACCGGTGGCATGTTTGCACCTTTAATAAGACCAACAATCAGTGCCGACGCATCGCCATCGCCCAAGTAGCCGTGCAGAGGGTCAACGAAATGTTGCACTTGTGATCCCTCGAAAAAGGGGATTGAAGCTCTGACCAAATTGGATTGGAACTGAAGTCACACTGGGAAAAATTGCTTAGCACGTTTCAATGAGAAAAAAAATATCTACATTTCATAGGTTTTGTGTTTCTTTGAAACCTTTTTAATGATATGATCCGTTGTCCATACAATCAATTCATTCGCTACAGTTAAACTTTATAAATGGAATAAAAATAGGTTTGACTTATAGAATCTAATTTACCTTTATTTATACTTCATATTTCCAATAAAACTAGAACTTTGACTTAGTTCGACAGAATCTATTTTTTGGTTATTTTAGGTAATGTTTAATTTATTAAGGAACACAAATTGGTCAAATAAATCACTTTGTGATGGGTCGAAAAATTGCTATAAATTCCATACACAAAAATCTTAAAAGCCTAGTTAAAAATATAATAGTAATATAAAATAATAAACAATATTAATTTCTGTCAGTCAAACTAAGTATTTAATGTTTCCTTCCTCGATATGGCTCATAACTGTCGCGTTCAACATCCATCATTGATCGAATTTCCTTTGGACACTGGGCACGTTGCAAAACGTTTGCTCTTGACTCATCCCATAAGTCAGATCGAAGGAATTACGTGACTAATTTGCATGTGGCGGGAAGCATTTAATTATGGCCGGATGTCGATTGGCTGCCATAAATCACAAGTGAAAAACTTACTCACTGCTTTGAAGATGACTGCTGAGTCGAATCCACATTGCGGAGAATATTCCTCCAATCAGGCAGCAAACCGATAGTTGATTCAATTAATTTTCCAATTTCTCGGTTAGGCGGAGGATCGATTCTTATCTTATAACATAACTCACATATCATAATTAAACCACAAGTGCTCAACTTTGGCTGCCATTAATCTTTGGTAATTGCCCAAAATTGATGTCATGCGTATTTGAAAAGCCATTAAAACGACGCAGCTATCTTCAATAGATCCGAACAAGAAAATAACATCCAGCAATGATCTTTGTCAGCGACAACTAGAAAGTATTTGTTGAGACAAATTTATGGACGCTTAGCGCAAAAGTCAAGCACTCGAAGATAATGTTCTCGAAGGGACCAACAAATTGCAGCCATCATTGAGCATTCTTTAAATGTTTTCCTCGCCGTACGCAGAAATTCGAAAAAAAAGAAGAACCAAAAAGAACAATCAGATTTATATTTAGACTTTGGGTTGCTATGTGAAAAAGTAGTATTTTATAAGGTAATATCTTGGATACAGGAAATGCTTTAGAATATATATTAAAATATATTTCGGTTTCTTATTTATTTGGATTAAATTTAAAATAAAAGGGTCATCCCAGCAATGTGACTTTCTGAAATATGTGGAGGAAAAAACTCCTTTCTATACTCGTTGTACCCATATCAACCCCACTTGAGGAAGCGTATTTGTTGATTCCATGATCTTTGACTCCACTTCTTGCCTTCCTGGCTGCCGCTGGATATTGTGGCCCCTCTCTGTTTGTAACTCAATTCGTAAATAATTAACGATCACGAGATTACAAATGTCAAACAGAATGTCGAGCAGGGAATGACACCCTCCCTGTCGAGGGGGAACCACAGTGGCTCCTTTCGCCGCCACAAATGTTCAAAGACGGAGCACACAAAAAACCACCGACTTGGTCCCGGGATAAATGTCAGCAATCCCTATCCCAATCTCCAGTCTCCAGCCACCAGACTCAATGCGTGTGGGTCTGTGGCGAGTGCCAGCCGATCTGTTGTGACTTATGTCAAGACAATTGCGTTACAACATTTCGAAAATCCAAAGTGCCACTGAATTGCAACCGCACAGATTTACGGCCCATTCGCCAGTTTTATTCTAGGTGGGTTGTTAGCCAAAAGTCAAAATTATCGTATACCAAATCCCATTTAAAAGCTAAGGTTTTATATGTAGGAGGATTTTAAATATCAGTGTGGTTCCCTAACCACCAGAAGCAGCTGTTGGAGTGGGTGTTGATTCCCCTGGTGCTGTAGTTACTGCAGGAGCTACTGATGTGGCAGGTGCGGAAGTGGCAGGTGCCGAAGTGGCAGGTGCCGAAGTGGCAGGAGGATCAGTAGCTACTGGTACCGGAGCTGCTGGAGTTGTTCCTCCTGCCGGTGGAGCTGCAGTGCCTCCATCCGCCGTAGCATTTGGAGCAGATTGAACTACAACCGTACAGTTGCGACAAACCACTAAAAAGAAGAGATAATGTAGACACCCGAAAAGAAAAGTCCCTCCGACTCACAGTAACTTTCATTATCGGCTTCATAATCACTACTGTCTTCATAGATAATATCCTCCAGGAGGGACCACCAGTCTGAGGAATCACGCTTCTAAGAAGGATAGTATAAAGCATTAGGTACCTTATAGCTTTACTCGATTTACCGTCTTAACAGCAGATTCATCCAAGGACCTAGCCTGAATATTCAAACAATTTAACAGCAGGCAACAGCTCAGTGCGACTAATATATTTCTTCTCGGCGACATCTCAACTCTGACTGACCAGAATGACAGAGAAACCCGCTTATATAGAACCTACAACTCAATATTTTGTAATATTTTCTGACATTTATTGCACTGGGTAATGGGAATTTTTAAGAGGGGGTTTAGACACGTACATGAAATTTAAAAAAACTTGAGGCAGAATCTATCTTATTGATTTTGGTAACGGATTACAATTGAAATGTACTAATGATAGCTCCATTATAGTGCAGTAAACCTTACTCATAAACTATTAGTTTCATGAGGTCTTTTATAAAGGTGTCTTGAAGTAGAAGTAAAAAAAATAATGAATGACTATGCATCAATCCAATATTGCCCCGATTTCAAAATAAATTGTTGCATACTTTTAGACACCCTAATAAGTGATTTTAAAACCATAGTTTTTTCTGAGGCACCCCTCTTCATCGATGTCAAGATTCAGGTGATAATAGTTTTGACGATTTATTTCAATATTTCAATTTTCTCAAAAATCCTGGTTTAACCAAAACCATTTTAACTTATTTCCAAACAGTATCGCCTAGTCGAACTCCGATCATATCCGTGCAATGCTCCCATCTATTGCGATCACCTTTTGAAGTCGGGAGATACCCATGTCGATTCCGCCTATTTCGAACAGTTTTCCATATTTATGCAGCTGCACGTTCGCCTTTTGTCTGGGGGCCCAATACAAACGACCCCGAGTGCAAGTGCTGGCAATGATCGAACTGCAATTGACAAGTGCGCAAATCCATAACCATAAACTATGTACACGAAATTCGACACTGGCAGGGATCATTAGCTGGGGATCGGTGGGTGTGGACGTGGATGTGGATGGGATGGAATGGGATTGGATTGGATTGGATGGGTGGTGATGACGATGATGTCGGGCAACAAGTGGGATGGTAATCCGATATGTAAATAGCGGGAAAACGAGCTTGTAAGTCGCGAATTGCCCTCCTGAATGGAACACCATCGGGGTCGATATACTCCGTCTCCATGATGACTATCGTTCCTTTGTCCGGTTCCTTCCTGATTTCTTGAGATTGCCAGCACGAGTAACCCGGGAGCTCTATTGTGGTTTTTATGGCGCTGCACTCTCCGCATCAGTACGTGTTGCAATTGGAGTTGCTGTTGTGGAACACGATTCGAAATTAGAAGACGGCGCAGATGTGCAGCAATGCCTCCAACTGCCCAACTGCCCAACTGGCCATAATTGTAATGGGCCGAACGGCAGTTCCAGACGGAGCGAGAGGTCCAGTGGCAGGTGAAAAGAATGGGGACTCCAGATACGGGTTTCCCATTTACCAACTACCAACGGCTAGCTATAGTAGTAAAACATGAGTTCTTTTTTTGTTTCCTAGAGAAGTAACGCTTACAATGGTACAAAGTGTATTACCAATCTCTCAAGTTGAGTACGCTTTGCTATCTGTTTTGGTAAGCAAAGTTAACATTTTTATGATTCTACAATTCAGATTGTTACATACCTATACCAGAATATTTATTTAATATTAATTAAAATTGTTTTTCAATGTGGTTTACCAGATAATAATTATTAGCCTGTGGTGTCTTTGAATTCCCGATACTAATTTTTCAATCACAAACCAAATCAGCCCAATAAAATACAATATACGCAAGTGTGCTGAAGAACTACTTCTACATTTGTTTCAAATCTGAATATAGTAGTGTTTTATACTCGTTGCTCTGTGCCAAAAGTGCAAAATAACGCTTGTGCTAGGTAACAACAACTATTTTTAATAATTTCAGGTTGATTATGTTGGTCCGTCTACTCTCTTTTTAATTTTTCTACCAAGTCCATCTCATTCACAATGGTTACCACGGAGAAAGCGAACTTGGCCATCTGAAATTTTGTGTCTTCTAATAAAGAAATATTTACTGGATGTAATTTCTTACCTTGAGGTTTGTATTTAGGCAAATTGGAAAAATTCCGCCCGCGGTGAATGTAATCGACTGCTGGACATTGTGAATAAAGTACACCAGCACGGTTCTATATCGACGTTCTGCGCCGATCCATTCGGAATGAAACAATGTGTTGGTTAGAGAGTCACAGTCGCTGATCACTTGCTCGCACAAAAAACAAAAGGGAAAGGTTTGAAAAAGTACGCCGAAGAAATAGAATCCAGAGACAAAACGTTCAATTGCGGTAGTAAAAAACTGCATAGAGACCGCAGCAAAACCCAGAATAAGACCCACAGATAGTAACTGAATGAACATCGTGGCAGAGATCATCGGACGCATCGAGTTGCCAAATCTATATAAACAGGAAGATATAATGTATAACTTGTATTATATTTTCCCTAGCTTTCCTTACTCGACAATCAGTTTGTGATCCTTGACACAGTCCACCAGCTCCGCATAATTCTGATCCTCGCTTTTATCCGGATCGCGTCGAAGATTCTTAACTCGCTGAGCCAACAGTTCAAGGTGTGTTCGCAATGTGAACACATAAACTATCGGATAGACGTCTAAAAGAATGTTTGACAAAATAAGACCACTTAAGGCGGTCGTTTCAATTGCAGTGGTTAAATAGAAATGTTCCTCTGGGTCAACCAGTGGATTATACACATAGAAAGGAGTCTTTCCAATAATTAGAGCTCCGATTACGGCAAGCGTTAAGTAGCCAAAGTACACGCAATAGTAGATAATGACGATTATGTTGCACAATGCAACAGATCGATGGACCTGCATTTTCTCCTGCATCTTGGTGCATCGATTATCCATTAGATCCATGATCTCCAAAGCCCTGAAAAATCGCCTTCGCATGAGCAGCACTGTAATGCCCTTCATCATGGCGGCATTCATGTTGACCGGAGTCTGAACGTAGGTGAACAGGTCGGAGGTCGTGAAGCTACTCATCTTCTTGATTCCGGTCATTGTCAGTCCGTAGGGCAAATAGACAAAAGTGATCAGCGTGGTTGTGAAAGACCAAATGTAATAGAGCCACCAATATGGCCTCGTTCTTGGCGGCAGTCTCCATCCCATTTGATCCATGCCCATATGTAAGTGGACCACCGAATCGCGGGAGCAAAATAAATTTCCAGGGGTTGGCCCTCGGATGTACTTGAAAATCATTTCCGATTTTGAACTTTTAAAGGTTAGTTTGCACTTCAACTTGGTTCTTCGACGACTGAAGACAGTTTTTGATTGAGGTGTATTTATATGAGTTCTTTAATTGCCCAATTGCGAGTATACTATTCAAAAACATTGGGTTATGTTATTAGCGAATGACTTAATTGTGGGAAAGGCTCAATTATTTTGCAGGAAAATTGCCGACTTGTTTTTTAGGGGCGTGTCCGCAAATGGAAATATCTCACATAATTAATTGCTTGAACAGGCTGTTGACATTTTAACTCTTTCACAAGTTTTTTTGCTTATGGTTTTTTATACCCTTGCAGAGGGTATTATAATTTTGGTCAAAAGTGTGCAACGCATTGAAGGAGACATCTCCGACACTATAAAGTATATATATTCTTGATCAGGATCACCTCCTGAGTTGATATAAGCATGTCCGTCTGTCCGTCTGTCCGTCTGTCTGTCCGTCTGTCTGTCCGTCTGTCTGTCCGTCTGTCTGTCCGTCTGTCTGTTTCTACGCGAACTAGTCTCTCATTTTTAAAGATATCGAATTGAAACTTTGCACACATCCTTCTTTCCTTTGCACGCAGTATATAAGTCGGAACGGCCGGGATCGGCCGACTATATCCTATAGCTGCCATATAACTGAACGATCGGAAATGCCATAAGTTTGGTATTTGTAAAGTTAGGAAGTTGAGATTTTCTATGGGTTTTATATTTGGCCAATCAATCTGACTTACCAAATTTCATAAGGATCGGCCGACTATATCCTATAGCTGCCATATAACTGAACGATCGGAAATACCATAACTTTGGTGGTTGTAAGGTTAGGAAGTTTGGATTTTCTATGGATTTAATTTTTGACCAATCAATCCGACATACCAAATTTCATAAGGATCGGCCGACTATATTCTATAGCTGCCATATAACTGAACGAGTGGAAATGCCATAACTTTGGTTTTTTAAAGTTAGGAAGTTGGGATTTTTATGAGTGTTAAGAATGCATCATATGAATAAGTTTGGAGAATATAATTTACAGAATATTCTGCAAGGGTATTTCAACTTCGGCTCCGCACGAAGTTAGCTTTCCTTTCTTGTTGTAAAAGGGGTTTGATATTTTCCAATTAAGACCGAAAGTGATCAGCTAAGTTTTTCAGCTTAGTGCATCAATTGGGTCCCAACAAGGAAAACTACTTCTTACTCCCAAAAGTTTTTTGGCACTACTTCTGCCTTTATTTGAAATTTGAATTTGTGCCAAAAGTGCAACAAAAGGGTTCTGCTAGGTTACTACCTTTGGTAGTTTTACGTTGATTCATGCTATTGACCGTACTACTCCCTGTTTAATTTCTCTACTAAGTCCATCTGCTTCACGATGGTTACCACGGAGAAAGCGAACTTGGCCATCTGAAATTTTGTGTCTCTCAATACTGAATTATTTACTTGATGTAACTTCTTACCTTTAGGTTTGTATTTAGGCTAATTGGAAATAGTCCGCCCGCGGTGAATGTAATCGACTGCTGGACGTTGTGGATGAAGTACAGCCTCGTGGTTTTATACCGACGTTCTGCCCCGATCCATTCAGAATGAAACAATGTGTTGGTTAGGGATTCACAGTCGCCGTTCAATTGCTCACACACAAAACAAAAGGGAAATGTTTGAAAAAGTATGGCAAAGGCATAGAATGCAGAGACAATACGTTCCATTGCGGTATTAAAAAACTGCAGAGAAACTGCTGCCAAACCTAAAAGAAGGCCCACAGATAGCAACTGAATGAACATGGTGGCAGAGATCATCGGACGAATCGAGTTGCCAAATCTATATAAACAGATAGATATAATGTACAACTTGTATTATATTTCCCCTTGCTTTCCTTACTCGACAATCATCTTGTGATCCTTGACGCAGTCCAACAGCTCCGCATAATTCTGATCCTCGTTGTTATCCGGATCGCGTCGAAGATTCTTAACTCGCTGATCCAAAAGTCCAAGGTGTGTTCGCAATGTGAACACATAAACTATCGGATAGACGTCTAAAACAAGGTTTGACAAAATAAGACCACTTAAGGCGATCGTTTCAATTAGAGTGGTTAAATAAAAATGTTCCTCTGGGTCAACCAGGGGATTATACAGATAGAATGGACTCTTTCCAATAAGTAAAGCTCCGATAACGGCAAGCGTTAAGTAGCTAAAGTATACGCAATAGTAGATAATGACGATTATGTTGCACAATGCAACAGATCGATGGACCTGCATTTTCTCTTGCATCTTGGTGCATCGATTATCCATTTGATCCAGAATCTCCAAAGCCCTGGAAAATCGTTTCCGCATAAGCAGTACTGCAATTCCCTTCATCATGGCGGCATTCGCGTTGACCGGAGTCTGAACGTAGGTGAACAGGTCGGAGGTCGTGAAGCTACTCATCTTCTTGATTCCGGTCATTGTCAGTCCGTACGGCAAATAGACAAAGGTGATCAGCGTGGTCGTCAAGGACCAAATGTAATAAAGCCACCAGAATGGCTTCGTTCTTGGTGGCAACCTCCATCCCATTTGATCCATGCCAACATGTAAGTGGACAAGCGAATCACGGGATCAAAATAAATTTCCAGGGGTTGGCCCTCGGATGTACTTGAAAATCATTTCCGATTTTTAACTTTTAAAGGTTAGTTTGCACTTCCCCTTTGTTCCTCGACAACTGAAGACAATTTTTGATTGAGATGTATTTATATGAGTTCTTAATTGCCCAATTGCGAGTTTACTATTCAAAAACATTGGGTTATGTTATTAGCGAATGACTTAATTGTGGGAAAGGCTCAATTAAATTGCAGGAAAATTGCCGACTTGTTTTTAGGGGCGTGTCCGCAAATAGAAATATCTCACATGCTTTGAATTATTAATTGCTTGAACAGGCTGTTGACATTTTCACTCTTTCACAAGTTTTTTTGCTTATGGTTTTTTTTCAAAAAAGGTTGATATTTTCTAATTAAGACCGAAAGTGATCAGCTAAGTTTTTCAGCTTAGTGCATCGCTTAGGTCCTAACAAGGAAAACTACTTATTCCTCCCAAAAGTTTTTTAACACTACTTCTGCCTTTATTTGAAGTTTGAATCTGTGCCAGAAGTGCAACAAAAGTGATGTGCTAGGTTAGTGTTACGTTGATTCATGCAATTGTCCGTACTACTCCCTTTTTAATTTCTCTACCAAGTCCATCTCCTTCACGATAGTTACCACGGAGAAAGCGAACTTAGCCATCTGAAATTTTGTGTCTCTCAATACTGAATTATTTACTTGATGTAATTTCTTACCTTTAGGTTTGTATTTAGGCCAATAGGAAACAGTCCGCCCGCGGAGAATGTAATCGACTGCTGGACATTGTGTATGAAGTACAGCATCGTGGTTTTATACCGACGTTCTGCCCCGATCCATTCAGAATGAAACAATGTGTTGGTTACAGTCGCTGTTCAATTCCTCGCACAAAAACAAAATGGAAATGTTTGACATAGAACGGCGAAGAAATAGAATCCAGAGACAAGACGTTCTATCGTCAGTACCAGTGGATTATAAACATAGAATGGAGACTTTCCAATGACCAAAGACACAATTACGGCAAAGGATAAGTAGCCAAAATATATGAGATGGTAGAAAATGACGATACGATTACACACTGCAGCAGATCGATGGACTTAAGTTTTCTCTTCCATTTTGGTGCAACGAGTATCCATTAGATCTATTATCTCCAAAGCCCTGACAAATCGTTCACGCATAAATTAAAAAAAAATTTTTTTTTAATATTTTTTATTTTTGTAGTGTTATTGAATTACTCGAGGTCATACTTTGGTTATATTTTAATTTCTTCTATAACACAACGATTTATTCCAGTTAACCAACGTATGACCTCGAGTAACTCAATAACACTACAATTATTGTTTACAAGGTCGATACAAAACCAACATTTTTTATTGTCAATTTTTTTGATTTTCGTATGGGAGCTTTAGATGTCCGATTTTAATTTAATAATAGTATTTAAATATTATTGAATTCAAAGAACACACGGACGGACAGCCGGACCAAAAATGTATGCTTTGTAGGGTCGGAAATGTCTCCTTCACTGCCTTGCAAACTTTTGACTGATATTATAATACCCTCTGCAAGGGTATACAAATCATTGGGCTATGTTATTAGCGAATGCGGAATAGTTTTGCAGCAAAATTGCCGACCGATTTCTGAGGTCAGCGGTCTGCAAATGGAAATGACTCCAACGCTTGGAATAATTGATTGTTTAAACAGGTTGTGGTATCATGCCCCTTTCCCAGGGATTTTTAATTGCTTTCTTTATTGGTTTTGGATTTGGTATGCATTCAAAATAAAAATAATCTTTAATCTTAAACACAATCTCCAAACGAATAAGAATAGAATGGACTGATGTGCACCTATCCTTAGGTGGATTTCTATGCGCCAAGGGGAAATCTTTGCGTCACCGCTCAAAGTGCATTTCCGCACGTACTGGGCATTCAAAATGTGTTTTTCCAGTCACAATCTGCGGTAAGAAGCTCGGGGCACCCACATCCGCAGTTCTGAGAAGCAAATGGTAGCGATTTTCAGCAGAACAAACGGACGCACCCCGACCCACCGATCTTGGGCTCCCACTCGCCGATCCTCCGCTCCTGCTCCTCCAGAGCCCCTTCCTGGCCACTCGGCTCACTCATTTGCCACCGAAACTAATTAGACGCAAATGTGCTTTTGTTCGGTTCCCATTCCCATTCCCATTCCCATTCCCTTTCCCAATCCCATTTCCATTCGCATTTCCATTCCCAGGCAACGCTCTTTGTTTGTACTCTGGATTGGAAATCGGGAATGATACTGTTTGTGACTTATCTTAGGGTACTGCGTTTTTTTCATCCATTTTATTGGAATTATAAGAAACACCTCTAACTCCATAATGTCTACCTAAACATATGTAAATATTAGTTCCCTTAAAAAATAAAATATGTTTCTTATAACCCTTTGCAAAACTTAAAAACTGTTGAAAAATATTCCATGATGAAATTTTATTTATTACATTATAACTAACAAACTACCTCTATACCCTCTCCGATACTTTTTCCAAGAAATATAATAGAATATACAACTTCCTTAATCAATATACATAAGTACAAAATATATAGTATAAATTAGAAATTGTTCCTGCTTTGTTGTTCTATACGACGTAGATTCTTTTAAAGAGTTTAAGTTTCTACTAAAGAGTACTTCAAAGTCGGTGCTACTTGTTTCCCCTCTTGCTTGTTGTTATTACCACTTTGGCTAATTCCGAACCCGTTTCTTTCCCGCTTCAGAGTCGCAGTGTCCGCAGTATGGCGAGGTGAACCAGCTGGGCGGCGTCTTCGTCAACGGCCGTCCGCTGCCGAATGCGACCAGGATGCGGATCGTGGAGCTGGCTCGTCTGGGAATCCGACCCTGCGACATATCCCGCCAGCTGCGAGTGAGCCACGGCTGCGTGTCGAAGATCCTGGCCAGGTACCACGAGACGGGCTCCATACTGCCCGGCGCCATTGGTGGGTCCAAGCCGCGCGTGACCACACCCAAGGTGGTCAACTACATCAGGGAGCTGAAGCAGCGGGATCCGGGCATATTCGCCTGGGAGATCCGCGACCGCCTGCTCAGCGAGGGAATCTGCGATAAGACGAATGTGCCCAGTGTGAGCTCCATCTCGAGGATCCTGCGCAACAAGCTGGGCAGTCTGGGCGGCCACCAGCACACGCCGGGAGCGGTGATGGGCAGTGGGAGCAGCAGTGGCGGCGGCAGTGTGTCCAGCAATGGTGGCCCCAACAATGCCGCCAACAACAATGTGAATCTGGGAAATCTGGCAAATGCCGGCGGTGGACCGCACCACCCGCACCACCATCATCATCACCAGACGGCGGTGGCGGCGGCGGCCAGTGCCCACCACGTCCACGCCCACGCCCATGCCCACGCCCACCTGTACAACTCGATCTACCAGCCGTACAGTGCCGCGGCGGCCTACAGCATGAAGGCCGTGTCCTGCGGCAGTCCTTCGCCACCGCAGGGAGGTGGTGGCCAGGGATCCGGGCCCCATCCCCACCAGCTGAGGAGTGTGGCCGCGGCCGCTGCCCACTGGCCCTCCTCCCACTCGGTGAGCGACATCCTGGCCCACCACCAGGCGGTGGCGCTGCGGGCCAGTTGCCAGGTGGGCGTCGGTGTGGGTGGCATGGGCGGCATGGGCGGGATGGGCAGCACGGTGTCCCCGCTGCCGATGACCCCCTCACCCGTGGCGGGTGCGGCCGGGGGCAGCCCCTGCTCGACTGCGAGGGCGGGGCCGGGCAGCAGTCGCCGTACAACTACTACATGTACTTCCAGAACGGCGGCATGCACCACCACCATCACCACGGCGGGATGATGGCCGCCGGAGCCACGGGATTATGAGGGGCTGGTCGATCATCAGCGGGTTGGTTTGCGGGCTTAGCTACTTTCGATCGCGGTTGTTCAGTCTAGGTTACTCTAGTCTAAGCGCTAGTTAGGGCATGGTCATCATATCATGGCACTCATTTATCACTCGAATAAATTAAATAGTAGTAAAAAGAAAATAAGCACACAACATGTTCCGCTTAGTTATCATTTTCCTGGAAATTCTTTTCGACCAAGAAGCTTGCAAATATTGGAATGTGACTAGACAAATGTAAATAGATAAAACGTTGTGAAAAATGTCTAAAAGATTATTTACACAAGCTCAAGGTTTGTTTGCTTACACAGAACAAAATTGTTATAACAAATTGCTTATAAATTCTTTAACACTTACTTAAGGAATTTAAATGAAAAGGTTTTAAGTGAATACAAAATACAGAATACGGTTTTCCAAATAGGAAAGCCAACTAAATTTTTTATAAATAAATATCAGTTTCTAAAATACACTATTACAGCCTATTAAATATTACAAATGGGTGTTATGTGATAAGTGATTGCCATGTTCTATGCCATCTACATGTGAGTTGAGGGCTGTCAGGACTGAGACCTGGCATTGTCCCCATTTCCTTACGAATTTCATGCAATCCTGGAGATTTAACTTTGCGTTCTTTGTTTTTTTTTGAGTTGGAGTTGAAAATATCACGTTAGTTTAAAGTAAATCCTTTATTGCAAAATGGAAAGTATTGAGTGGTAGGCTAATCGATTTAGCTGCATACGTGTTGTATAGGTTCTTGTTCTCATCACTACTATTTGTACAATATGCTCATTAAGTAAACTAGTTGACTAATTTATGCTACGATTACATCAATTACAATTAAACCAAGTGTAACTATCGAATAAAATTGTATTTTTAGACAATCTGTGTAATTACTTGGGGACGGGACTGTTCGATGTGTGGGCCAAAACTGATAAGGGCTTCAGTTCTTAGCAACTGATGGATATGCATAACAACAGGTGGGATATCCTTCACCTAAGGACAGCACTCGCTCTCGTCGGGATTCTTTTTGTTCCACCCGAAGACAAAGTAACCCAGGCCCAAGCCCAAGATCACGGCCAGGCACAGCCAGTAGCTGAAGGTCATGAAGATCAGCATGAGCAGGTAGGAGATGACGATCTGCAGTAGGTTCAGCAGGGACTGGAAGATGTGCGACGAGGCGAACAGCCGTTGCCAGTAGGTCTGTTCCCTTGGTTCCGACAGAGGAGTTTCCGAGCAGCATCCTCCGGCCGGAACCTCGTTCTTCCTGCGCTGCTCCGCCGCCAGTCGTTCGCTCTCCTTCCGGGCTTCCTGGCGGGCCAGTTGCTGGCGCAGGAACTTGAGGGCCTCGTACAGGAAGGACACCAGGAAGATGGCCAGGGCCGAAAGGACGAACTCCGTCACCGTGGATGCCACCCAGCCGCGCCACAAAATCCGTTCGCAGTGGCCAGCATGGAACTGTAAATAATATATGTAAGGGGTTTATTAAAATATATAAATATATAAAATATATATTTTAATTAGGTGGTTAGGTGCTTTGAAGAGTAGTTTGGAGTCAAAATTGTATGTGTAAATTCGGTGGTTACCTAAAACCACAATTAAATTTCGGAACTCCATAAATTAATTGGAACACTGCTAATTATGTAGTTAATGAAATCACTTTAGAGTAGCCTTATTTAAATATTGAAATGCATCCAAATTTATAAAGAAAGCTTGAATTTGGATTGGGATTTTTGATTTAGAATAGATATGCCTTCAGGTAAATCCTAAAAACACCCTTGCACGTGAAAGAACAGAAGTTTATTAGTTCAAAAATGTTCACTACTTGATCTTTACATAAAAGTACATTGAATGTTGCTTGAAAAAAAGTACTTTTGGCTATCTAACGTTTAAGGTATTCATATATTTCCCCCTAAATTGGACACAACACCCTGTATAAGCATATTCAATTTGTATTTGTTGAGAGCGACTAATAAAGAGCCAGAGAGCAAATACATCATTCCGTCGCTTGTCACATAAATATACATACTAGGGAGTGACTAGCCAGAGAATTAAGATTCCATGTCGGTCGAGGTATTTGCTCTGCGGCTGAATCTCATTTAGCCGAACTGGATGAGTGACTTAAAAAATTACAGCGTTTAGCGTATAGGTACGCTATTTAATAGTAATAATTTTAAACCGTAGCGGTTGTGTAACGCGGTACTTACCACCATGATCATGGGGCAGGATTTCTCCGTGCTGGTAGTATCATCCGAGCCGTGGTCGTGATCGTGATCCATCTCGGGTTGTTTATTGAAACAGACTGTGTTAAACAAAAGACCTGGAAAATCCGACTGCTGATCGGGGAAGCACAGTGATAACAAGTAGACCTGCTTTGGTGCTGAGAGCAGAGCGTTGACTGTTTGAAACCCACTGCTCGCGAGTGGTTTTTTAAAGAAAAGCGACCCTAATCCCGCCGACGCGGCGATAGGCGAGTGTGCTTATCTTTGAGAAATGGGAAAGGTGCGTTATCAACCAGTAGCGCCGATACCAACGATTGTGGCCCACAATTATTTAAAGTCAACCCAGATATAGCCATGTAAGTCAACATAGATGCATTTAAATCGTAGTAAAATAAAGCAAAACAAACGATATCTTATTATCTATTGCCCATATCTATCTGTGATTTATATCTCAGGAGATAAAACCGTTCCTTGATCTCTGATCTTCCCATAGGTTTGCAATTTTATTTATTGACTAATGCCAAAGGTTCAACAATCGTTTTGAGTGCAGAATTTATATATATGTTTAACTTCCCCCTGAAATTGTTGCTGTAATACGAGGTGTCGAAACTTTTCCATTCTTCCATTCTTTTTTTTTCCTCGAGTACGGTTTTATGGTACTAGCCGTGTTCTTTCATACATATGTAGGTACATAGCCGCCGGAGCGATAGCAACCGCCGGGCGGAGGTCTGCCGGAGGTCTGCCTTAGTCCACTTGGCTTTCCTAGAGTGCTATTTCTAACTGGCCTATTTCTAACTGGGCCCAAATGCCGCTGAAATTGATGGCCGTGCGCAAATCTTCTGCGGCCGTGTGCAAAATTTACGGACATTCCTGCGCCGTGTGCCAATTTCGAAAATTGGTAACGGGCGCAAAACATTAACGATATTGCAGAGGGGTAAGTGGTTGGGTTATTAGTTGACTGTCAAAGCTTTTCGTTAAATCCATTTGGCGTAGAAACTGTGTGACTTGCAATTATGTTTACGTCTTCGCAATTGGTAAAATGCCACCATGAAATGGGAAACTATTTTACAAATTATATTTAATATCAATACATTTTTAGTTAATTTTTGTTTAAACGTTTTTCCCTTAATTTATTCAACATTAAATTGATTGGTCCCATAAATGAGGGCTAATAATCAAAGAGGTCCTTTGTAAGGAGGTGTTTCTATATACCTACCTATATCTACCTATTTGTGGATTTATAAACATTTTAACCCTTTCTTTTTCAATTAATGGCAACAAAATTAAAAAACCACACGGGTAGCACATGCAAAATATTTCTACAATAAATATTTAATTTAAAATTTAAGATTGGCGCGCGTATTCTTGCAGTGTTACCGAATATTTTTTCACCGCTTCGCAGATAGCGGAGACTTACTCCACAGGTAGCAAGTACACACACCATTGTATTTGCTTTTTAGAGGTGGAAAAACGTTTTAATGTTTTGGGAACATCGATGATGACATTGGTTTTTCCATCTCTAACCAAAGTTCTACCAAAAATCTTGCCATTTTTTCGTGAGTTTTTAACGAAAACTTCACCGTATATTTTGTGATTAAATGCCGTAACCGTTCAGGGTTAAATTGCAAGTTGAATCGCAATGTTTGCGCTACGACACCTACGACTGCATAGCTCGCGACACTTTCGCAGCTCTTATGCGGCGGCGGCAACAACAAAACACATGCTGACCCGGCCGACAGCGCGTGTTCTGATTGGAGATTTGAGCCACTGGGATAAGCCGCCGATTCAGGATTTGAGCTTCAGGAACTCGAGTACCGCCTCCGAACCCGTGAAACCACGAACGCCGGTGGAGGAACTGCTGGCGGCCGCCAAACCCTACGCCCAACTAATGCGAATTGACCGGCCCATCGGGACGTACCTCCTTTTCTGGCCCTGCGCCTGGAGCATAGCCCTTAGCGCGGATGCGGGCTGCTGGCCGGACCTAACCATGCTGGGCTTATTTGGCACTGGAGCTCTGATCATGCGAGGCGCCGGCTGCACCATCAACGATCTCTGGGACAAGGACATCGATGCCAAGGTGGAACGAACCAGGATGCGACCCTTGGCCTCCGGGCAGATCAGCCAGTTCGATGCCATAGTCTTCCTCTCAGCGCAGCTCAGTCTGGGTCTTCTAGTGCTAGTCGAGCTCAACTGGCAGTCCATATTGTTAGGAGCCAGTTCGTTGGGTCTGGTAATCACCTACCCGCTGATGAAGAGGGTCACTTATTGGCCCCAGCTGGTCCTGGGCATGGCCTTCAACTGGGGTGCCCTGCTGGGCTGGTGTGCTACCCAGGGCAGTGTCAACCTAGCCGCCTGTCTGCCCCTCTACCTCTCCGGCGTTTGCTGGACCATTGTGTATGACACAATTTACGCCCACCAGGACAAGCTCGATGATCTACAAATAGGGGTGAAGTCCACGGCTTTGAGATTCGGCGAGAACACCAAGGCGTGGCTGTCTGGTTTCACGGCAGCCATGCTGACGGGTCTGTCAGCCGCCGGCTGGGCTTGTGATCAAACAGTGCCTTATTACGCGGCTGTGGGAATTGTTGGTGCTCACCTAGTGCAGCAGGTAAGCGTATTTATAATGCCACCCCATTAGTAACTCATTTAAATCTATCTTAATTCCAGATCTCCTCCCTCAACATTGACAACCCCAGTGACTGTGCCAAGAAGTTCCTATCAAATCACCAAGTTGGACTCATTCTCTTCCTTGGCATTGTTCTGGGCACCCTCCTGAAATCAGACGAGACCAAAAAGAAGGGTCAAACCACACTGACGACTTCCACGGCCAGCTCCTATGTTCCAGCGCTGCCCCAAAAGCCAGAGGTTATAAGCTGAGATAATCCAGCAATCCAGTGTTAATTAAGTTTATAGCGCGCTTTTTTGTTCGCCAAAACCAAAGTCTTTAGGTAGCTGATTAGGTAAAAACGTGTACATACGCTTATGACCATTTTTAGTTTATTTGCAATATTTTAAGTTAAACAAAATGGCTAGCTCACTTAAAAATCAATTAACTTTTAATTGAAAGTGCCTGCCTTGACGTAATTACTTACGTAAATCACCCATCCCCCAAACCCCCTTCTACATTTCAAAAACAAACTGGTTTCTGTATTAAATTCTTATGTGTTATTTATTATTATACAGATTTTGGTTGTCTATTGAAAGCCAAATACTCTTCAAATGTATTTACTTCATTTGTTTGTTGTTACGGCTAGGAAAAGGTGCGTTACATAAAAGTAAGATAGAATTGTAGTTTAGATCAAGTCGGCCACGTTCATGGGCATTTCGTCGATTTGTGTAGAGTAGTACTGTTCAATATCGCGCAGGATGCGGATGTCATCCGATTTGACAAAGTTGATGGCAACACCCTTGCGTCCAAAACGACCCGACCGACCGATGCGGTGGATGTACAGCTCACGATTGTTGGGCAAATCGTAGTTGATGACCAGTGAGACCTGCTGCACATCAATACCGCGAGCCCACACATCGGTGGTGATGAGGACGCGCGATTGGCCGGCTCGGAACTCCTTCATAATCTCGTCACGCTCCTTTTGCGGCATGTCGCCGTGCATGGAGCTCACTGTGAAGTTGGCCTCTCGCATCTTCTCTGTCAGCCAGTCGACCTTGCGCTTCGTGTTGCAGAAGATGACGGCCTGGGTGATGGTTAGAGTGTCGTACAGATCGCACAGGGTGTCGAATTTCCACTCCTCACGCTCCACCGCTACGAAGAACTGTTTGATGCCCTCCAGCGTCAATTCATCGCTGTAAGGGATTAAGGTTTATGTAAAACTCTGGAATACATATACTAACAGCAGTCAACTTACCGCTTTACCAAGATGCGAATGGGATCCGTCATGAATTTGGAGGTCATTTCAAGTATCTCATGGGGCAAGGTGGCAGAGATGAGCACCACCTGAGTTGCAGGTGGCAAATAGCGATACACATCGTATATCTGTTCCTTAAATCCCTTGTTCAGCATCTCATCTGCTTCGTCCAGCACCAGCATCTTAATGGCTCTTTAGGGTAAAATATTATTAGATAATATATTTTTTAAATAAATCATCCCAAAACCAACCTTGTTCGCAGCACTCGCCGCTTGATCATGTCGAACACTCGTCCTGGAGTGCCGCTCACAATGTGCTGGCCGTAGTCCAGTTTGCGGATGTCCTCGCCCAGGTTTGTGCCACCAATGCACACATGGCACTGAACGTTCATCATGTCGCCGAGGGCCAGAATGACCTTCTGGATCTGCACGGCCAACTCACGGGTGGGGGAGAGGCACAGGACCTGGGTTTCCCGCAACGTGGTGTCCAGGCTCTGCAGGATGGAGATGGAGAAGGTGGCCGTTTTACCCGTGCCTGATTGTGCCTGTGCAATCACATCCCGTCCCTTGACGATGGGTTTAATGCTCCTCTGCTGAATGGCCGAGGGTTTCTCGAAGCCTTAGGGGATTCCAGAAATAGGTTAACTCAAGATCGGCAATGAGGTATACACACCACTCACCATACGCGTAGATGCCGCGTAGCAGCTCCTCTTTCAGATTCATGGCATTGAAGGTGGGGATCACCTCCACGTCCTCGCTCGTCTCGAACTCCACGTTCGAGAGGTCCTCGGCCTGGGCATTCTTGCGCGCCATTTTCACTGCTTACTTATGTGCGGTTTTGGCAGTATTTAATAAATATTTACTAACTTTTCGGCTATTTTTCCAACTTTCACGAAAAAAAATGCGGTTAGGGATGGTGTAGTGACAAGCGCAGAGTTGACTTGGAACCGATAGTTCTTAGTAGTGCTATCGGTTTTAGAGCGGTAGTAGTTGAAAAAAGAGTGGCAGCACTGGTTTTAAAGGCGCTATTTTTGAAAAATGTTTACTGCTAATACCTTGCGTTTTTTTTATAAAAGGCTTTCACACAAATGTAATATATAATATTTAAATATTAACAAAATAAATGTTCAAATGTTCAATAGCAAAATATAAACATGTTTATTGCCTTCAACAAAACAATCAACTCAGGTGAGTTTGCGCCTGGCTGCTCCTTCTCCTCCTTTTGCGCAGTAACCTTTTCAGGGACTGGAGATCCTTTCGCTTAAGGTTCTTGATCTTGGACACGAGTTTCCGGACTGTGTCTATCCTCTGCTTGGCCTCGTTGGCGGAGGCACTTGCCTTTCTGGCGCTCTCTCTGTTCTTGTCCAGATCGACTTGCGCCTGATCCATGCAGTTGTGGAGCTCCTCCACCCGCCGCTTGGCCGCCTCGAGGAGATTGCGTTTCTCCATGACCTCTTTCTGGGCATTGTGGGCCACTCGGCGAACGATCTCCAGACTGGCCACCATCTCCTGGAAGAGACATTGCATGTTGGCCACGGTTCGCTTGATCTTCTCACGGATTCCCTTGGCCTTCTTCGCGGTGCAGGTGCTGGCGGCTATCGCCCTTTGGATCTCCTTGATGACTCGCTTCGTTTCGTTCAGATTCTTGTTGAACTCGTCCAGCAGCTGCTTCTTGCCGCTGAGAGCCGCCTCCGCAGCCTTGGCCGCCTGCGCCGCCCTGTCCGCCAGCATGGCCTTGGCCCTCTGACCCGCACACTCCCCCGCATTCGGCTGGGCGTCCTTGGCCTCCTTCGCCTCCTTGGCGGCCTTCGAGGCCATCTGGCTGGCCCTCATGTTCGCCTTGCAGAACAGGGAGCCGGGCTTGTAGCGCGGGTCGTTCCGCGGGGCAGCGTTCGCCGTGCTGGTCAGCAGGATGTTCATCAGAAATAGCATCGGAACCAGGGACTCGCAACGCATCGGGAATCTCGCATCTTACATAGATCTCAAGGCCCGCTCATCAGGAATATCAAAATAGCAGGGATCTCGTTGTGACACGTCTCCCTGTGAAATATGTAGGACTGGTAAATGTTTATTGAATAAAATATTTGTAAACCTTTAGGTTCATAAGATTCTTAATCAAAATAGGGGTGATTAAGAATTTAATTAGCCAACTCAAGAATCTGAAAAATACATACTATAAACCTAAAATGTAAAATCGTATGGATAGAACTTAAGTAACTTAATTTATTTAATTTTTTTTTAAGTAATCAATAAACTTAGTAAGCTCTGTCAAGCTTTTTCCGTTCTGTAATATCATTTTATAGTAACATATTTCGAGTTTATCAAAGTCCTGCTAACCATGGAGATAAAACCAGTGGTTTTCTTGCTTTTGCACTTATTGGTAGGTCTTTCTGAAGGCTATAAGTTGGCTCAGGTAAGAGGTAATCCTTTCACTTGGTGAAGATCAATTAAAGCCACGAATATCCCTTGCTAGATCTCCAATGACATGGCAGGCGTGGTATCGGAGCATCAGTGTGCTGGCGATAACAGTCGCCAGGAACCCTCGGAAAGTCATTGTGACATCAAGATGGACGGCAAGACGAAAATGAGGGCCTCCAGCATTGCCCAGAAGGCGGCCAAGGAGGCCAAGGACGCCTCCGATGCCCAGTTGGAGGCGGGAGAGGCGGCTGCCCGCCAGGTGAAGCAGCAGCTGGCCGACAAGGCACAGGCCGCGGCCAAGGCGGCGGAGGCGGCTCTGGCCGGGAAGCAACAGGTCGTGGAGCAACTGGAGTCCGAGGTGCGGGAGGGCGAACTGGTGGTGCAGGAGGAGAGCACCCTGCTGCAGACCACCCAAACCACCTGTGCCGCTGCGGGACAGGCCGCCAAACAGGCCACTGAGCAGCTGAAGACCATCACGCTGGCGGTGAAGAATGCCCAGGATAACGCGGTCAACTCCGAGCAGGTGGCCAATGGAGCCCAGCAGGAGCTGGCCGAGAAGCAGCAGCTCGTGGATGCGGCCAAGAAGCGGGTGGAGCTGCTCCTCCGCCAGCTGGACCTGGCCAGGCAAGACTTCAAGAGCACCAAGAACGCGGCCGAAAAAGCAGCCTGTGCCGCCCAAGAAGCCAGGCAAAGGGCCACCCGGGAGCGACGGCGGGCGGAACTGAGGCACATCCTGCGTCTCCAGAGGGGACGCACCCACTGAGACACCCACTCTGGTTTATATTCTATATTTTCTTTGTATTTGAGTTAGCAATCTGGGATGCAAGGCAAACAAGTCATACTAGTCAAGTCATCTTATTTCTCGTTTTGTACATCGTATAATAAATATTATATTTAATATTACAAAGACTACTAAAATTAATTCAAATTTTAGGATGCATATTTATAACTGCCAATCTTTGAAGAGCCTAGGAAAATATTGGCAATCATATATAAAGTCCAATAAGTTCAATGTGCCTTTAGGAAAATCAAAATATATCCAAATATATTCCCAATACTAAACTTTTTACTTTGGTCCTTTTATGTGTAACAATGTACAACCTTTGATTCTTAGTTTTATTTAAAAAACTGTTTTTTTTTAATATAAACTTTTTAAATTTCTTCCTAAAAGGGTCATTTTCGATTAAATTAAAGCTCATATTTTATGGGGCGTATACTTAATGCATGCATACTTCCATGTTCACACGCCGATCTGCGAGGAAGCGAACAATCATCGGACTCACGGTCTCTCGTCATCCTCAATCGCAGCTGGATCGGGCGTTTAAAGCGTCTCATGGCAATTAGAGGCTCTTCCACAATTGCGGCTACAAATTATCCAATCGGCCAGCCTGGTAGCATTGACCCAGCACCAGTATTGTTTGTGCCTGGCCAACTCGCAAAGCCAACGGGTTTGCACTTTCTTCGGCGACCCGACCAGTTTGTTTATAAATACATGGCGCCTCCGGTGGCAAACTCTCAATCGCCGTCGAGTCTCCACCGGATTTACTAGGCCCATTTGCCGCTGCCAGCTTTTCCGAGTGCGAAAGTAAAAGCGTTTTCCACCGAACCCGTCCATCGACATTGCCTTCGTTTTTGGGGGCGATCTTCCACTGGCTCAGAAGCATTTCGACTCCGCTCCACGCAGGACTTTCGTGTCGGTCAAGTCGGAATCGAAATATAAATAGAGAGGTGCGTGGATGTCATCGTCGTCCATTCCGTCATCGTCATCTTGAGTGATAACTGTGTGATTTGTGTGCTGTCCAGTTTGGCTGGCCTTAAAACTAAACAGGTTCTCCTGTGGAACCAATCAGTCCGTGACACACTAACGACTTACCGGTCATCCTAGAGCAAAGAAAGTGCACGGCCATATATGATATTAGCTAATAGGCAAAGCAGCCACGCAACCGGTTGCCAGTGATTATGCACTCAGAAAAAGTGTCCTTCAGATGTGGAAATATGCAGAGGCTTAACTTACATTATTAATTCATGATTTTTGTTGCTTTCAAAATTTAAAATGGGAATATACGCAAGAATTAAAATAAACTAAGACTTATCAACTGCCAAAGTTTCAATTTTTAAATATAGAAAAACGATAGAGAATCGAAAAGTTAAGTTTTTCACTAATTATTAACTAGTGTTTTCCAGAAATTTATACAAGTTTTTCTGTCTGTTAGTGCCAAAATGAATTGAGTTTTAAGTTTTTTTAACAACGTAGATGTTAAACAATGCGTTTAGACATAACCAAACTGATTATATTTTAACAAGAATGCACATTTTACTAAACATCGAAACTAATTTTATTCTTTAAAAGTCTCTCATTACAAATAAACATATAAAACCTATTCAAATTATATGATGTGCACTTAAACTCTGCATATATTTTAACGTTTTTTGGAAATATAAAAATTGTATTTGCTAAAAGAAAGTTTGAACTCTTCAGACATCTTTATCACTTTCAAGTAATCTCAATTTCCTCCCGATTTTATCGCTTAAAGGCATCCAATCGCTTCGTGCGACACAGGAACACATAGGCTTGCACCTGCGGCGATCACGAGTCTTCCGGTTCCGCGGCTTCCTTTCGCAGCTGCTCCATTGCATAACCACATAACCACCTAACGCCAGAGATGCCATCGCTGGTGCACCTCATGCTCCTGACGCTGTTTTTGGGTGAGTCGCACACGACTTCCTCATGCAAATCTGGCTGAATTGGGGATTTCCCCTCTATGATTTAGCAGCGATGCCGGCGCTGGGTCGCAAGGTGAAGCGCAAGGAGTCGCACTACCACCACCACGTCAACGTGCCGCCTCCACCACCTGCACCCCCATCCCACCAGGGACCGGGTCCAGTGCCCCAGCAAACGGCGGTGATCGAGCACGAGCTGCCGCCCTACACCTACGAGGCCATCAACCACGACGAGTTCGAGCCGGCCAAGGTGAAGCTCGCCCACTTCGAGGGCTCCTCGGACTACGTGGTGCACCCGCTGCACTCCACCGGTGGCTACCTGGCGGACAACGGACTGCGCAGCATAGCCAAGGGCTCGGCGGACCAGGCGCTGTCCGCGGTGGCCAGCCAGAATGCGGCGGGGAAGCAGGCCTCCTACGTGGCCAAGAGCACCCTGGCCCAGGCGGCGGCCCAGGCAGCTGGCACTGCGGTGGCCGTGCTGAAGGGCAAGGAGGTGCTGCTCCATCGCCTGGAGGACCAGAGCGTGGAGGCCCACAAGGCGATGGAGAACGAGCTGACCCAGCTGCAGCAGGCAAAGAGGTCGGCCAAGGCCGCTCAGTATGCCGCCCAGCAGGCCATCAACCATGTCAGTGTGCTCACCGCTGCCTTGAACAATGCCCAGTCCGCCTCGGAGTTGGCCCAGAAGGCGGCTTCGGAGGCAGCGGCCGAGCTGGCCTCCCAAATCGACATGGTGGCCCAGGCCAAGACCAAGCTGGAGCACGCCGAATCGCAGGCCTATGCCGCCCGTCTGGACTACGAGGAAACCCGGGATGCGGCCGAGAAGGCCACCCTCTCCGCCCAGGAGGCCCATCTCAATGCCAACGATGCCGCCCTGCACGCCAATGTGGAGCTCGCCGAGACGGCACACATCCACGAGAAGAGCGACCGGAATGTGAGGGAGCCGCCGCGGAATCATAGGCGTCCATGAGGCTCTGCCCCAATCCTTATTTATTTGTTTGTCTTATTTAGTGATTATGTTGTTGCAGCGATTCAATAAAGTTTTGTTGATTTTTAGATCTCTCTTTGTAAGTCAACATCGTGATTGCAGTTGGTTGAATAACGTCAACAAACCATTAAGAGTCATTCGAATTTAGTGCTTTTTAGGAAAATGGCTTTAGTTTTCCATTGACTTAGGATTTTTACAATATTTTCACCTCTGATGCACAGATGTCTAATAGTGATTTAAAACCAATATTTTTAGAACATAAAATAATATGACTGCGCGGTTATCAAAAAAATAACTTTTAAACCCAACTTAAAATTAAAAAAGCGTTTAAGCTTTTATTGAGTTGGGGGATCTGAAAGAAACATTGAATTCGATATTCGAGTAATGGACTTTATTTATGTTTTGGTTTTTAAAATAATATTTAAATAAACCGCCCTTGTTCTCGAGGCAACCGTTACTTTGGTGGGGATCCTTGCTAGCTCATCATTATCCCGGGTTTTTTGGGTGTTATTAAGTAAATATTATTTTGTGGGCTAGCAACGGTCACACTTTTGTTTAGATTTTCAGAGCCGGCAAAAATAAAACCGTAAATACCGTCTTTAACTTTAATTTAACTAAAACTATGAGTCGCACGGAGCAAACTTTTGATGACCTGAAGTCGTACTTCCGAAGCCACAGCAAAATCCGTGAGCAGCGGGCGCACATGTCCAAGGTGAGCTTGATTTCCGTTCCACTTAAAGATTCCTCTCTAAAACTTGTAACTCCCATTTGAAATGCTGTCCACAGGTGCACTCCGTTTGCTGGAACGCCGATGGTCGCCACCTGGCCTCCGGATCCTTCGACAAAACTGTGGCGGTGTACTCCTTGGAGCGCGATCGCTTTGTGAAGGGCAGCATTTACCGGGGACACACTGCGTCCGTGGACCAGCTCTGCTGGCACCGTACGAATCCCGACCAGTTTGCCACCGCCAGCGGGGACAAGACGGTGCGGATCTGGGACATACGCGCCGGCAAGTGTGTCTCGGTGACCAACACTAAGGGCGAGAACATTAACATAGCCTGGTCGCCGGATGGCAAGACGATTGCCGTGGGCAACAAAGAGGATCTGATCACCTTCATAGACACGCGCACGAATAAGATTCGCGTGGAGGAGCCCTTCAGCTTCGAGGTCAACGAGATCTCGTGGAATAACACCAACGACCTGTTCTTCCTCACCAACGGTCTGGGATGCATGCATGTGCTTAACTATCCTAGTCTGGAGCACCAGATGACGTTAAAGGCCCATCCTGCCAATTGCATTTGCATAGAATTCGGGCCCACGGGTATGCTAAGCTATCCTAAACTAAGTAATGACAGCAAATTTAAACCATTTGCAATTTCTAGGTAAATACTTTGCCACTGGCTCGGCGGACGCCCAAGTTTCTCTGTGGGATGCCAACGAACTGGCCTGTCTGCGCATGATCAGCCGCCTGGAGTGGCCCGTCCGCACCATATCCTTCAGTCACGACGAGCGCCTGATTGCCTCGGCCAGCGAGGACCTCATCATAGACATCGCCTTCACGGAGACGGGCGAACGGGTCACCGACATCCACGTGGACGCCTCCACCTTCACGGTGGCCTGGCATCCCAAGCAGTACCTGCTGGCCTACGCCTGCGACGAGAAGGACAGCGACCGGCGACGGGACGCTGGCAATGTGAAGATATACGGCTTCCCGGAATAAACTACTGCTTAAGACACCTCTGCTAGTAAAAACCTTGTTTGCTTTCCAATTACCTTGGAGTGTAGGTTTATGGATGGAGGGTGCTCCGAATGATCAACTTTAAAGTTGACTAGGTCACGTCGCGGTCCAACCAACTGGATTATCAATTGCAGGGCTTCGCCTCTTGAACGTGTTCATTGCTGCAATTCGAGTTTTATCTCCTCCGGCAAGCTTTTACGGCATCGCAGGACCTCCGGGCCATAACCTCCTGTCTGCTGCTTAATACTGCATCAATCGCGCGGTGAAAGACGGACCACCTTTGCCGTGGCAGCCACTTCACTTTTATCATGCAAATAACGACATTGGCGGCAGCTGACCTAATATAGGTTTACGGTTATGGCCTCCTGCATTTTAAGCCATTAATCAGTGGTCGCTCTCTCTGCAGAGGACTTAATCCGGGGAGGGGATTGCAAGTGTGGTGTCAAAGGATGTTTTCACAATCTCGTGTGTGTGTATGAATTGCCTCCATAAGCCACGAAAACTTGAGAGCAAAGTGGGGAAAGTTTTCGGCCAAGTGGGGTGGTGTCAATTGTTTGTCTGCTGTGGGTGTTATTATTTTTTTTGGTTCACCCTTGAACTATCTGGCAGAAGGCGCAAGTGACAAACAAACAGGATGAACGGAATGGGAAGGGGGAATCCCCCAAATGGATGTAAGTATATATCACTCACATATCCCATCCGCGTGCCGAGTGCAGCGGCAAAAGCCATTTGGATGCCATCCGCACATTTTCCGCCAAGTGCCCACTGCATTTTCCGCCCACCACCCACTCACCTACTCGAAGCAACATCAATATTTACTTTACTAAAAGTTTTCGATAAATTTCGGTTTAAACTGCCAGTTCCGTTATTTTTGAGGGGAAGGGGTTTCGGTTATTGGATACTTGCATTCGATAATAAATCACAGTTAATTGTTATTAATGGACTAACAGTGCTGTCTCGACAATGTGCTTAAACAACGTTTAATTATAAATTATTTATTTATTTTTACACAAATTTAGCAGCGGAGATCCAGGATTTAGTAATGGGTTAAATTTGATGGGAACTGTAGAACCCGTTTAATTGAAATCTTTTTATGAATGCTATTGCTTTTGCTAACTATTAAAATTGTGTCATTCTTAGTTTCAATATTTATTTTTGTTCATACAAGACTAATTTATTTTTAATCCTGTTTTTTAAGAAATTAAATTTGTGGCAACAAAAAAAGAATGTAAGGCCAAACTTAACAGAGGCTTTGAATGCCCTCTTCCTTATTCAGCACAGCTGTAAAGTCAGGATTTGTCTGCAAACGTTCCCCGCCCACACATGTTAGTTAACAGAAACTCAATTCTCGCATGCGATAAATGTTCCATTCCTATGGCAATGAAATGAAACACGTCTGTTAAACATTTCCCCTGCTAATAATAATGTAAAATAAATGTACGCATGTAAGAGAGTAAAGTCTAATAAGAATAAGAATCTATAGGAAATATTTAATGAAATGTAATTTAAGTTTTGTAGCTCATTTTAGCTTTTTTTTTATTATTTTCTGCATTCTGCAAAGCTTCCAAGAGTTAAGAAAATGTAACCTGTATTTTAAAAGATATAAATATATAGTATAACCTTTTTCAAGCAAAATTCTTTCTAAAACATCTTATGGTTGTATAGCCCATCCTTTTATGTTTTTTTGGCCAGCAGAAATGCAACAATTCTTTTCCTCTTGATTTTCTTAAAAATGTATAGTTGGTTGTTCTTCAATCCCGAAAAGAAAATAGTCAATTGATGGGAAACGCAAACATGAAGAAATGCCGAGTGCAGTCATAAAATTCAAAAGGGAACATACTTTCTGGCCAACTTGTTTCGCCCTCAACTCCCAGACTTTTCATTTCAACTGTCACTTTGGACAAACTTTGACAACGCAACGATTTCGATATGGATGCGGATTTCAGTGGGGAAATTTTAGGGGGAGGAGTGGGTAGGAGGAGGAGCACCGGAATTTATGTCGGGACTTATGCGCTTTCAACTGCTGTTTTTCCCTCAAACCAACGTATTGATTGCCGAACTAGAAGTGCACGTAAAGTGGCCTAAACTTTGTTTTTAGTTGGCTGCGGTTGGTTTGTGCACCATTTAGTTTTGGAAAAGTATACTTTTTCTGTAAATAGTTTTTCTATCTGTGTAACTTAACTCACACCTCATCGTTTTTTGTGCGTTGATTTAACTACAATCTATTTTTTGAATACATAAGAAAAATAATTTATTATTCTTGATGCTTAATATACAATTTGAAAAATATATGTTCCAGAAAAGTAATATTACTATTTCGAAAGATACATTCTAGTTCCATTTTCAAATTTAAAAGAAAAAATCAATCGACTTAAAATATTTAAAGAAAACCAGTATTTTATGGTATATTGTTTATGTATGTTATATATATGTATACCGTTTAGCAAATACATAGTTTTTATCTAATTTATAATGATGTACGTTTTTGTGCACTTTTCTTCATAAATGCAACATCCTATTTTTTTTTTGCATAAGCTTAGCATAGGAAAGTAGTGATGGACAAAAGTGGATCTAAATAGAGTTAGCGGGGACCTACTCCACTGTTATCGAGTACAGGCACCTGACAAACATCGATATATCGTCGATGTTTCCCCAACCTCTAAGTCAGAAGCAAACAACAATTGGAAAATCACGTCTTCTTCAAATTCGCATTTGTTTGCTCCGGAAAGGAAAGCCAGCGAGATGTCCGTGCGCCACGACTGGTACCAATCGGAGACAAAGGTGGTCATCACCGTGCTCCTGAAGAATGCCGCCGACAAGAACTACGCGGTGGAGATTTCGGAGAATCGGGTCCACATGACGGCGGATGGCTATGAGCTGGACCTGAAGCTAATGCACCCCATCGTGGTGGAGCGCTCCTCCCACAAGGCCTTCTCCACCAAGGTGGAGATCACCCTGGCCAAGGAGACGGGCATTCGCTGGGAGAATCTGGAGGAGAAGGTCGTCGCGGCTGCGCCCACCAAGAGCCAGCCCAAAAACTGGGACCAGCTGGTCAGCGAGGAGGAGAAGATCGACGAGAAGGAGGCCAAGGGCGAGACGGCCCTCAACAACCTGTTCAAGAAGATCTACAGCACATCCTCTCCGGAGGTCCAGAAGGCCATGAACAAGTCCTTCTCGGAGTCCGGAGGCACCGTGCTCAGCACCAACTGGAACGAAGTCGGCAAGGAGAAGGTCACCGTGAAGCCACCCGATGGAACAGAGTTCCGCGAGTGGGAGAAGTAGAGCGGCACGCTCGTATTTTTAATGTCGGAGAGATTAAGAAAAAAACACTAATAGATATATTTTTACCAATGGATCGGCCGACGACCAAAAAACAACGTTACAAACACAAACTAACAAGAAATGTTTTCAATAAATTTGATTTAAGAATCGCAATTTAAGCAAAGCTTATCTTTTAAGACATTAAATGGGTTGAGCACGCTGAATTTACCAAGCATGCTTAGTAGAATTGAATATAAGCCCCTGAGAGAAAAATAGGCATCTCAGGAAATAGAAATATGACTCATACGTCGAGTATACATACATAATCAAAATGTGCTTATCGCCCCCTTAGCTTTAATGTTTTGCTTAAAAAAATAGGCACTCTATATAAGAGATATTTGTAATATTTTAGTTATTAGTTAAAAACATTTATTTTTTGTGCTAAATTAGTGTAATTACTTAATAATAATATTGTCTAATCTGTTATGGATTTATTATTTTGAAATGTTAATGGCGACCTAAAACTTTTCGAACCACCCCCGCACTCAACTGAATTGTTCTTATTGGAAACAGCTGATCGGCAGACCGGGTTGCAGATACGTGTAAAAATAAACGCACAATTACTTTTCCCTCGCACAAATCGGACTCCAATCCCTGAAACAGCAAAATGTACAAGAACCTAGAGGAGCACAACCGCCTGGTGAACAAATACCTGAAGATTTTCTTCGTGGTGTCGCTTTACTGGTAAGAAACGTAAGGGTACGCCGTTTTAGGTACTATCTGCAATTCGTTGCCTTCCACAGGTGCACCTCGATTTTAACGGTTTTCGTGAATAAACACCTGCTGAGCAGCGATACAGTGAACCTGGGGGCTCCCCTCTTTATGTCCTGGTTCCAGTGCGTGGTATCCACGGTCATATGTTTCCTGGCAAGTCGGCTGAGCAGGAAGTACCCATCGGTTTTCACTTTTCCCGAGGGCAATCCCCTCGACATCGACACTTTCCGGAAGATACTGCCGCTTTCCGTGCTCTATACCCTGATGATTGGGGCCAACAACCTGTCGCTTTCCTACGTCACAGTGGCCTTCTACTACATTGGTCGCTCTCTGACCACCGTGTTCAGTGTAGTACTCACCTACGTGATCCTCCGCCAACGCACCAGTTTCAAGTGTCTACTGTGCTGTGCTGCCATAGTCGTCGGATTTTGGCTAGGGAGTGGACCAGGAGAGCCTCACGGAAGTCTTCTCTTGGCGGGGCACCATCTTCGGAGTGCTGAGCTCGCTGGCCCTGGCCATGTTCTCCATTCAGACGAAGAAGTCCCTGGGTTATGTGAACCAGGAGGTGTGGCTGCTGAGCTACTACAACAATCTATACTCCACGCTGCTATTTTTGCCCCTGATAATCATTAACGGCGAGCTGGAGACCATAATCACGTACCCGCACCTGTGGGCTTCTTGGTTTTGGGCCGCCATGACTCTCAGTGGCATTTGTGGGTTTGCCATTGGATTTGTCACAGCCCTGGAAATCAAGGTAATCGGCTAAACAACGTGCTTTACCCTTATCTAACCCGATCGGTTTTCCAGGTCACTTCCGCATTGACGCACAATATCTCGGGTACCGCCAAGGCCTGCGCCCAGACCGTGATTGCCACCCAGTATTACCATGACATCCGATCAGCTCTCTGGTGGACCTCCAATGTGGTGGTCCTGGTGGCCAGTGCTGCCTACACCCGGGTCAAACAGTTGGAGATGCTACGCCAGCACCAGCAACGCAGCACCGCCACCCAGAAGGCCTAGAAGCAACATCATGCCGCCAAAGTAATGTAGACTGTTTAGGACTCTAGGAGATGTAAGTTTAAAGTATGCACAAACAAACCATCAACAAAATACATAGGCATCTGTGTTAACTAATTGGAGGACACGGCTTCTTGGCGTTCCGCCGGTTCCTCCTGCTTTTTGGTCGTCTCCCTTTTCACCTTCGCTGTGCTCTTGTCCCACATCTCTGGCACATAGACGTAGGGATCGATCTTGAGCTGCTCACTGCTGGGCGGGCTCTTCAGCAGAACACGGGTAATGAAACGACCCTCCCTCTTGGGCCTCATGGTGTTGATGTCCTGCAGCAGGTACTTGATGTTGTCCTCCAGCTTCTGGGCGTCCATGTCCAACGTTCCCACCCTGGCGGTAATCAGGCCAAAGTTCTGCTGGTACTCATCCTTCGCAGCACTGTAGCTAATGCCGCTGGAGAACTTGACGATCATCTCGCCCAGATTGGTGCCCAGCGTTTCGCTTTTGGGATTGGGAAACTTGCGCTTCATCAGGCCACGCAGAGCCACCAGCTCGGCCAGAATATTGGGATGGGCAATGACGTACTGGTAGTCGGAGAGCAGCAGTTCGCCACTGGTTATGTCCTTGATAAGCTCCACGCCGCCAACGAGCGATGCGCCAGCTTCCCTGGCCTCCAGGACTTCGTTCTGTAAAGGGAATATAATGAGTAATTCGGGGATTCTGGAAATATGGAGATTCACTTACATTTCCCTTGGTAAAGACGATGATCTTACGGTCCTCGCCGTGATCAAACTTGTGTGGAATCATGGCCATGCGCTGGAAGTTGTCCACAAATCGGGTGATCTTCTCAGCCTGCATGTTCAGTTCAATGTCCACATTGAGAGGAGCGTTCGGTACATTGTACATGCTGGGGTGATGAGTCTCCCGGTGGCACTGGATGGCCTCCTGAACGGAGTAAACTGGCCAGCGGTAGTAGCGCCCCACGTAGCAGTCATCTTTGGGCACCTGCTTCCAGGAGTCGTCCACATGTTTGTCCGCCCGCTTTACGTTGATTCTGGAATCGGAAGGAACTTAGATCGGGCTTTTGGACCTTGATTTAACTATATACTTCTTATTGCGCTGGTTGTGAGGAATGAATCCCACCTTCTTCACCTCTACTTTGACTTTCTTCTTGCGGGCCTTCTCTCGGGTTCCCTTACGGGCCGCCTCGCTCACGGCGGAAAGGTGCAGCAGGCGGAGGGACTCCATCGTGGGTTGGCGCATGGCCAGTGCCCGCATTGAAGCCAGGATGGACTGCATTTCTTTCAAGAACAAGTTTATTTACCGGATTCCCAATTCTTGCTTTGCATAACCTCTCCGTGCAGAGCTGCCAACTTGGTCTGAAAACAGATGATTGGCAGCCCTGTCGCCGGCAGAAACATAAGCGTGCTCAAGAACCATGGTAAATAACTTTGCTCAGAGATACCGCTATTTAAATGATTTCAAAATCGTTGGATTTCTTGTAACGGACTTTTTCAAAAAATTCATTTAACTACGCTTTATTTTTATTTTCCAAATGTTCACTGCGGCACTAGTACGGCTTTAGTTTTACAATGACCGTAACCTTAAAATCTTTATTATCTCAAGTAAAAACTTAATATTCTAAATTTTCTGTGTAAATATTATTATCACACACTTCAAAACCCATAAAAGTAAAAACGAATCATCAGATCAGATTCAAAAACCACTGATCAAGCTGATTCTAAGAGAATTTCAGAAAACAGCAAAGAGATCCGCCCGATGCTCATGCTCTCCAAAAATAAATCTCATATTTTCCGAGTTTTCCGATCCGTTCGAAAGTGCCGTGCCGCTCAGAATAGCTTCGACCGACGAGCGGAACGGACGTATACGGAATTTTCGAGCCGCGGAAAATCGCGAGAATCAGAGAGAGTGACCGAAGAAAATTCCGCGGCGGGGCGGACGAACGAGTGTGCATAGGAAAAGTGCAAGTAATAATTTGTTATTGTTTTTCCTTTCAACAAAACACTGGCGAACACCCGAAAATAGCCCGACAACCTTGCGCATAAACCCATTAAACAAAAGAAGCGCAGTCAGGAAGAAAAGTCGAGGGGAAAAAAGAAAAATGTGTGTATTCAATGTGTGGCAACAGTTTTGGATATAACGTTCGGAAAGTGGCGAAAGTAATGGGGGCCGCCGACTTCAGATACACATGATCTGCTCGCAGCACCACCCATCCAGCGATCCAACGATCCAACGATCCGCCCATTCACCCATCATCCCCAACCACCCATCCACCCACCGGTCCACATCCACCCATCCATCCATCCAGTCCATTTCCCCGCTGAGTGCGTGCACTTTCGCATAAATTGGAAATATTAATTGTGTGTAACCTAAAAGTGGAATAAAGGAAGTGTGTGCGCACTTTGCGCGGAGGGATCGAGAGCGAGGGGCTGCGGGAAGACTGGGTGTGTGTGCTGTAGTGCGATCGCCATGGGGAGGCAAACAAAAGAGTGTCAGCGTTTTAAAAATAGTTTGGCTTGCGGCGTGATTTTATTTGTTCTTCTGCTCGGCCGCTCGACGATCGATGGCATCCAGTTCTTGAGCCAAAACCGTAACCAAGACCCAAGACCAAAGACCCAAAACCCAGGACCACAGTGAATTCCGGATCGGTTCCCTCGATTCGGTTAAGTGACCACACGCGTGCATATTTTTGGGAAATATTTAAAACTTTCGCACATGTGGGCAAACGTGCTGAAATGGGATTTTCGAAATTATTGTTTACATTTCGTGGATTTAATCGTTACACTTTAAGACTCGTTTATGTGTGCGTTTGGCGGCGGACGTTCCACATCGCTCGTCTTCCTCTTCTATAAACAATCTCCCGATTTTGATAATTCTCCGATTTTCTTGTCTTGTGTGCGTTTTTAGTGGCGTATCGGGCCGAGTAAACAAACAAAGCCCGATTGAGTGATTCTCCGACCCCGAGATGGACTGGGACAAGCCACCACCGCCCCCACATCCGCCTCCGAAGCCCAGACGCACCCGGTCCCGGCAAAATGTCCTGCACTACGAGTCCTTGCCGACGGCTCCGCCGGCCATGTACGGTCGCACCGAGGAGAATATCTTCCAGTTCCCGGCCGTGGCCTCTCGGGCCCGCAATCTCTCCGCCTCCCCGAAGTTCGAGAGGCGGGAGGCCAAGGACCTGCCCGTTTGCGAGCTGGGCAAGCACTCCTGCTCCAAGTGCCAGCCGTATCGAGCGGATCGGGGCACCATCGAACCGCTGAGAACTCGCCTCAATTCCGCCATCGAGGCCATGGACGAACTGACCCGGACTTACGCCTTGCTGGAGGGATTCCTGGAGCACCGACTGACCACCATCGCTGACAACGAGGCGGGTGAGCGGGAGGCGGAGTTGCAGGCACTGGAAGACGATATTCCCTCTACCAGTCAACAAGCCATCAGGCAGCGTCCACCCACCAAGCCACCCCGCTCCACCACCAACGACAACCAGTTCGATCTGGAGCACTCGCTCACTTGGCTGGAGTCCCTAATGGGCACCGAGGTGGTCCCGCCCTTCAAGCAGGGCAAGTTCAAACGGTAAGGAGAACATTTGGGGATCTTAAATAGAACAGTTTATATCTTAATTTAACCAACTATTGTCTTACAGTATTCGAGAGCGCAGCAAGTCCATGATGGACGAGGACCTCAACATTTTCATGAAGGGCGAACGACCCGGCTTGAAACTCAGCTCGTCCCGTCCTTATCTCCTGAGACGCCAGAGCACCTACAGCGACAACAAGGCAAAGGTGTCCAAGTGGACCAAGGTGAAGGCCGCCTTCAAGTGGGAGCGGGCTAATGTGCCGCCCGCTGGACCAGGTGCTCCGGAAACCAGTGTCCTGATGCCGCTCAACCACGAGGTGGAAAGGTTTGTATAAATATACGATATTTCCCTGACTTCCATTTAATGTTGGTCTTCTTCTTTTAGATACCTCAAGGTGCCCATAAGTGTGGCAGCGGGAAGCAGTTCCGCGGACAGCATCATCAGTTCCTCCTCCGGCCATATTATGAGCGATACTGGAGGCACACCTGGAACCATGAGCTCGGCCAGCTCCATGGAGGATCTGGAGGCAGCCAGTCGGCACAATTATCGTAAAGCTTTTTAATATATTCAGTTTAGGAAAGTTTGAACTAATGCAAGCCCTTATCAGGTCGTGATTCCTCCAAGAGTGATACCCGCTGTGATTCCCGCACCTCCCACTTTGAGGTGGAGCTGCGCAAATCCTCCACCGACGAGCGCCTGGACAATATCAAATCCTCTGCCCCGCCACTACCAGCCAAGTCCTCATCGAGCAAGTCGCTACGAAGATCGAAGGCCTTTTCCGACTTCGAAGTCCTGCCCGAGGATCATGTGGCGGAGATCAAGGCCACCAGTAGCCGGCGGCAGAAGCTACCACCAAGTCCATTGAATCTTAATCAGGTGAACCAGATGTACAGTGATCTTCCGCAACTCCACTCGCCGTTGAAGAGTCCCAAGGATTCGCGGATGCGTCGTGTCCATTCACCGGGAACCTCCTCCGTGCCCAGCAGTCCCTCCAGACAGTCGTCTTTCTTCGGTGAATTTGGTGGGTGAGCCAGAGATAACACTACTTAAGGGGTAACTTCCCCTGGTGTTATCCCTTAATCTCTTTAATTATATGAGCTTTCCATAACATTTGGGCTTCTTGCAGAGAGCGAGGATCTGTCCAGTGGCGATTTCTCGGAGCCCACTACTCCAAACTGTAAGAATTTCCCACAGAACACAGACGACGAGGTATTTCAACATTATCAACTTCTCGTACTCAAACTAGATTCGGAGTTTAAGACCAAGCAATGCGAGTTCGAGCGTTCCAGCGCCAACAACCGCAGTAGGAATCCCCTGAAAACCGGAAAACAATCGCCAAGAAAGTGCTAATCCATGTGTATCCAACCATTTTAGGTATCAAACTGGGCAGTGGTGCAGCCGCAGGAGCAGCGGGAAGTGGAAAGCGGAGCAGCGAGGAGCACTCGCCCACTCAGTTGCTGCACAATGAGCTCGTGTCCACCGCCCAGCTGGAGCAGAATCTCACCCCGCAGTTCAAGAAGAAGCTGCACAAGTGGCGGGCCAAGCAGCAGAATTGCCCGGGAGGATCGTATGCCTCCTCGGAACCGGCGGCTAGTCCCACAGCCAAGAGTCAGAGTTGTGAGGTGAAGCCCAAGATCGACTGGAACCTCTGGAGCATGGGGCAGCTGAAGCTGGAGGGCCAGGGTCTGTGTGCTCTGCCCGATCAGAAGGATCTGCCCGAGAAGTTCCAGAAGAAGTTGGGTGAGTATCTGCCTATTTGGTATCGATTCAATTCAGTAAACGTTTCTTTTTAGAGCAATGGAACCGGTTGAAGTGTGCTCCTGGTGGCGGCACCACTTCCGACAACGACTCCTTGAAGCGGGGATCCAAGCACAGTCAGTCCACTAGAAGGGGATCCGATGATGATCGATGGTACAAGCACAGGCCACATGACAAAGAGAAGTTCGTTTGAAGCAATCCCCAACTAATCCTTTAGCTAATCCTCTAATGACTCCCGCAGATTGTCCCGCCTTAAAGCCATTGTGGTACCGGATCACACCAAGAAGATCGAGGTCAAGACTTCGGATGGCGAGGTGATGAAATTCGAAGGCATCTCGAGGAAGTTCACCAGGAAGCTGTACGAGTGGGAGAAGGCCAGGGGGATTGGACCAGAGGCCTCCACCTTCGCCCTGTTGCATCCGGGTTACTGTCCCATCGATGTAAGGCGCATCAACAAGGAGTGCAACAAAGGTGGGTATGGGATGAATGGAATATCATTTAAAGCTAATCGTTGACTTCCTTACAGTGGCAGCGGATCACTCCCCCACCCTCAGTCGTTCCCTCTCCCTGGACAGCGTGTCACCCAACTGTAATCTGGCACAGGCCATCTCTCAGCAGGCTTCATCCCTGTCCCTGAACGACGTCAACGATCTCAAGGAGATCGAGGACAGTAACGATGCCCTCACGGACCACGAGTTCAAGAAGTACGACGAACCGGAGGCGGTGATGGTGGAGGTGGAGGAGCACATCCATGACACCGCTTCGCCACTGGTCACCGCCCACACGTTAGTGGAGCAGCAGACGCCCATCTACAAGTACGAGGAGGTGCAGCGCAACGACTATGTGTAGGTGGCATGTCCCATATCCGATCCTCCGGTTAATAATCGCTTCCAATCCCCTCCAGCAATTCGCGTCGCGTCCAGAGCTTCGAGTCGCACACGAATCTGGCCCCCTTGCTGGGCGCACTGAAACGTGCCGATGAGCTGTTTGGCCAACTGAGGAATGCCTCACCCGATCTGCTGGAACACCCGTCCATGCGGGACTGCCAGACCGCATTGCTGAGCATTCGTAGCATTTATCCGTACTACTCCAACAACCTGATGAAGGCGGGCGTGCTCAACGCCATATCCGATGTCCAGGGCGAACTGGGACGTCTGGCCGAGTTGGTGAGCTATCAGAAATTACTTACCAAATATATGGGTTACCTAACCTGCTTTTTGCCACTGCAGAGCCAAAAATCGCCACTGGATGAGGCCTGCTGCCAGGAAACCATGCAGGAGCGGACACTGGAGTATCTGGAGGAGCTCCAAGGACTGCTAGAATGCCTGCAGTGCCTCAAGCTAAGCATACGTGAGTGCTTTTACATACCTGTAAAGTAAACTCTTAAGTAACTTAACCGTAATGACTTTCCAGAGGGTGGAACGAATCGCTATCCCCGGGACATAGTGCCGGATATCAACATCACCAGCGAGGATGGGCAGCAGTTGGACTCCAGTTCTGCCTATGCCACCTGCGACAATTCCAGCCGGGATCAATTGGCCCAGGACGACAATAGCAACAGTGCCAGTGCCGCCTCGCCAATGGAGCACGAAACGGAGACCAGCACCACGACGGGCACCCTGTGCCGCTCCAGCCTGCCCACTGTGAATGTGAATGCCCATCCAAGTGTAAATGGTGTAGGCAATGCCACTGCCTGTGCCAAGAAGAAACTGCTGCGATTGCGGAAGATGGGTTCCCGGCAGAACAGCAAGACGGAGAGCGACAGCAGTGATGCGGATACCCACTCGGTCTTGGAGACACCGCGCCGATTGCGCAGGAAGAACTTCCGGCTGAAGCAGCGATCCCTGGATGATGACTTCCGGTTGGGTTCGATCACAAATGAGCAGGAGGTGACTCCACCTAGAGAGGAAATTGTCTACGGTTCACTGAAGGTCAAGCCGGGTGAACTCATCGAGCAGAGTCAATGCGTGGCACCTGCTCCACTTTCGACTACTGCTCCTGTTCCGTCTACCTCTTCCAGTGCATCCACCACTCCGTTTACTTCAACCACTCCTTCTGCAACAGTTACTCCATCTACAAAACTGGGTGCCTTTATTCCGCCTCCTTTGCCGGAGCATAATCGATCATACAATACGAATGCCAATGTTTTTGTGAAAACCAAACGCAAACTATTCACCACCATCCCAGAACCAAGTGCCGCTGAAGGCATAGCTTTGATCGAAAAGGATCTAGATAGTCCCACAGAGAATAGAGCGGAGAAGTTGGATAAATCAGATAAGATCAAGTGCCCTCCAAAGCCCCTCAATTTATATAAGTCCATCAGTTTGGAACGCTTAACTAATCCGCCCAATAAAGAGGACCTGCGAAAGTGTCAGAGTAGCGAGAACTTCCGGCGGGGATGCCTGTTCGTGCGTCCTCCACTGGCCAGCGATAGCATGGAGAGATTGGCGGAGGCCAAGAAACCGCAGGACTCGAACAATCCCCCAGTTCCGCCCCGGAAAGCTCATCTCTACAAGAAAAACTCGCTGCACAAGTCGCACAGTGCCAATGCCAGCAACAGGATTGAGCACAAGATAGCCAAGACCAGCTCCGGTCCCAGCTTCTCCAGGGTGCATCCTCCGCCGCCAGTCCCAGTTCCCTTGATCTTACCCAATAAACAGGATAACACGCTGCCGCGTATCCAAAGAAAGCATCCCAACACACCCACCAAGGCGAAGCAGTTCGAGTTCCCGCCACCACAGATCCTCATAGCAGAGCGTCCAGCCACGCCCCTTTCGGAACGGGCCATCCGCCTCCAGTTGGCCAAGGCGCAGTTCCTTCAGAGTGCTCCGGTGACTCCACGTCAGGAACCTCAAACTCCAAGTCGGAATTCCGATTCGGTGGTACTCCAAAAGAGCATCAGTGCGGGTAGCATGAGAGGAGGAGGAGGAGGAGGAGCAGCTGCCCATGAGCCCACCAAGCAGCAGCCTTATCATGAGGTATCCACCGATCAGGAGAGTGTGGGCAACTCCAGTGCCTACGACAGTTTGCCCAGGTCCGTCAGCCGGAGTGCCAAGATCTCCAGCAAACTGGGATTCGCCACTCTCACCTCAAAGTTGCGAAGGGGCAACAAGAAGCCCAAGGAGCCACCACCAAGTCCTGGGAGCGCCCTATCCGCCCTTTGCCGGCAAACTCTAATGGCCGATGTCATAGCCATACCGCAGGCCTTTGCCTCAGAGAAACCACCACCTAGTCCCACGGGTCGAAATGTATCCAAGTCCCAGAGCACGCCACAGGCTGCAGGTCCTTCGACCATCAACTTCGAAGGAATAAACAAGTCCTTGAGCGAGCAGTATGTCCGCCAACTTAAGGAGAGCGACGTCTAGTCAGAGTCCCCAGTCTCAAGTCCAGAATCTAGTCATAGGAGTAATGTGTAAACCGAATGTCCGAGATGTTTGAATGCATTTTAGGGTCTGTATTGAATCCACATAACAATATTTTCACTCGATTGCCACCAAAAAAAGGATATAAACGATTGTCAAACGAAAGCAGCCAAAGTAGAGATACTCGAAAGTCCATTAATGAAGAAGAACTATCTTGATCTGTGTAAAATCGAAAAGTCCAAAACTAAATAGTTTTTCAGATGTAGTTACTAAAACATTATTTTTTTTGATTGATTCGAAATTTTGTAAAATGTATAGTAACCAAATCTAGGATTATGTTTTTAAAGAATTTTGAGGAAATAACTGTTGGAATATGTAACACCTTAAATATATTTAACTCTTATTTTTCCAATAACAAAAAAAAAACAGAAAAAATGCTGATGTTCCTTTGTGCAATAAATTAATTTAATTATTATGCGATTCGCACTTTAAAAATAAGAACTTTCTTATGAAGCCTGAAAATAAAGTAATATCAATGGAAAGAATTGAAATAAAATAATTAATACCATTCATGCTTACTATTTAGCATGAATTGTATTAATTATTTCCTTAATAACCTTCACAAATACTTTCCCCAATTCCCCATAACTTTTCTTACAGACATCCGATTTCAAAGTGGCATATTTCCAAATGTGGTTTAATTCTCTAAAAATCTGTGTTTTTACTTTTGTTTTTATTTTTGGGTCGCTTTATCGTCATTTTGATGATGAACCCCCTTACCAAATTTTCGATAAATGGCTTTGCCGAAAATTACCAAAAACCTGCACGTCTAAGCCCATAACTTTTCTTACAGACATCCGATTTCAAAATGGCATACATCTAAATGATTGTGGTTTAATCCTCTAAAAAACTGTGTTCTCAGCTTGGTTTGTATTTTGGGGTCGATTTTTCCTCATTTTGACAGTGTTACCCCTTTCCAAATTTTCGAAAAATGGCTTTGCAGAAAAGTGACCTAAAACCTGCACTTCGAAGTCCATAACTTTTCTTACAAACTTCCGATTTCAAAGTGGCATACATCTAAATGATTGTGGTTTAATCTCTAAAAAACTGTGTTCTCAGCTTGGTTTGTATTTTGGGGTCGATTTTTCCTCATTATGACAGTGTTACCCCTTTCCATATTTTCAAAAAATGGCTTGTCAGAAAAGTGCTAAAAAAACTGCACTTCTAAGCCAACATACAGACATCCGATTTAATTCTCAAAAAATTTGCGTTTTACTTTTGTTTTTATTTTTGGGTCGATTTTTCGTCACTTTTATGATACCCCCTTACCAAATTTTCGAAAAATGGCTTTGCCGAAAAGTGACAAAAAACCTGCACTTTTAAGACCACAACTTCTCTTACAGACATCCGATTTTTAAGTGGCTTACTTCTAAATGATTGTGGTTTAATACTCTAAAAACCTGTGTTTTCATCTCTGTTTCTACTCTCCTATGGAAGCTATAATAATATCGCTGTTTCCCAGCAAATATCCATATACACCAAAACATGGAATTTGTTTTAAATATATCGAAAAATAATGTAGTCATTATTTTAAAGCACCGAAATCTAAATATATAATATTTAATTTTTGTAACAGGTGCAAGGTTTTATTAACTTTGACTGACCGAAGTTTGCTTTCCTTCTTGTTTTATAAATGAATTTTAATCCCAACGATCAAAGCTGATTTAACCCGTATATATTACTGTTATCTGGAGGTTTATTATTCCGATTAGCAAAACAACGCTTATCAATCGGTGGAAATTCCACAAGCTTATCTGTGATCCTCATAGTCGTCCAACTCCGGGTAGTCTTCATCGTCATCCTCATCCACCTCGTTTTCGTGGGGTATTTCCGGAGGTTCCGCGCCGGTGTTCCAGTAGCGATCCTCCTCCGGATGGGTGAACTCGAAGTCGGCTGTATCCGGATTCACGTAGGTGATGCATGTCGTCAGATTCTCTGCCGTTTCCAACATCTGTGGTATGCTGTTCACAAAGACTACTCCACATTCCGCGGAGTGGAGTGCCTCTTCTGGCAATTTGTTGTTAATTTTGCCGTAAACGTCGATTCCAACGGCGATGATGTCGTGAACCCGACGAATGGCACTCAGAGCATTCACTGTCCCGGAGAGGATCTTGCCCACGGTGGTTTGTTTGGCGGCGATCTTCTTGTAGATCTTCACCAGGCTGCCCACATTGCGCTTCACCTCCTTCACGGCGGCCACCGTCTCATTCTGGATGCGCAGGACCAAGGCCAAGGTGCGGGAGTAGCAATCAACGCCATCGTTGACGGCCTGCAGGGCTATCTGGAACTCCGGAACTTGGGAGTAGCTGCAGTAGGCCGCCTGACTGCCACGACCCCAGTATTTCCACATGTACCCCAAACCGGCAATGGCGGCGGTCACAATCTTGGGCTTGTTGAGCTTCAGCAGATTCGTCTCCAGTTGGATGGCCCGCTCCACTATGTCGTCAATTCCGAACTGCGCCTCATCAATCACATCCTGGATTATGTCCCTGAGATCTTCGAATTCCGCCCTCTGATCTGGGCTAAAATCGGGATAGGGCTCTCCCATTATCTCCTCCACGGAGGGCAGTTTGGTGTCATAGGTCACTCGAGGTTTATCATCCAGATAAATGCCAAACTGACTGCGAAAGTCCTCAAAGGCCTGCAGGTAGCTGCCATCCAATTCAGGTTCCTCCGCCGGACTCTGGTCACTTCCATCGCCGCTCTGGAGCTTCAGGCTGTACAGGTAGTCGTACTGCGCCTGGAACTCAAGGTAAAGTGGACGCAGTGCAGCCACTTCATCGCTGGACAACTGCAAGTCCACCTGTTGCTTCTGCAGCAGATTCTCCAGTTCCCGGTGGGCACCTCCAAAGGCAAAGAGCAGCACACTGGCCAGCAGGAGCAGCGTTTTCCTAACCATTTTGTCGGGCCAACTGGTTCAGTGCAACTGAGGAGGGATTTTGACCAGCTCGATTATCAGAAGAAGTGTAGCTCGTAAAACACTATCGCAGATACCACACTTGGATTTTTATAAGTGGCCACGGGTGCGATAATCGCAGCTTATCGCCAATATTACGCTATATATATCACTCCACGGGGCAATGTTTCAGTAAACAAATGTAAATTTCGTGGGAGCTTTTCATGAATGGCCTATCAAAGCAGGAGGATGATTAAGTAAGGCTGATAGAAATTAAAGATATATCGGGGAATCCAAAGAATAACTATGGGCCATATCAGTTAAAGAAAACGTTACCTATTCACTGACCATTTTAATTATTTTAGCATTAAGTACAAGTATTTCAGAGAATTGAAAGCTTCGCCATTACTTTACCAATGAAATAAAATAAACCAACTGCAGTTTGTCTTGCATATTAATATATGTTATTTCTCAACTCAGTTCATAGCACACGACTCAATCTGAGCGAAGACCTCATCAAACTCCATCTTGAGATTATGATAGAACAGGCAGCTCGGTGTGTCCAGATCCTCCTGCACCATCTCCAGCAGGATATCATCGCAGACAACCAGGCTGGCTGACATCCGCTGATTGATGCCTCCTATTCCGGCCACAGTGCAGAGCAAGACTCCGGCGTGATTGAGTCCGGGCTGTTTTAGTTGCCAAATTTGGCAGGCTTTAGATATTCCAGCGATCTCAAGCGAAGCTCTGCCTAAGAAATCGGCTTCATGAACGATTTCCTGCTGGAAATGACCCATGATGTGGTCCAGGAAATTCCGGCAGATGCTGTACTTGTCCACCAGCTCCCGATTGAAGTGGGCCACCTGGAGCTCATGCTTCTTGGAGCAGGCTCGCCACTCGGCGCTGTAATCACTGTCGAAGAATAGTTCCAGGCGGGCACTCACGTTTCCCTGTTGGTCATCCAGTGTGTCCTTGGCCAGCTGAAGTCGCTCGGATCGCTCGTAGATCGCCTGTTGGGTCTCGTTCCATATCCTGGCAGCACGGGAGCTTTGGCTGGCTATAAGCTGCTTCGTGGACTCATAGAGTGGCCCATTCTGGCCCCAAATCCTTTGAAACTGGCCAAGCACCTGTGAAATTTGAGCGGAATTGTAAACTATATTTTTTAGAACAGTGGCAGCTATTGGTTACATAACAAAGCGACAGCAGGAACAGCCATGACACCAGTTCTATTCTCATCTTGAAAATAAATCAAACTGACTCCCAAAAAGGTTCGATGATAGCTTTAATCAATCTATGTTATTTTTATGGTTCTTTGAAGGGTAACTTTACCCTATAAGAGGCAGCTTGTGTGTTTGGAAACCATTTAAATTTTCTTAAGATTAATTAAATTTATTAAAACTTACATGTCCTTATTTTATCATCAATAAATTTTTTGTAATATAATTGTTTACATCGATAATTTAAAAAAAAAAGGGAAAGATTTATAATAAAAATAAATTAAATTGGCATTTGTTTACTTTACAAAAATATTCAAAGAAACTTTATATTTCTTTAGTTAATAAAATTGTTAGAATATAAAAAGAGTAAGAGTATTAGAAAATCCATGCCATTCGTGAAATGGAACTTTCATTAGGTTAATGGGCAATCTGTGTTGTCTAGTGTGATTTTTAAGCGTCGAACTCTTATCGAAACAGTAAGCAAATGTTTTGACTATATATACCAAGTCAATTGTGGAGCTTGTCGCACTAGAGAAATGCAACAGAAACACGATGAGTCAAACCATTGGAATGCTTTGTCTCCTTTCGCTTACTTTAGCGGTAAGTAATGCCCTTGGGATATACAAATATTTTTGGGGTAAACCCTATCGTTCTTGCAGAACTGCCAGGTGGTCCGCTTTGAAACCGAGATGGATTCGGATACCACGAACTACGGACCCGTCTCCATGGTGGTGGACAATCTGGCGGAGACGGCCGTAAATGTCAGCAAGGACAGCATCGATCAGTTGGAGGGAAAAATGAATCGCACTCGGCAGGATATAGCCGGGAATATCGAGGTCCTGACCGCCAATGGGATGGCCCAGTTAAGTGACGTGATCTACGAGACCAACCAGTTGATGGTGGCCAATCCCGACTGCAATGTGGCCTGGAGTTTGGATGAACTCAACGAAAACGTGACCTACCAACTGGGTGACTGCACTGGCGGCTTGGAAAGTCTCTTGCAGGATTTCCGCCAGGAGGCTCAGGTGGCTTTGTCCAGAGTCCAGGGATTCGTCCAGCAAATGGCCCAGTTGCCGGCCAAGTGCCAGACGTTGGTTCCTCTGCCCCTCAACCCTTCGCCTTCATCTGGCGGCGTTGTCTGCTTCATCAATGCCATGGCGGAAATCAACCGGGGCATGGCCCAATCCATGCACATTGCCTCCCAGCTCCTGGTGCAGACCCATCGGACTGCCGAGGAGCTAGTGGAGCAGGCGCAGGAGTGCAGGGCAGCCGTGGTGCAGCAAATTGGGGACTTTCTGCGCGAGGAGCAGGACCAGTGCCAACAGTGAACTTGGACCCTTCCTGTAAGCAATAGTCCTAAGAGAGAATTCTGGCAAATACAAATTTATGCACCCACAAGATGACAGAGGCCGAGGACTCGCCACATCCTGTTCACTTATTGCTTATGCATGACATTTATTTGACAAGTTTTTGATTGATTTTACAGCTGCTGCAGCCGATCTGGTGCAGCTATCTGCATATTTGTAGGCACAGTGGAACTTCTCTACGGCGAACTTCTCGAAAATGACCATTTTTTGGTTAATCGATTTTTAATATATCTTATCAATTTTCTTTTAAAATTAATTACCATAACATTTCTTGGGCATATGTAAAAATAGTTTATCTGTGACGTTTATAAAGGAAAATCAAAGTAGTCAAATAAAATTTGTTTCAATAGTCGAACCTTTTACAGTTTATTTAAAATTCTAGGTATTGTGATATAATATAATTTATTAAATTTTAATACTATCACAAATTCAAGTATAACAAGTAAGTAATAAATACTATTAAAAATGGAATTTTAAATATGTAAGGCTACTGAGTGTCAATGTCTAAAAGTGAACATGCGAGGTCGGTTTCCACATCACTTTGGTTTGACTTAGAGAGGTTCTTCTGTAGAGGAATATTTCTTTCAACTTTGTGGCTAATCGCAAGTTCACTTTTCAAAGTCGCATGCATACTAATTGGCCATTGTTCGGCCGAACTGACCAATTGCCCAATGGACTTGCCCACGACACGTGGCAACCACACGATATATGGTAGCATACGGATCCGAATGGGCGACAGCTGGCCCTAGAAAGAGATAGATAGGGACGGGGATCGAGATCGGCCAGTTATTTTCCTCTTCCTCTCGCTTCCGCAGTAAGCCAAATTATTTTGACCTGCCTCCGACACACTGAGCGCAATTTCATAGCCACTATCTGTCAGATACTCCCAAGCATCGCTTCTCAGGTATCCCTCATTGTTTGCAGTGCAACAACCAAAATGTCTACGACTCTTTATTTCGGCTCTTGGCGCAATTTCACTAAGAGTCTGAATTTTATCTTATTTTTACTGCCCGTAACAGTTGTTGCCCTGATGATGATCGCCTTGCAGTTGTAGCTGCACAAATTCCACCTATTCCAACATCTGTTGAGCACTCTCAGACATCTGACGGATTTTGGTGACGGCGTGCGCGCGACGCTTGTCTATTGGAACCCGACATCCAAGAGTAATCCACTGTAGATTGGGTTGAAAACAATCAGCTATTCGAACCTACTTAAACATAGAAAGTACTTGATGCCCTTGTACGAATATAACAAACCCATTTTTTCTTCACATTACACAATCTGGCGTCTTACAAGACTGATACTTTCGCAGAAAATAAGGTTAGTCATCGATATATAAGCATTTATTAAAAAGGGCTTTGATAAGTATTTCCTGTTGACTTGTTGATTACACTTTTACAAAAAACCATGATTTTGATCACGTTTGAACCCCAATAACAGGCGAACCGATTTGTGTTTAATTATTTGGCTTTAAAATATTTCTTCCCCAGCAATTTTAATATACATCTTTGGCATTACACAATTATTATTGAGAATTATTGATCCCAAAGAGTTTGTAAAATATTTCTTAAGCGCTTCAAGTGCAAGAAACTGTGCATGATCGTTCATTAGGATTATCGCCACAACTTCTTGGTCCTTTTCCGATGGTAAATCCTTCATCACATGGTTCTTCAGTGCCCGGAGCTGCTTGTTCGATAAATCACTCCGAATAACTTCACTAGCCAACTTGAACCTTCCTTGACCTGTAAGACTGACGTTAGTTGTGTTCACAATAGTCCGTGGGAAACTAGCCTTTCGAAAGTACGTAAACTGCGAGTCCACCGACGGCACCACCCACAACCAAGCCGAAGGGACCCATCAGCTTTCCACCGATAACTAGAGCTGCACCAGAAACAAAAACACTTCCTAAAGCTCTTATGAACGTCTTCTTAAAAGTCACCCGCATTCCGTCGTTATCGGCCAATGTGCACAGAAGTCCAAGTACCATGTCGTCCTTCATTTGTAGCTTTTTAATGTTAAAGTAATGGTCTTTAAGGGTCCAGCTCTGTAAAGCAACTGAGAGTGAATTAACAACACAGTACTTTGTAAAGGTGATAAACCTCCCTTTATAAAAACATTATCGCACAACTCTTATATACTAAAGTAATAGATCTTGGTTTGACCAATACATTTAGCCATAATATCTATTTTAATCAGTTATAGATAACCATTAGAGAATATATTGATAATACAGGCATACAATTTTACAAAGTCTTTTATTATTCCATATTGATTTGGATAGATGATTAATCAATAATGGTCATTCCCATACGATTAGTGACAAAAGACTTGGCCGCGCTTAGTGCAACATTTTGCACCTGCCGGTTATTAAGTATTAATCCAGCAATCTGTATAGCATCGACAGTTCTAATTTCGGATATAGCCTTGACAACATGTTCCTTCAGTTCTCGGCGCTGACTTTCCGACATATCGTATGAAATGACATCACTCAGTGACTTGAAGTTTCCTGAAATGAAAAGACTGATAAGAGCAGTGCTCACTGTGGTGCACCACACACTCGCCTTCTGTAAGTCTGTAGGCTGCAAGACCGCCGATGGCCCCGCCCACCGCCAGCCCCCGGGGACCCATTAGTAATCCCCCGACCAGGGCACTGACAGCACACAAGGCAGCTCCTTTGGCGGACTCCGTAACAGTCACCTGGATGTTTTCATTGTCGGCCAGTATGGACAGGGCACTAAGTAGCTCTTGGGTGCTTACGGCCATTTGTAGACGTGGTAGTCTTTGTAGGTGGAGATCTTTCTAGCAACTGAACACAGTTCGCTAATCAGTTCTCAATTAAAAGTAAGTCCCCACGCTGTGGAGGAAAGTTACTCGATAGAAATCAAGTCTCACTCGTTATCGATATTTTAGTTATAACGTTATCTTTAAATTACCCCATATCAAAACCATTTATTTTTTTGTATATGTGTATATGTAGTGCTGCAATAATTGCAACAACTTATTAAAAGAAAGTGACCTCACTCTTCCGGTGGAAATTTTTGGAATAATTTATTGAGAATGCCGAGGAAATCGCCTATAGGCCATAGGTACTGTTAGTCTTAATGTCTTCCTCGTCAATTACTGTAGACTATTAATAGACAAATTTTATAAAAATTAGTTACTTATATAGTGCAGGGCACACTTATCAGTAAGATGATCCGGATGGACCCGCCCACCGCCAGCCCCCGGCCTTAAAGTTATTGATATATTACTAATTGATGAGCTTTATATGTATAGATAGGAAGCTATACGATTACCCCTTATCAGTACTATTTATTAATTGCCATTAAAAATATGGGTATATGTACATATGTATGTATCGAACCAAATGAAATGCTTTGATTAATAAGTAATGGCAAAGCCCAAATAATTGGTTAAATATTTCACGAGGGCTTCTAGTGCCGCTTGTTGCACTTTAACTTCTCGTATGAAAACTTCCACAGCATTTTCCACGAAACCAACTGCTTGTAAAATAACGTTCTCTACAAAGTCAAACATTTTTTCCAATATAGGCATAGTCAATTCCAAGATGAAATTATACACCCGTTCTAGAAATCCTGCAATTAGACGATTCTGTAAATGTTAACCATTTATAGAGTGAATACGAGAAACTCGCCTTCTGAATGGTCTGCTTCACGCGCTGTATGGTTCCCAGAAAATCTCTCAATCTGGTCCTCGTCTGCTGCTCGCGCTGTGAACAACAAAATAGTAATTTATAAGTACATAAATAACTATAACTTGCCTTCTGGACGGCTGATATTCTTCCTTAATCGCACTGCTTTGAGCAGGGTGCTAAGTACAAGTTCCAAGTCCAATTTTCTACGGGACATATTTCTAAACTTCTTGTAAGGTGTGTTCACTTTACTCTGCGGGATCAATGCAAAACTGAATTGCCTATAAGTGTTTTAAGTATAAATTCCAAGTTCAGTTTCATCTTTCATAAGGTATTTTTATATTTGTTGTTACCTTTATGGTCTTTGCACTTTCGTATCAAACGCGAACTGATCGGGCTTTTAGCCGCGCACTTGATTTTAACTACTTTTTATATGTATATGTATATTACAAGCTTTTACCATTGCAAAATTACTTAATGAACAAGAAAGGAAAGCTAACTTCGGGCGGAGCAGAAGTTTATATACCCTTGCAGAATATTCTATAAATTATATTCTACAAATTTATTTATTTGATGCATTCTTAATAACTTTAAAAACACCAAAGTTATGGAATTTCTAATCGTTCAGTTAAGTGGCAGCTATTGGTTATAGTTGGCCGATCCTTATGAAATTTGGTATGTCGAATTGATTGGCCAAAAATAAAACCCATAGAAAATCCAAACTTCCTAACTTTACAAACAGCAAAGCTATGGCATTTCCGATCAATCAGTTAAATGGAAAAAGGAACGAAGGGATGTGCAAAGTTTCAATTCGATATATTTAAAACTAAAACAGGCAGATGGACAGACGGACATGCTTATATCAACTCAGGACGCGATGCTGATCAAGAATATATATCCTTTATAGGGTCGGAGATGTCCCCTTCACTGCGTTGCAGTGAATCTCATTAGTTTTAAATACTATTATTAAATTATTGGTTTAACTGGCTAAATAATAATAATCCTTGCAACCAAACGGTATCTGTGGAAAGATATTGGGTTTTATTTAAGAGCCTACTATACACAACTTGTACACAACTTTGTTAATATCAAATAGCTGAGAGCTGGCGCTTGGTGGCCAGCCACACTGTATTAATTTGAATTTAATGGCCTTTACCTTGAGACGTATTGGCACAAGCTATTCTGTCATGCATATGAGTCGGAGGATCTACATTTCAAAGGGCCGGCACCTTTAGGATTCGGCTTACGTGCCTAGATGGCGTTTAAAAATCGCTGCCGGATTGCCTTTAATTTTGATTGATGCAGCTTTAATTGCGTGGGCTCCCAAATGCTACCGCCGAACTTTCGGGTAACTGTAACTAGACCTTTGGTAGGCCGAAAACCAAAAGCGGATTCGTCCTAGCCCCCGGGATATCTAGCAGTTGACTACTACTATATAATATACTATACGCTTGAGGATCGAGGTTTCCGCCTGCGACCAACTGGCGCGTCTTGGGCACACAATAAGGAATAATTGTTATTGTTATGCGCTGGCGTGCGAGTGAAAGCCAGCGAAAAGGACCCATTTGCGGGGCAGTGGCCAAAGCGAGATAGAGCCAGGCGCAACATATGCCATCTTCTGCCGATCCTCCTCCCGAAGGACCTCTCGCCCCGTCTCTTTCTGGCCCCGTCTTTGGCCCAGAACAAACGGACGGCGCACGCCGTCATCTGGTGCCACTTTTGACTTTGGAAATTGGGTTGCCCACGCTCCTTCGCTTCATCACTTAGAAAAATTATTCCATTCCTCGAATTAGAATTATAATTAAAATTCAACAAATTATTTTATACAGTATTTAAAAAAAATTCAGTCAAAACTTAACAACTTAAACGCAAAAGCAGTTAAAAACTGAAACCTCTCTAATATGGTATTGAGCTTGTGTTATTCATGCGTGCAGAATAGTACCTCAAAGTACAATCTATAGAAAAAATTCTTGTAAATTTTAGAATTCGTTTTGAAACAGCGGTTGTGTTTTCAAGCTAATTATTTTCCACTTAGGCTTACAAATCTATATAGAGTTTAATAGCGCCCTAATACTTTATTTAATTTGCTTAAGCTAATCTTTATAATGAATTGTGATTTACAAGACTACAAAGTTGTTGAATAATAAATGTTTCAAACGTAGAAAATAACTTGTTTGATTCTTAGTTCCACACTGTGTAGTACAAATTTAAACTAATCAATAAACGAATATTTATTGTTTGGAGCCATTTTAATAATTCCCTTCTTTGTTCATTGCTCTTTTAATAGTTACTCTATTTTTTCGAGTGCCCGACCGTTTCTCGGCTCTGTTCAAATTATACTTTTTGTAGCTGTTTCGTTTACGGTTGGGTTTTTTCTTCCTCTTGCCCTGGCAGACAATTTCAAGGAAGCAGGAGCACTCGACCAACAGTTACTGCTGACTTCCGATCGGGGCACGAGAGCAGGAAGCGCGGGGAAGACTGTCGAACCCGAACAGCAACAGCAGGACAAGCGGCTTAAAGGACTTGGCCAACGATAGGGTTGCTCTTGGGGAATGGGAAGAGAGTAATGGGCAATGCGTATTGGGTATGCGGATTGGGGAAGGTGTGAGGCCGACAAGGATGCACAGACATTCGGGGCTCGACTTACAAATCCAAATTGAGCCCCGAAATCGCGCGCATGCCGGCCAAATGAACACGTGTGACGCAGGATCGGAGGATCAGGCCAAAAGATCGAAGCGTCAGCTGGCCAAACTCCAAAAGATGCCCGCCACAATAATTGCTATGTCTATGAAGATGATAGAAAAATCAAACAATTTTAAGGGTTGAGAAAACGCAAAACCAAATACTGTTAAAATCTTTATATCGAATAAAACATTGATTCATACTTATTTATACGATTTTTTATTTTAGTCTTATAAACAATATGAAGAAAATTAGGAAAGAGTTTAAAACAGTATTGCATTACAGCGATCATTGAATTCCAATCAAATACAAATAGTATTCAATTTTAAATTTCAGAATACATTTTATAGATTTTATTTTAGTCAACATACATTAATTAAAAATCCCCAGTATATTAAAAAACAATTTCAGTAAAACCATTACTAATTTTCTACTCTTACTTTTATTTTGTTGAATGGGTAACAAAATAAATAACAAATTGTCCAAATAAATCTAGAATAATAAATCGCTTGGCTGAGCAAATTATCCACCAGCTAGGCGTGTAAAATTCCTAAATCGTTTACCAAACCACCATAAACAAAGCCAAATCAAAGGCAACGAAAACAAAAAAATGAATTTACATTAAACCTTAATATCGGACAGATCGGGGATAAGCAAGGGGTCCGCATAGAGAATTAAATAATGAACTTTGCCGAGGAGACAAATGTATAATTTTACAGATCGCGCAATTCAATTAGAGGAATCGCCGCAAAGCCACTGGCACACAAAAAAATTAAGCAATAAAATTAGTTTTGGTTCGCGCAAATTCAATGCATCAAAAGGAGCCACAAGGACATGCCGCAGCTCGCCGGGAGCCCGAGAAATAGAGCAATAGCAATGAATCAGGACGATGGAGGGCCATAAAATGCCCATTGGCATTCCGAGTAGTTTTCGTTTTCATGTTCATTTTCGTGTCATAATGTGTTGTAAGTAGGTTCCTTTGTTTCACAAAGGACTCGCCATTGTTCCATTGTCCGCTCAAGGACCTGTCCTGGGAACACCCGCGCGGTTCTCAGCATCCAAAGAGTTTTTTTATTTTCTTGGGGTGCTGTGTCAGTTGCGACCACAATTTGACTCTCTGACCACCAACATAAAATGTTGACAGGCGGAACACGCCTCTAAAATATTATGCGCAGCGAGTCCTGTGGGGTCCACGGAGTATCCTTGCCAGTGTTCCCATTCCCTCATCCCTTTTTTTTTGGCTCGACTGGGCTGGGCAAATCAATTGATTGCCCCTTGACAGTTATGAGCTGATCACATTGCTATCTTGATCGCCACTTTTGTCGGCGCTTAGCTGCCAGGAATTTATTGTTATTGACATTTTAGTTGGGTGGAATCACACGGATTATATCTGCTAATTGTACAGATTACAGGATGCGATTCTTTAGATCTTTGGCCGCTTCATCAGACATATTTTATGGGCAATCACTCAAAGTTATAGTTGTTCTGGGAAGATATTTGGTGAGGTTACTCTAGGAACGAATTTAATTACTTGTTGGTTGAAATTATACAAATTAATGAAAGTTATTATTTAAAATGTGTAGCAAATTCATAATACTATCGAAAAATAATGGGAAATTACATTTATACAAATAAATATACATAAATTTAAGTACACAATTAATAAACAATTATTATATTATGTTATTTTTAAGTTTGAAATTTACTTATGGGTATATGTTTTAAATGGCTTTGTTATTAGATAATTTGATTAAAGAAACATTTTTCAAACAGAAGCTTTTAAAACAAATTCTTAATAATTTCTTTTACGAGTAGTTCTCCAAAAATCAAAACCATTTTTTCTAAGCTCAGCTTATTCCCGATATCGGGTTTAAGAAGCCCCACTTTCACGACCGTTTAAACACAAATCGGCTGGAAAATCACGGCTTGTTCAGCACAAAGCCGGTTCACCCCTTGCCGCAGGTGATACAATTTCGCACATTAATACTTAATTACTTGAATAATTGGGGCCAAGGGATTAAGTTCACACTCACTCCAGGCCGCGACAGTCCCCCAAAAAAAAGCGCAGAATCGGAGGCCAGTCAATGCAGGTGGCAGTTCAGACCCCCACCACCATCCCCTGAACCAAAGCCACTGCCAATGAAAAAGGAGCCCAAAAAAGCTGGCCCAGAGATGAAGTGATGCCAACGCCACCGACGTCGTTGACATTAAATTGCCGGGTCCTGCCGAAAATGCGGTTCTTGTTGCTGTCTGCTGAGCCCAGCTCAAGCTCAGAGTATGGACGCACCCTGGACGCATTTTTCACACGAAATCCTGATTAATAAATATATAAGTTCCACAATATTACTGATAATTTGAAAAGTCGTCAACCCGAGCGCAGGCTTTTGGGACAGGGATGTGCAGGGATCTGGTCCGCAGATTTCATGCGGAGTCTGGCCGAGACTTCGGTGCCCAATTACAAGCAAATGAGCTGGAAAACTGTATCAAATGACCCAATGTCAATACAAAATTACAGGCCCCATCCACCGGACCAGGAATCCTTTGTTCGGCCAGAAGAAGCAGACCAGACCAAATCTCCAGACTCTCCTCTTAACGTGACAAAGCGACGGCGATGGCTTGCGTGTGGCAATTTCAGTTAAAAAACGCTGAAAAAAGGATTTTTGTGTAGCCAAACAATCGAATACTCTATCTTGATGAATGCCTAAGAAATCAGAAAAATAATTAAATACTCTATGACATTTCTGTTTATTAATGTAGGTATAGATTTATAAAATAATTTATCTCTGTGATTTCCTTTAAACAAGTCATGATGTTTTCCTACCTTACTTCAATATACTTTTAATATTATTTATATTACATAATATTTTGTTAGGTTTGGTGGACATCTAATGCCTAAAAGTTCAGTTTTAGAGTATAATAAATTCTCATTCTTTTAACATATACTCGATGCTTTTTTGTTTGCTTTGTGCCTCGTTTTGGTAGCATCTTAAAGTTTTTGCCTTGTGTTAATTTGATGCCTCGCCAAAAACTTGTCAAAAAATCGAGAAAGACTTTGATTTCTGATGCACTTTCACTGTCGATCTTGGATCACCGTTGGCTGCACCGTGAGATACTAAGAACTTTGGGCTTTTGGCTCTGGGATGCCAAAGGTATCCGAGGTATCTGGGTATCTGGGTATCTGGGGTGCCCACCTACTTGGATGGACATGGATTGGAAGTCTGGAAACCGAAAGTCAGTCAACTGTGCCGTGCCGATCGTCATCGTCTGTGTGGCTAATTGAGTTACCCAGAGATTTTTTGGCCTTTGGCCGTTGGCCGTGCGAATTATTTGTCAAATGGGTAACGGTTAAGTTTGTTACTGCTCCCGATGAGGAGGACCATGGTAATGATGATCAGGATCGGTAATCGGAGCCCAGGACTCGCCGTTGATTGATGGTAGATGCATTGCGAATCGTTTGACTAATTGCCGCTCTTGCGGGCCAAAACTTCCCTAAACAAACGGTGACCTTTAATAGAGTCCTTCCTCCGCCGCCTTTCCATTCCTCTATATGTTTTTTTTTCCCTTGGCCAGGTAATCTTTCTCCTTTCCCCGCGGACCTCACACAATGTCCGATAATGGGCTGGGAAAGGATAAGGAGAAAAGGGGGCGCGGCCGTCGTGATTTGGTGTCGCTAATTACAGACTTTGGCATTTTACGCTGTCCGTTTTATGACTTAATAATTGCATTCACTTGGCCCGGACTTTCAGTTTGGCCAAAACCAATGGGATGCCGATGCCCACACACAATACGAACACTCACTAATTTCGCTGCACACGCGACTTGGGAGAAAGGTCTGGCATTAATCACCGAATCCTTGGGTCTCGGACCTGATATCCTGCAATTTCGCAGGCAAAGGTTGCGCAACGATTAAAGGATCAGCGCAAAATGTTCACACAACAATGCCAAAACAAATCGGCGGAAGCGGAAACTGCACTTGAGAATAGGAAAAAAGATACAAAGTAATACTTGTGGTTAGACCTCTCAAAAATGAGGGAAATTGTGCCCAAAAAGGCATGAGAAATTCTATTGAATGGAAAGAAAAACATAAAAAATTATTTCAAAACATACCAAAACCGCAATTATAAAATTTACGAAGCGTAATTGAATTTTACAAGATACAATGGCCTACCAGAACTACCTGTTGCTCCATTTGTTTATTTTACTAGATTATAAGGGCATTCAGGTTTGTTATTAATTTTAAATATGGTTATTATTATTTTATTATAATTTATAGTTAAAAGTGCAAGCTAACAGAAGTTATAGTAATAGGAGGTTTAAAAAAAGGTTAAAGACTTATTTTGATACATTTGCAGCTCAATGCTAAAATAAAAGTCCCCGAACTTCAATTGAAACCGATCTGCACTTAACGAGTCCATTTCTTAAGGACCACAAAACAGCCCTAAAGACCAATTCAGCTGGCAATCAATGAACTCGAGCCCCAAAACCCGAATCGATCGGAACAATAACCCATTCAGATCCTGCCCCATGGCGACACTAACAAGAAGTGACAAATTGATGGTGTTAAAGCTCATTAACTTACTTAACACAGATGCAGTTGCAGATGCATATGCAGCTACATGGACAACTAACTGCTTAAGCTTCGGATACAAAAAATAAGCAACCTCAAAAACCTCAAAATAAAGCTCGCCAATTATCGACATGACAAATTTCGGGGCATTCGTTGCCCCTGTCAGAAGGCAAGAAAAACCCACAAAATATGCAGCCCCAGAACGGACATCGAATGCATAATAATACGTGTTAATAATGCTCAGGCAAGCTGTCTATAAATTGACAAAGACATGCAAGTTGCTGCCGCTGCTGCTCCTCCTGTTTTCGATGTTGCTGCTGTCTCCGATGTTGCTGCTGTGTCCGCTGGATGTTGCTGCTGTGTCGGCGGCATGGCCAAAAGCCAAAGGCCGAAAGCCGAGAGCGGAGAGCCAAAACTCGACTGGGGTCCAGGTTGCCATTCATGAATTCTAACTAATTGTATTGGCAGGCAGTTGCATTTTGGAAGCTGGATCTGAATTCGAATATCCGAATCTGTGCAGCTGCATGCAGGTGGCAGTAGCTGTTGCTGCTGCTCGGAAATAACGACCGATATCGGCAGGAAGAGGGAAAACCCTGGGACCCCGGATCGCACCCTTTTGTTGTTTTGGCGGGGCAACGGCGACCGAAACCCGAACAATTTGTGTAATTGACAAATTGACGGCAGCGCTTTGTGCGGAAGCGTTCAAAGCCGTAAATTGTCGCTAACAAGAGCGACACTCCAGGGATATCGGCAGGATATCGCTGGTATATCTCCCATTCGCCCATACAAATATAATTGCCTGGATCGCCAAGAGACGCCCGCACCTCGCGACCACTAAATTAAGTCATTAACAATTTAACGAAGCCCTGTCGATGCCGCGTAACTAATTATGTGAATTTCCTTTTGATTATGTGCCCCGAAATCCGCGCAGCTTTTGCGGCGACGCCCGAAAATCATTTTATAAAACAAACAGAAACAGCCCACGAAATCCGGTCGCTGCCACGCCCCCAACCGCGCCAGCCGCCCCCAAGCGCTCCAATTCCCATGCGGGAGTCGATCGTCAGCAGTCGCTGTCGCTATCAACAAATTGGCTTCGAATCTTCCGAATGATTGACTGACTGACTGAGCCGGGGATCTGCTCCGCTTTCTGCTGAATGAAATGCTGCACAGCCAAAAAACGGAAGTAAGTCTGGGCTGTAAAATATATTTTTAGTTACAAAATTTTTTAATCAAGTTCACAGCTCAAGTTATTAATGATCAGAGATTAAAACCCTCTTTCACTTTTCAAATAATATATTTTACTACTGGGATGATTTAAAATACTTAAACAAGTTAAAGCAATCCTTTGGCAGTAATCTCTATATCAAATTTAAATGTAACCTATTTTCGTGTAAGATTAAAAATCTCTTTAAAATGTTAAAGTACAAATTCAAAAATGTTATTGAGATAAAATTATTGTATACTGTAATAATTATTTTCCTTTTTTCCTGAGTGTATGTTTCGGCTTAAGGTCTTAAGCCGCTGAGGTTATCCGCAAGCAACGATCGAGGATCGAACTTCGTCTTAAACGATTTGTGAGTGGCGCTTGATTTTCGGGACTCGACTCGGACTCGGACTTAAAGTTGAAAAGGTTTTTGGGACCTGGGGACGGACATTGCACGGACATGCGACCTGCGACTGCTGAAAGCAGATCAGCCCAACACTTAACTTAATTTGGCAGCTACACTCCGGCGCGCCGTGGCGTGTAATTATTGGCATTGGCACAACAATACTGCTTTGGGGATCGCAGCTCGTCCGCTGCGTATTTGTTTTGGCCAGCCCGAGGAGCCGGCCCTAATTTTGTCGAACTGTCTACAAATTGATCGCGAAGCGCCAAATCGATCACCTTCCCCCATATAATAAAGTCCAATTCACTGGGCGCGAGACGCTAAACCCTCGAAAACTGTGTGAGAATTGATGCCCCGCCGATAAGTGTGGATGCTGAGGGGCAAAGGAAACAGAACCGTTCGAGATAAAAGATTTGGATGGCTTATTTAACTGGAGGTATTGCTCGGGCCTTCTCTTAGATGGATTATGGTTTTTCAACATTATTTATTTTAGGTTTGAAATGAAAATAAGAGTAGATTAGTTAAATACTCATTGATTTTCAAGCCATTTAATTGTTTAATAGGTTATTTTTCGTAGAATGTGCACTTTTTGCAGTAATTATGATTTTAATACAAAACACAGAAACGATGCCTAAACAAAATCCAATAGTTATTTGACATTAGCAATGGATATTTGTTGTATTCTAATTTTCAAGATTTATGTATATCTTAGATTCAAGAATGGATATACACACTGGAAATTATAAAGAATAATAAAAATAATATTAAATTTCATTCAGAACAACATTGTATTTCTCAACTGTGCAATTGTAATGAAACTCTAATTTTTATATGCATCATATCTGAAAACGGGAAGTGCTGTAAAAGAATCCAAGCAAATAAATATCCAGAAAATAGTTTATATAATTATTTGTGCTTTTATTTTGTCTTCCTTAGTCTTAATCATTGTCTTCCATTTAGGCTAATTAACTAAACAATAAACAGCATAATACTTAAGCGGTAATTCACTACTGGGCTCCTGGCTATATACATAAACAGAGTAGGTACAACATTTGGCAAGCTCCAACAATAACTGAGAGTGGCAATGTGGATGGGGTTCCTAGCGCAGCAGATCCCCGAGAGCGGAGATGTAGGTCTGGGCCATTTGGAGGGTCTCGTGCTTGGACAGCTGGCGATCGTTGCCCAGGCAGGGCAGATACTGGCGGAGGCGATCGAAGGCCTGGTTGAGGTTCTGCATACGACGGCGCTCACGGGCATTGGCGGCCAGGCGACGCTTCCTCTTCACCACGGGCGTGATCTGCTTGCCACGCCTCTTCTTTCCAGCGCCCCCGGCAGCCTCGTCCTGGTTCTCACCATCGGCCAGGTCGAAGGAACCATCGTTGCCCTCGAAGTCCTCGCCGCCACTGAAGAGCATGAGGTCCTCATCGTCTTCCACGCTGTCGTCGAACAGGGCGGAGTTGTCGAAGTCAAAGTTCTGGAACTCCTCGGTGTAGAGATTGACTGGAGCCGGTACCTGAGGCGAGGATGCGGAGGAAGTGGCGGTGGCGGTGCTGTTCGACTGGTTCTTCTTGGTATAGCTGCGCTTGGGTTTCGGGCAGGCCGCCGGAGCAGGCACTGTTTTGCAGGTGCCCACATTGGAGGAGCCCATGACCTCCACTGCTGGAGGACTGGCCACTGGAATGGCAGGAGCTGCCGGAACCACTGCCTGCTCCATTACCATTCCGTATTGCTGGTTCTGGGCCATGTTGCAGCCTCCATTGTACATGGTGTTCAGGTCCACATACTCGGGACTCTCGGAACGGTGGCTGGCCGGCGAGGAGGAGATCCAGCCATCGGAGCTGGCCTGCTCGAAGCTGATGAAGCCATTGGCCGACAAGTAGTTGCTGCTGCTGGCCAACGTGTTGCCATTGAATTGGTAGTGGGTCACCCCGGGATTGTAGGCCGCCATGGGATTGAAGTACGTCTCGGTGGCGGCTGTCTTGAAGCCCTGCAAGTCCTCGGAAGTCTTGTAGTAGTAGCGATAAATCTCACTGGACGACATGGTGCTGCTGTTTGTGATACGACTGGGTAAAAACGATGCGAACGCTGCGATTGCTGGCGGGTTTCTGACTGGCCTCTCGTCCTTTCGGCCCTATTTATACCCGCAAAAGGCGAACGCAGAGGCAAACCCACCACGTCGACCAGAAGGGCCTGAACCGCAGGTAGGGGACAGGTAAACGAGTTCCCATTGCGGACAGCACGTGCCGCCCGAGTGGATGGGCCAATGGCGAATGGTGGTGAGTTGGCAAATGGTGGTGAGTTGGCCTGCTCTTCGGCAACTTGTTTCACCTCACCTTAAGTCCAGAGCTTAAAATGGCGCTAGAAACGTGGTATCAGTGCATCTAAAGCCGCTAACAAGATGATTACAGGGTGGTGGCCGGTTCCCAACCGGAACAGGAATATGGGCGGAAATGCAAACAGAAATTGGACAAACAATCGCGTCCCTAAACGGGATTAAAGTCGACCGCAAAGTGAGGCGAAATTTGCAAAAATCCCTCGGCGATTTGTCAGCACCAAATGGCAGAGTGGGACTTGTACTTATGAGTTTATCTAATCTGAATCGATTGGAGGTACAAACTACCTGACCAGGGAAACCCTTACAAATTTACCGCCGCCTGGTCATTCGACATGCTGACCCAAAGTCGGGGGAGGTATATCGCAATGAAAAATCTTGTTTATTACAACTTGGCAAATTTTCCAATTGATACGCTTGTTGCCGGGTCCTTGAAGAGGGTAGATAGCGCCGGCTCACCCAAGGACACGCTCGACTGAGCCCGAATCCCCGGTACTGACCTTCGCCTTGGCTAATAAGCGTGGCAGACACTAACTAAACATTTTAGCGCCTCGCAATTAAAGCGGCCGTGGCTTCGATCAGGGAGCAGGGAATTTAGTTGTAGATGCCAGGATGACACAGCGAAACGGGGCTCGCACACGGTGGTCCTCAGATCCTTTTTCGTAACAACGCCCCTTGATCCCTAATGATTCGCTGGAAATCATAATGCAATGAATTCACATACACCCATTTGTAGGAGGATGACGATCCTCCTAGGTCTTTGAAGTTCCGCGGCCACCCAGTCACTCAACAAGTAGCACGCCCCAAGGATCTGATCTTTTTTTTGCCGGGCAATAAAAACGCTGTCAATTAGATAAAAATGTCACACAACAAACCGCACCAGGATCGGCACCACGAATTTATTGGAAGCGCACACAGGTAAGTTTGACCTTTCGTCCACCCCTGAAACTGTCCTCGAATGTCCTTACACCCTTCGAGTCCCGAATGTCCTGCGAAATTTACGAGCCAGTTGCCGCAACTGCTCGGTAAGGTTACACCTGCAAGAAATGTGCGAGTGTGTAGGCCATATCCAACGGATCGCATCTTCGCTGTAAAGTTTACGCTTATCGGCATTAGCCGATGTCAAGGCATCCGCTGCATATCGATTTGGAAATTTACATTTTCATTGCCGCACATTGCAGTACACGAGGGGGCAAAAAGGGTTAAGTTCTTTTTTCCCCGATGCTCAGAATGGGGCGCCTTGCGTGCCTGTCAGTTATCGAGTAGCTGACCGATGTGAAGGAGTGCAGACCCACATACCTCATGAACCAGTACCTCTCATTCCTCCAATACCTCCGCCTCATCATCGTTGGCATCATTACCCTGGTAACGGGCCATTTCTTTCATGTCAATATGCATAAATGCAACTTGTGCATCGAAGGAGAGGCGATGGGCATGCAACTGATGTGGAGCAGCTTCCAGAAAGCGCGTGACAAAAGCAATTCAATTGTTGCCAGCTCTTCTAAAAGGAATCTTTAATGCCCTTATGAAATAATATGAATCAGAATCATAACTAATCTCCCAGAGATTTATAAAAAATATTTTAAAAGCCTAGATACTTAGATCTTTAGTCATTAAATATAAATTATATAAGATTTAATAGGGTTTTGTAATTTTTAAGATTACTATAAGATTCATTATATACATTTTTAAGGTTTCTATTATAATTACTTTTGAGATTTATCTTGTTCAAATCTTAATTAATTAAATTATATTATGCTATTACTATGATATTGTAATGATACGAATATGTATTATTGCATGTGGCAAATATCATATTTAATAAAAACGTTTGTTAAACTAGTCAACATATCTTATGTTGTTACCTCATCATTATTATTGGGAAATATAATTGGGTTTCCCAGAATAGTTGCATTTATTTATTAGTAGTCACATCACTCTGGAGTCGCCTTAATACTTTTATTTACCCTTTCCCAGGGACTTTCCTTGGCATGTGGAGCGTGTAGGCGCAGGAGATGATGCCAATAAGAGGAAAGTAGGCGCACGTCAACGACTCCCATTAGCAAGTCGCTCTGGGCCGTGAAAGTGTTGTCCAGAGCCAGACCGAATCCCAATCCCAATTCCAATCCATCAGCTTCTGCTCGGGTTAAAACTCTTCGGCCCAGTTATTTTTTTGGATGAAATTGAAAAATTTGTATGTTACTTATTTTATTAGCATTTAACACTCTGTCCCATTTTGCAGATGAGAGAGCGAAAAGCGAAAGGAGCAGAACTGGGGACATGCAATCCGTGTGGCATGCCATCCCCATCTCCATCTCCATGTCCACTTCATTGTAACTTGCTGTTCCCATTCCACAAGATCTCCGACGTGGGTGGCCTGGCTCCAAATGGAATCCTGGCCTCGTCCTGTGTGGCATTTTGGCAATTGTCAAATTGAAAATTCATTAAAGGCAAATTAAATATGCAAATGCAGAAGGAAGAAGTCGAGGAGGAGGAAATCGTTACCATTGTTGGCCGCTGTTTGACTTGGCTCTGCAAATATTGACCACCGATTGGAGAGGTGGAAAAAATGGGAAATATCATATGTACATATGCTCCTCGGCAGCGATAAAAAGTCAAGTGGAAATCAAAGCAAATACGACGGCTTCGAATGGAGGCAAACACTGGACGGGATTGAATTGGTCCATGGGAGCCGTTCAAAATTGTTTAAACAAATATCGCATAAATTGCACATTGTTCGGAGTAGCCGGCAAATTGGTTCGGGCATGGGTTAATTCCCATGAAAATTAAAACTAGATTATACACACATCCATCGCGTCCAAGTCCTTTGCGACGAGTCCTTGCAGCGCCCACTGTGTCATTGTTTGGGCACGCCCTCACCTCCTGTTGAGCCGGTGCTTTGTCATAGATTGCCCACTGATGGTTATCATCCGCATCGAGTTGAGGGATGGCAGATCAGCTCAGTGCTCCTTATAGTATTTGTGAATAGATTGGATCGGGGCATGTCAGAGCGATTTTTGTCGCCGACTTTGATGCGGCAATTCGAACACGGTCGTTTTGTTTTGCCAACATCGGTGGCGATCAATATCTGAGCTGATCTTTCGCAACTGACTGGCGCCAGAAGTGATCCTTTATCCCTTATCGAAACAAGACAAATTCGCTACACATATTTCAGAATGATAAGTTAAGGACAAAATTTACAATGTTCATATAGATTGGCTCCATAAATTTAAGACTGTACTGTATATGCATTTTAATTTTGTGTTAACTCGAATTACATTTTAAAGTGTTACTTATCTAAAATAATATTTTTATAAGTAAGTGCATTTTAAAACTTTATCAATGAGTTTTTTTAATTATTCTTATAATCTTCTGTTTATATTTGTTATTTAAATTTCATCTCACTAATTATAACTCATGTACCACTCATTGTCTCATTGACAAATTGCTCCCTAATTGGACAAATCCAGGTCATGTTTGAGCCTGAAAACAGATTCGATTTTATTAAAAGAAGCCCCAAAAACTTGCCGGCATTAACGTGGCTATCAAACATTAATTTCATGGTGCATATTGCATCCTTATTTGGTGGCTCTACCCTCGTTTCCGAGTCGGAAGTGGGCATCATAACCGATCGACAAATTGTGATTGCTATTGTTGTGAGAGAGGATAGGGTCCCAGTCCCACGAAACCCTATCCCAGATCACGGCCAAGTGATCAATTCAAATTTGAAACACTGCTGGAACAAAGAAAAACAGATGAAAACTACGCAATCACTTGAGAAAAATCAAAAAGGCTCTGAAGGACCTCGGCTGCGCTGCTCTTGGCTCCTTGGCTCCTTCGATTCTCGGGTTCTTGGCCATGGTCGTAACCATAACAGGTGGCACGGAAGCCGCACAAAATAAAAATGATTAAAGCAATAAAAAAGAAACGAAAACGAAACTCACACACCAAAAAGACGGAGAAAAGGCCGCGGCAGCAATAACAACAATTTTTAATAAGATTTTCAAAATTTTTAAACAACACTGTCGATGTCTAGGAGAGATGCTGTCGCCTCCTGTTGCCCAACCACTTCCGAGTCCGATCCCGATCCTTGGGCGTCTCCCGACAGCGGGTCAAGTGTGAGAACATTTTGCGGAAGGAAGTGGCTAGGATGAAAAATGATTGAGAAAGCGAAGGCGAGGGGCTTAAGATGACTATACCTGCAACACCACGTGGTTAAGATTCACTTTCGAGTGCGCGAGTGACTCACTCTCAGGATTGCACACAGATTTAATGCATGCACAATGAAAAAATGTTAGGAGCATAGGTCCGAGGTAATTTTATTATACACCAAAAAATAAAATGAATCTTAATAGTGATCCTTTAGAACTTTATTACGGTTATCTAACCGAACAAATTTAAAAATAGGAGAAATACTTATTGACATATTACAAAAAAAGATGTATATAATCGTTATCTCTAGTCTTTTCCTTTATTCCTTTATAATTGAATATATTGTATTTAGGAATGTAACTAAATTAGAAATATTATTGTTTTAATATTTGCATTACTACAGCTGAAATACTGATATGTTTCTGACAGAAAGTGATAAAGTTCGATTAGGTTTGATTAGATCGTACATGATAGGAACATATAGTCTGACCACCGACTCAGTGGTCTTTCAGTAATCTGTGAAGACTTTAAATGTTGAATTGAGTTTACATATGTCCTCAAAAACCATTTTTAATTTTGGTGTATTTTTAAAAGCACTTAGGAATGTTTGAGAAAGATATTGGATTAAATTAGAGTTGCTAACACCTTAAAGAATATTTTTTCTGTGTGAAATGGCTGAAGCTCTGAATGGTTCTGAAATTACCCAGGAATTCTCGTAGCGTAATTGAGCATCTAATTTGCGGCGGCAGGCGGCAAAGCAGCAATTGCGGGAACCTCTCGGCATTCCGGTCACGATCCCGCTCTAGTTGCACTCCATGAATGGAGGAGGCCACAATGGGCCGTCTGGAAAGTGTTTCCCTGAAAACCAGCCCAAGGAGCACCTCGAAACGGAGAAACCCGCCGCCCATTCAGACCTCTCGGCCACTCGAGCGCGAAACAATTAACAAGTTCGCGTAGCAATACACAACAATTGCCATATTGTTGCACTTAAGATTTGTTCGCCGCGAAAAAGGAGAGAGTGCCGGAGGGCCCAGCGAATTCCTTTGAATTCAACCCCGACCGGGACGCTACTGATACCGATACTGACCTCCGGGAGGAGGGGATCCGAACTGCCGACCCGATCGGAGGCCACTCGCCGATCGCTGAAAGAAAACGAAAATTTATAATAATGAGAGCCGGTGGCGGGTGGGGGAATATAAAATGTAAACTAAAGATACTATTTATATGCATTATTTCGGCTGAAAAGGAAGTACCAAATTACATTTAATTAGGCGAAACAGCGAAATTCGCGTACCGTACGCGAATCGCAGATATAAATGGAGTGGGATCAGGAGCAGGAGTGGATGGCCAGTCAGAAGTCAGACCGATTACCACCGAAATCCGAGTCCCTGGAGCCCTCGACTAGCGACTGCCTTTGGGTGAAATTCGCACGTTTAACCTTTAGGCAAACAAAATTAACAGAACAGCAAAGAACAGCAAGAGTGCACTGGAGAAAACGATGTCTATGTTTGAAGGGATATATATATATATATATATTTCTAAAAGGCTTTCACAGAGATTTATTTTCTTTTAGTTCATGGCAATCTTATGTTACTTAGCCATTGATCCTTAAAACCTAATTGATCTTATATTATACATTTTCGAAAAAGATATTGAAAAGATATTCTTAAAATATATTATGATTCAAAAAGGAATATGTTCTTTAAGACCAAAAATATCTATACTAACCCAAATGATAACTTATGTTATTTCCAAATACCTTACCATAGTTTCTTTCGGTGCATGAGCCGCAACGATCAGCAATCGAAAACTGCGAACCTGTTGAACCCAAATGCAATTTTCATATCACTTTGATTGCTGCCCAGGATGACACGCGTGCGCCGGCTAGAGAGATGAGATAAGCTGCCGATGATCAGGGCCCGAGAGTCTGGATGAAGATGAACCGAAATTAGGGTAACAACCGAGGGGATGCGAGCCCGAAAAAAGCGAAACTTTCAAACGGTTTCAAGGATTTCGGCCCTCGTCTTCCTTTTTGCTTTTTTTTTTACTTAATTCGGCGGAGGTCAGTTTATGATAATTCCCATTTCCCATAGGTGCCATTGCCACATTTGGCACCTCACCTCGCACCGTCGTCTGTCTGGTGTAAAACTGAAAACACTTGGCCGGCAGTCAAGTAGCCCGGACAAAAGAAATCGAAATTAAACACAAACAAATCCCAGGACGGTCAGTGTGAGAAATGACTTTCTAGGAAGGATCCTCCAGCAGCACAAGCAACAGCAACAGCAACAGCAATGCGATCCCAATCCCAATCCCCCAATGCAGTAGTGCGACTGTCAACAAACCCCGATCGTGGGTAATTGATATGTTTTACCTTGTTTTGGGTAGTGTAAAAAGTGAAATGTAAATCGTAACTGATATCGATGGCCCGGGGGCAATTTCTCAACATCAGCCAGTGAAATTGAAAAATTGACCATCAGATAAGTGACTACTGTCTGGCGGAATCTGTACAGGCATTTGGCTAGTGTTTTATAATTTAAAAATTTAATTCTGAGATAGCGAGAGTTCGGAGCGCTGACAGTTTCTTGATCATTGGGGGAGGTCTCGACGCTAAGGTGACAATTGCATTTTATGAAAATTGATATTTTAAACCGCAAATGTCACTTGTTGTTTTCTGAAGTGACCACACAGGAGCTATGACGAAGTCTAGTCAGGTAGCTGAGGAGAAATTCCCAGCAAATTACCCGAATGATCAATGATCCTGGCAGAAAGTCCTTTGGTCCTTGCCATTTTCAGCAGGAAGAGGAGTTCTGGATAATTGGAACTAGAGCAAAATGTGTGAAAATCTATGAGCAGGATAATTAGGCTAATGTTTTTTCGGCGGGAACAAAGGCTCAACGTGAGTCAAGAAATTCTTTAAATTAACTCGAAGAGAGTTGGAAGTACAGAACACAAATAAAACTCATAATTAGCATAATTACAAGCGATCGAACAGACGCCAGGACAAAATCCCAGACGGCTTTCGATTTCTGAATCTCAGCTCGATGATCGCTCTATTTCGATTTCCAGGAATTATTTCGTGGAATTATTTGATAAATTGACCAGAAACTCGTGTCTGACTTAACGCCCTCGCAGAAGTGAAAGATGAAGGCCAGAAGGGGTTAATTACCTTGGGCTCGTCCTCAAGGAAACGGGGATAATTTCTCTGTCCCTGTTCTACCACGTGTCTTATGTATATCTATTCATCGGAGTGAGTCGGGAGAACAACTTTAATTGCCCCAATTCAAAAGGGGATGCGTTGGCGTTGACCACAATCCTTCGCCTGGCCTGTTTGCACTGCATTCACATGCCCATACATTTGATAAAGATATACACATCGATGCAGGGGCACAAATATAAACAATAATCAATCTCTTCAAGGGTTGGGCAAACAAAAAAAAATAAAAACACACAAAGAACCCAGCAAGGACATGCTGATGAGAACGGCGGGAGCGAGCTAGGATTTGAAGGCGTTCTTGAATTGATTATTCCTTTGGGTACAAAAGAAATTAAATATGAAAGGAGTCCTCTAATTTAATACATATTTATGAGGGAAATAGATCAATGCCAATGCGATCTCTATCCTTACAGTGACCTCTTACTCTTTCACTTTGCTGTTCAGGGTTATTGTTAGTGGGGATATTCAATCAATTGAATTGTTTTTCAGATTTCACAATAACTATGATACAGATTTTGTATTTCAACAAACAGTATCTTGAACTGCATTTTCTAATTCCTGATAATTTGTATTTAACTTTGAAAACACAATAAATTTATAGATTATTAAAGATCGCTTAAATTCCATCATTAAATTTAAAATTTAAATTCTATAACGTAAAAGCAATTAAGCAGAAAATAATTTAGCTGATAATTCAATTTTAAATAAATAATATCAGATTCTGCTGACCATCTACAATCCCTTACAATAGGGCTTACACTTACACTTAACATTACAAGTTTTATAACGTGCGAGGACTTTGGTCCATAATTAAGTTTAACTACTTTCAATACGTTTTTAAGGCCACATTTTTTGACGCCGCTGAGCAGCCATAATGCTTTAACTGGAGCCACATTCTCGGCCTAACTGTTCTGCGTTTTTTGCCTTCACTTGGCCACAAGTTAATTTTTAAACGCTTCATTAACTTTTGGCCACACGCGTTCCAAACTTTTCCTCTTTTCGTTCCCCTTTCGGGACTCGGCTCGAGTTCGTCTGACGCGCGTCTGCCAAGGCGGTCGGTCGATTAGCCTGTTGGTCCGGTCCAAACACCTCGTCCTCTACTCCCCGCCACGATTCCCCCCGCTGTCGTCCTGCCAATTTGTTGACGAAATGAAACGAAAAAAGCGAACGCTTTTTACTTCCGATTTTTTTTATTGGCCGGCATCAATATTTTGGAAATGCATCGTGTAGGCGACAGATGGCACACGCTTTTTTCGGATGATTTGGAATCCATACAAGCAGCCGAACAACAAACAGTGTGTGTGGCTACTTTTTTGTGGCCCTCGTGGGTGGGTGTAATAGAAGTGCGAGTGAAAGCGACGGCAGCTGGTGTTTGAGATGCAGGGGCAAGTGTCAAGGCTGTGTAAACATCTTTTTTAATGCTTCGTTACCATGCACATTGTTTGAATTTCGATAATGCGGCGCCAACATCATCCGATTGCTTGCCGATAATTAGAATTTTTTGCTGGCAATGCTCCACCCAAGGCTGGCGTTGCCACCTTTTCTGATTGAAACGGGTACACTTTAAACGAACGACATGGTCACATTACGGCGCACATGTTTTTGTTGACAAAATCGACATGTCTCGCAAAAAATGGACTTCCCTGGACAAACCCCCGCTCTCGGATGCAGTGCTTCAGGTGGTGCAGAGCTTTGGCTTTCAGCAGATGACGCCCGTTCAGACGGCAGCTATTCCGCTGCTCCTGGCCCGGAAAGATGTATCCGCAGAGGCGGTGACGGGAAGTGGGAAAACGCTGGCGTTCCTCGTGCCTTTGCTGGAAATCCTTCAAAGACGACACAAGGAGACACCCTGGGGCCCTAAGGAGATCGGAGCACTCATTATTTCGCCCACCAGGGAACTGGCCCGACAGATATCCGAAGTGCTGGCTCAATTTCTGGAACACGAAGACCTGGAACACCTGAATCAACAGTTGATTGTGGGTGGCAATAGCATAGAGGAAGATATAGACACACTGCGAAAGGAGACGCCCTGCATACTGGTGTGCACGCCCGGACGGTTGGAGGATCTCTTCCAGCGCAAAGGAGATGATCTAAATCTGGCTGCCCGGGTTAAAAGCCTGGAGTTTTTGGTCCTAGACGAAGCCGATCGCCTACTGGATTTGGGATTCAAGACCAGTGTAAATAACATACTTGGCTACCTCCCCAGGCAGCGACGAACTGGACTCTTCTCCGCCACCCAGACCACCGAGGTTACGGACCTAATCCGTGCTGGATTGCGAAATCCTGTACTAGTGTCGGTCAAAGAGAAGGCGTCTGTTAACACGCCCGCCCGCCTGCAGAACTTCTACAGGATTGTCGAGCCAGAACAAAAGTTCCTTGCCCTGCTGGAGTTTCTCAGTTCGCCTGCCACACGGACTGGAAAGGTAATGGTCTTCTTTCCCACCTGTGCCTGCGTAGAGTACTGGGCGGAAGCCCTGCCGCCGCTTCTGTCCAAACGCACAGTGCTGGGAATTCACGGAAAGATGAAGAACAAGCGAGCCAACGTCGTGGAAAAGTTCCGCAACGAACCGCAGGCAGTACTCCTCTGCACGGATGTCCTGGCCCGTGGCTTGGACGTGCCCGAGATCGAGTGGGTGGTGCAATGGGATCCGCCCTCAACTGCCTCCAGCTTTGTGCATCGCGTTGGACGTACTGCTCGACAAGGTAACGAAGGCAACGCTTTGGTGTTTCTCCTGCCCACCGAGGATGCCTATATTCACTTTCTGAAGATCAACCAAAAAGTGGAGCTGAATGAACTGCCCTCGGAAGCGGAGTATGTTTCTGAAAAAAAAGAACTGACAGCTGTTTTGCATCAACTGCATCGGCTGCAGGCGGCGGACAAGGGAGTATATGATAAAGGAATGCGAGCTTTTGTTTCCCATGTGAGGGCGTACACGAAACACGAATGCAGTGCTATACTCAGGCTAAAAGATCTGGATCTGGGTAAGATGGCCACTGCCTACGGTCTGCTGCAACTTCCTCGCATGCCGGAACTGAAGAACTACAAGGAAGGCGGCTACGTGGCTCCCACTTTTGATGTGGATATCACGAAGCTTACCTACAAGAACGCCCAAAAGGAGCAAGTGCGACAGAAAAAAATGCAAACATACGAGGAAACAGGCAGTTGGCCGGGTCAAAAACAGCACAAGAAGCGCGTCGAGTCCTGGGATCAGACTAAGAAGGCCAAATTGGATACTAAGTCCAAGAAGGAACTGCGGAAGGCAAAGAAGCAGCGAAAGAAAGCGGCGGAGGCAGAGGCCGGTGCGTCGGGATCTGGAAAGGGAAAGAAGAGGCAGCAGTTCAGCCAGGAGGATCTCGATGAACTGGCCAGCGATATTCGGCTCTTTAAGCGACTAAAAAAAAACAAAATCAGCGAGGAGGAATTCGACAAGGCCATGGGAATCGAGGGCGATAATGAATGACCTGAATTTTTATGTACAATTAAAAATTTGTTAAGAAAATAATTTGCATTTTACACTTTTTATAAAAAGAACAATTTAATTGAGGTTTTATAAAAATACAACTTTATTAGATCGAAAATGGGGGTAACAAAACATAGATGTGAGCATTACAACTAAATGAGATGGAATAGGAAACTGAAACTTAAGCTGTGTTGCCATCGACAACAATTTGGAGGATGATCCGCCGCTTGGGATCGTAAGAGAAGCCGTTGGTACGGAACAGATCAGACTCGTAAAAGGGTTTCAGATTCACGATATCCAGTTGCTTCGCACGCTCGATCAGATCCCGCTCCATGATCTCCACGTGCGTGGCGCCCGGTCCATCCTTGCAGCGGATGTAAGCGAGCTGATCCAGCGTCAACTGACGCAGGATAAAGAAAAGCAGCTCGGAATGGTCCTTCTGGAAGGCCAAATACTTTTGGAATGTGCTGCGCATCTTCTTCATTACGCTGAACTTCTGCGCCTCGATGAAGCTCTCCAGCATCATGCGAATGGCCATGCTGACATCTGCCTCCATCACACTCTCGCGCAAATGCATGCGGGCATGAGCCTCGGACATACGGATCACGCTCTCAATATGACGCACGGTAATGGGCAGCGAACCGGTGGCATAGGATTCCTGGCGCAGCTGGGCGTACATCTTGGCGATCTTGTCCTCGTCGATGTTCTGCATAAAATGAATTGAAAAAATGCATTTAAAATGAGATTCAAAATTAAAAAAATCTGTTCATCGCCTAACCGTTAGCTTGGGCCGTATATTCTCCTTGGCATAGACGATGTATTGTCGCAGCAGATCCTGAGGGATCTCATCCACGGTCTTTAGCTGTGGCTCCTCCAGCTCAGGCTGCTCCTCTTCACTGGGATGATGCTTCATGTGTGAGTGCACCACGAATTTGGCCAACTGCTGATCCTGCATGGGATCAAACTCATCCTTGACCACGCACAGGACATCGAAACGGGACAAGATGGGCTCCGAGAGATTAACGTTTTCTGAGAAAGTCATTGAGGGATCGTAGCGTCCGCCTATGGGATTGGCAGCAGCAATGACGGTGCAACGAGCCTGAAGCGAGGTAACAATACCAGCCTTGGAAATGGAAATGGACTGCTGCTCCATGGCCTCGTGAATGGAGGTACGATCCTGGTCGTTCATTTTGTCGAATTCATCGATGAGGCAGACTCCCTGATCAGCCAGGACCAGGGCACCCGCCTCCAATGTCCACTCCCGGGAAACTGGATTCCGACGCACATAGGCCGTAAGACCCACAGCACTTGCTCCTTGTCCAGTGGTAAAAACTGCTCGGGGCGCAACCTTTTCGATGTATTTGAGGAACTGCGACTTTGCAGTGCCAGGATCTCCGCAGATTAGCAGGTTAATATCACCCCTAACCTTGTGCTTCTCACCGGGATTCTTGGACTCGCCACCGAAGAGAGCTAAGGCTAGAGCCCGCTTAATATAATCGTGACCGTAAATAGAAGGCGCCATGGAGGCCACAACTCGCTCCACGATACGCGGATCCTTGCTCAGTTTCTGAATGGTGGCTATGTCCTCGTCCGTGAGCGACTGCACCACCTGCTTGGAATCCTTCACAACTACATGATTGGCAATGATCACGGTGGCAAAAACTGGGAATCCTTGATCTGTGTTCAGGGAACCATCGTAGTTGTTGGTGTATATCCCAGTGACCTCCAGCTCATCGCCTGGTTTGCATTGATCGCACAAATCGGCCAGTAGAATGACATCCTTGCTGCGCGGTATGCGTCCAGCTGGAATCCTTCCCGGCGACTCCTGTAGTGTGATCTTCTGGTAGTTGCGGTACAACGTCTGCTCCATGTTGATGGAGAAGGGACCGGTGCTCTGGCACTCAGGGCAGGAACCAGGCTTGATCTCCGTGTTCTGCGACTGGACAAAAGGACCAAGGACGTAGCCGCACTTTACACAGTCGTATTTGATCACTGATAGCTGAGGCAGAACACCCGTAGTGGCCGTGACTACACCTAAAGTCCGAACTAACTGATTCAGATGGAGTTTCCTGAATGTGCGCAGCTCTTCGATAAGCGGCAGTTCCGAGATTCGAACGTGAATCTCGGTGGTCACACGTTCGTAGGTGGGAAAGATGGAGAGCACCATGTCCTTGGCCACCTTGTCGAAGATCTCAAGCATCTGGAAGGGGGCCTCAGGCAGGAAGTAGGCAAGCACGTGCTCCTTGTTGGCCAGATCCGTGTAGGAGACCACAAACGAGGACATGTTCTGCTCGCACATCCGCCGGATGCGATCACGATAGGTGTAGGCGCCCCTCTCGTCCACAAAAGTCCTCAGGAAAGACTGGAAGCGATTGGCGATCTCCGTACGTGGTCCCAACATACTGACCCACTCCTTGGTCGAGTGTCCCTTGGTGTCCTCAAGATTTTCGATTGACTCCACCATCTCGGTGTCCTCCACCTCCCCGACGGCTGCCTTCTCGCCTGCCCTCCTCTTCGCCCGGGGTCCGACATCGTCCTCGTCATCGGATTGACCGAATCCCAGCTCACGATCATCTCGATGGATTCCGGCGGCCCGGTCGCGTCGCCGCATCTCCGACTCGGCGGCAAAGCGATCGCCTTGGGACATCTCTGAGAAGTCATCCTCGTCGTCCAGCATCGCCGGGTCGTAGTGATCCAGCTCAGGCATGGGACGGTAGTCATTCTCCATGTTGTCCCCGAACAGCTCCTCGCCATCCTCCTCCTCGACCTCATCGCGCACCGTCTGATCCCCCAGGATCTCGTCCTCGTTTTCAAATGGTTCGAAATCGCCCACCGGCGACGTCATTGCCGCTCGGAGATCACGTCGTTCGACGGCATCACTGGGCGTATTTGGTGGCGGTGAACTGGGGTTGTCCATGTCCTGCGTCTGTTTTCCTTGGCGTTTGTTTGGAATCTGTTTCTTTTTTTGCGCTACTGATCTTGTTGTGACGACGCGTGCGAAATGCGCGGGAAAGAGTGCTGCAAAATTCAATGCATATATGTAGTGTTTGAAAAGGCTGTTCAGGTACAGTAAGCATTGGCTAATGATTGCAAATTTTTCTAACATGGACTTTAAAAATCTATTTGCTTATACACATTTTAATCAGCTTAAGAGCCTTATTTATGAACAAGTGACTTCATAAAATCCATCCACTTTATAGTTTTTATATGCTAAAATAAATATCGTTTGGTTAACAGCAAAATCATAAAAATAGTAACTTGTTTTAAACTCACTGAAACCATATAATATTAAAGAAATTAACATGGAAAGTTTTAATATGTTGTGGTATTCCAAGTTTTGTACATTTTTGAAAACATTTTATTATAATATTGAAAAATATGAGCCACTCCCAAAAAGTGCTCAAATATAATAAGTTGATCTATAAAAAATAACGATTATAATCCAAATACCTTTCTTGATCTAAGATCTAATATTTCTGAATTTATTTATATATTTATCTGTTTTCATTCTAGAGCGACAGGCATGCTGGATATGTATATTATAATTCAAATGAGTGATTTAAATTTGTAACTCTTTTAAGTCATACAAATTTTGTACCTGTGTTTTGATTCAAGTAACCGAGAATACGAACTAGTCATTGTTGCAGGTTATATGGGACATTATTTATTATTAACCAATGCTGACTGTACAGCCCTGGAATGCAGCCCTGAGTTAAACCCAAACTGAACTAGTTCCGCCCATTACTGATTCAAAAATTCCGAAGCAGCCCTTCCCGCCTCTTCTGGCATTAGTTTGCTCCCAGCCCTCGACGCACGAATAAGATTTAATTGCGAAATTGGCAAATTATTTGTTAGCAATCAAAATGGTCCTGGCAACTTTATCCGCGGGAGTTATTGCTGTAAGTATGCCAGCCTGAAGTTAAAGATTTCGTTTAGTAACATATTAAATTACGCAGCGCATTATGCATGGGGAGGTTGTCGATAAGCCGGTGCTCCAGATCCTGGCGATCAAGAAGATCAACAGCACTGCGGACGCGGAGCGCTATCGCATCCTCATCTCCGACGGCAAGTACTTTAACAGCTATGCGATGCTGGCCAGCCAGCTGAACGTAATGCAGCACAATGGAGAGCTGGACGAGTTCACCATCGTGCAGCTGGACAAGTATGTGACCTCCATGGTGGGCAAGGACGGTGCTGGCAAGTGAGTAGCTGCTTATACCACTTTTCGACATTATAATATCTCAAACCTCCTTATTAGGCGCGTCCTTATCATATCCGAATTGACTGTTCTTAATCCCGGTGCCGAGGTGAAAGCCAAAATTGGCGAACCCGTAACATACGAGAATGCCGCCAAGCAGGACTTGGCGCCCAAGGCAGCAAATCCTGCCTCTCAGCCCCTTGCCAAAAAGGAACCAGTCCGGAACAACAACAATAATAATAATGTAACAATGAATTCGTCGATTAATAGTGGAATGACCCATCCGATTTCCAGCCTGAGTCCCTACCAAAACAAGTGGGTGATTAAGGCGCGCGTGACCTCCAAGTCCAGTATTCGCACTTGGAACAATGCCCGCGGCGAAGGCAAGCTCTTTAGCATGGATCTGATGGACGAATCAGGCGAAATCCGTGCCACGGCTTTTAAGGAGCAGTGCGATAAGTTCTTCGACCTCATCCAAGTAGACAGTGTCTATTATATCTCCAAGTGCCAGTTAAAACCGGCCAACAAACAATACTCTACGCTAAACAATGCCTACGAGATGACCTTTTCCGGCGAAACTGTTGTCCAGTTGTGCGAGGATGCTGACGACGATCCCATTCCGGAAATTAAGTATAATCTTATTCCTATTTCCGAGGTGTCCGGGATGGAGAACAAGGCAGCGGTGGATACTATTGGCATTTGCAAGGAGGTTGGCGAGCTGCAGTCATTCGTGGCTCGCACTACAAACAAGGAGTTTACGAAGCGGGACATCACTCTGGTTGACATGAGTAACTCGGCCATTAGTCTGACATTGTGGGGCGATGAAGCCGTCAACTTTGACGGCCATGTGCAACCTGTGATCCTGGTCAAGGGAACGCGTATCAACGAGTTCAATGGCGGCAAGTCCCTCAGCCTCGGCGGTGGTTCCATTATGAAGATCAACCCAGACATCCCCGAAGCCCACAAGCTGCGCGGCTGGTTCGATAACGGAGGTGGTGACAATGTCGCCAACATGGTCTCGGCCCGAACGGGGGGAGGCAACTTCTCCACCGACTGGATGACTCTGAAGGATGCGCGTGCTCGCAACCTTGGCAGTGGCGATAAGCCGGATTACTTCCAGTGCAAGGCGGTGGTGCACATCGTCAAGCAGGAGAATTCTTTCTACCGCGCCTGCCCTCAGAGTGACTGCAACAAAAAGGTTGTTGACGAGGGCAACGATCAGTACCGCTGCGAGAAATGCAACGCTCTTTATCCTAACTTCAAATACCGCCTGCTTATTAACGTGAGTGTGCCCAGAAAATGGGAGAACTAAAACTAATTAATATTGTTTCTATCACATCAAATATTAATTTAAGATCCTTTATTACTATATTATTTTTCTTAACTAACATATTTTTTTTTTGTAGATGAGCATCGGCGACTGGACTTCAAACCGCTGGGTCAGTAGCTTTAACGAGGTTGGCGAGCAGCTTCTCGGACACACTTCGCAGGAAGTTGGCGAGGCCCTTGAGAACGATCCAGCCAAGGCCGAGCAGATTTTCTCAGCCCTCAACTTCACTTCGCACATCTTCAAGCTGCGCTGCAAGAACGAGGTTTTCGGCGACATGACCCGCAACAAGCTCACTGTGCAGTCTGTGGCCCCCATCAATCACAAGGAATACAACAAACACTTGCTTAAGGAGCTCCAGGAGCTTACCGGGATTGGCTCCTCAAACTAATTTCCATGCGCAGCGCACTTATACCATAAACTAAAAAGATAAGCTATCCATATATTCATTTAATTAACTAAGTTATTTCAAAATATTGTGAATTTGGTCTCGATCAGCTACATTTTCGTTCTACTTCGATTTATACAAGCTCTTTAAGGCAGATTTGTATTGGTTGAATAGCAAAAATTAGAACATGATATTACCGACCACCCTTTTATTAAAATAAATGTCTAAGTATCCAAGGAATTTAAAAACTCGTTTTTTCTTAGCTTGTCAAAGTTTTTTAAATGCATCAAGCAGAAGACCATGGGGAATTCGACTTATTATTTTTTTGTTATTAAACTGCAAATGTACCTTGCACTACCGAAACCGAAAATGTTTTTCCAGCAGCCAAAGCAACCTGCAGTTTTGGTTAAGTCACTGTATATAAATGAGTTAATAATGCTTAAAATAGATTAGCGATATTTCTATGTATTTGTTTGTGTATATACGCAATCTTTTTATGAGAGTAAAGCTTTCTAAGCTTTGTCTGTGCAAATGTTTGTAAAGCCGGATCAGTTAGATACAAACCTCGAACCGAAGCGCATTTAAAACATTTTTCGTATGTAGCATATTCATAAGACGGCAGATAACTTTCCGACTGGGCTGGCTATTTGCGCTTTTCTGCATCGCGAAAAAAAGCTTTAATTCCCGCCAACGTTGTAGTGTCCAATCATTTTTCGCGCATTGATAAGAATTATTATCGCTTTTGTGTACTTTTTGGTGTTTTAAATTACGGAATATAAACATTTCATTGCAGATATGGTTTGCTAGCCGTTGCACTAAGTACAACAAGTAACTGCACTCAACAAATTTTTTATTTTCATCAATACGAAAAATTGAGTTTTGGGCGTAACTCGCCTAAAAATGAATCAAACTACAATTACTGTAAGTAAATATTTGCAGATTAACAAAAGACTTATAAATGTGATTTATTATTAATTGGATTTTTTCGATTTGTAACATTTTGGTTGCCAAGGGCACTCTTATCAACAATCGTTTAAGTCTGAAACGGAAACGCCTTGTACTAATTATAAAACTTTTTGGGAATTCTCAGCCTATTTCCGGTTTGTCATCAACGCAGCTCGATAATCCAACCATAAGAGCTTGTGTTGGGTGGAAGTCTAATATAACACCCTGGCGTACTGGCGATAAAGTTGGAACAATCTTCCTCATGAACTTGTTAGATGAATCTGGTGAAATTACTGGCGTTGTGTTTGATGATCTATGCAATACGTTCTACGGCCAGATTCGAGAAGGCAGCGTTTGCCTTTTTACCAATTTTGATGTGACGCTGGCGAACGAAAGGTATAAATTGTTGAAAAACCCCATTCAGATTTCGTTCATTGAGGAGACCGTTGTACAACTGGAGGAGGAGCTTTGCAATACGCCCTTCCCAAAATATAACTTCCTACCACTCTCCGAGGTTTATAAAACACCTGATGGGGAGCCAGTCGATGCAATTGGCATCTGCATCGAGGTGGCTGACGTTGAAGAACGAGGTGGTCATATAATTCGAGAAATTTGGCTTTTGGACGCTGACGAAGAGGGAGTCATGTTAAACCTGTGGGAAAATGAGGCCACAAGCTTTAGTGGTGAACCTGGGGATGTGATCGTGGTCAAAGGAGCACGAGTCAAGGAGCATGACAATCAAAAAAAACTGAACGCCGATTGGTATACTATGGTGCAGATTAATCCTGAAACTCCAGACGCCATTTCAATGCTGGAATGGTACGAAAATATGTAATATTTGATATGAAATTCTTCAATATAATAATATACATAATAGACAATGTTTCTTAAATAGTTGCTTGTAAAATATATTAATATTACATTTTGAGCCCGGTACCCTGTGCCTGTTTTATAATTTTCATTTGATTAAATAAAATTTAATTGGATCACTGAACTGAAACGGTTGTCTTTATTAGCTTATAGTTTCAGCCAATAGCTTTGCCTGACCAAAAGTTTACATCCAAAGGAATAACACTTTTCAGCTGTAACTCTCCATAACTTTCTCACATATGTACATCCGATTTCAAAGTGGCATACTTCTAAATGGTTGTGATTTAATTCTTAAAAAACCTTTGTATTCATCTCGGTTTTTATTTTTGGGTCGATTTTTCGTCATTTTCGTAATGTAACCTCTTTCCAATTTTTCGGTAAATGGCTTTGCCGAAAAGTGACCAAAAACCTGCACTTCTAAGATCACGACTTTTCTTACAGACATCCGATTTTGAAGTGGCACACTTTAAAATGATTATGGTTTAATTCTCAAAAAATCTGCATTCAAATCTCGGTTTGTAATTTTTGGTCGATTTTTCGTCATTTTAATGGTGTTACCCCTTTCCAAATATTCGAAAAATGGCTTTGCAGAAAAGTGACCTAAAACCTGCACTGCTAAGCCCATAACTTTTCTTACAGACATCCAATTTTGAAGTGGCATACTTTAAAATGATTGTGGTTTAATTCCCTAAAAATCTGCATTCAGATCTCGGTTTGTAATTTTTGGTCGATTTTTCGTCATTTTAATGGTGTTACCCCTTTCCAAATTTTCGAAAAAGGGCTTTGCCAAAAAGTGACCTAAAACCTGTACTTCTAAGATCATAACTTTTCTTACAGACATCCGATTTCAAAGTGGCTTACTTCTAAATGATTGTAGTTTAATTCTTTAAAAACCTGAAGCTGATAAATTTGATATTTTCTGCTTATATTAACTTGGTCAATGGCCCAAGACTTATAATAATTAGTGTATACCAAAAACAAATATGTTGAAACAAACGATTTTTAATTGTCGAGAAATACTTGTACAATAAATAAATATAGATAAACGTAATAAAATTAACTGCCCAAACCAAATAGCACTTGGAGTTGGGGCTTAACTAGAGATTATCCACCTAAGGGGCTAGGAAGAGACTACATCTAAGGGTCGCTCCGGAGCAGAAGAGCTGCCACAGGAAGTGATAAGACTAAACAGAGAAAAAATATCATAACAATATCAGTTCCCTAGGGTCCACTATTTTCTGGTCAAAATAATCTTAATCATATCATGAGAATATCTAGTATCTATTCGATATGTTAGCTTACTGATATGAAGAAAATTATTTTGATATTTTATAAAATAATTTTGAAGCGCCCCAATAAGCGCCTAATGTATCTGAATAAAATCCGAATCGGTGACCAATTTCGGGGATATTTTTTTCTCTGCGAATTTAGTGATGAGACTATAGAAAACCGTTGACTTGAGCAATGGATTTGACTACGTACGGCTAACCGACCAGAGACGCTCGATCGTGAACTCTTAACCTAGATCTCAGATAGCGTTGGGTAGGGCCCAGATGAAGCCTAGTTGGACAGCTGCTGCTCTCCCTCCGCGGGCACCACGTGCTCATGGTCCTCCTTGGGCAGGCTGCGCTGCTCCTCCTCCGCCCGCAGCTCCGCCTTCTTGGCCTGCTCCTGTCGCCGGACCACGCCCTCCATCGACTCCCGCAGCGAGTCGATGTCCAGGGCGTTCTCGTCCTTGTCACCACCCTGCTCCTGCCGCTGGCCGCCGGCGAACTTGGAGAAGTAGGTGAGCGACTTCATCAGCTGGTAGCTCTTCGAGATGGGTATGTTCGAGTCGTAGACGCTGGTGCTGGAGCTGCAGTCCACGTAGAACCACCAGTTGCACTTCAGGATCGTCTGGTCGAAGAGGGTGTTCTCCGGACAGAGGAACGACTTCCGCACCATGCCGTCATCGGTGAGGGCGCATACATGGAAGACCTAATGGGGTAAAGAAGAAAAATATGAACATTTTACATTATAGCGTTTAAACTGGATAACTTACCATGCATCCCAGATCTGTGTCAGCATAGAGACCTGGAAAGTGCTTTTGCTTTGCACAAGAGAAACTCGTGGGTGGCAGGTCCACTTTGGATTTAAAGTTGTCGTCAAAGTTCTTGTCGTAGCCCACGGGATAGTACTCCTTGGGGGCGTTCATTACCTACGAAAATATTAAGAGGTGTTAGAAGATCATTAGAAAAAGCATATTTCATATAGCAGCTTAAAATTCTTAACTACTAAAGCTGACATTTGTGATTTTGTTATAAATGTTTAAAGAAAATTAATAGATCGATGACGTATACGCAAATACCCTAGCTACCAAACCCAACATACAACCTGTATATCCAGAAATACCCATTATTTCAATTGTCAATAACATAAGTCCAGAGCCTACTTTTGCAGTTATTCAAATCAATCCGACATAAACATTTAACCCCTCAGATATAAATCTTTCCCACGCCTTTATCGACGACAGCAGACATAAACAATATTCAGACCTTTAAACAAAGGGTCCAGCCTGAGAAACCATTCGTCAGCATAAAAGCTTTGGCCAATCCAAATTAATTAAACAAAAGATGCAGCCTAGAAACCATCCCATCAGGCCACAGTTTTGACCAATCAAAATTATCTAATCAAAGTCCACTTTCGTTGCTCGCGCGCTGTCACCGGTAGAAGCCATAGTTATAAGAATAATGCATTTTGTAAAATCATTGGGGATCTAACTTGAAAGAACTTTACCAATAAAGACTCCGCTATATAATAATAATAAAAATCGCTTTTTTTTAATATATTCCGAACCGAAAAACATAATTTATATTATAATATATTTATGCACTTTGTGATTTTGTTAGGCTTAGTTTTGTGGAGTTTAGATAAAATCAAACACAATCACAGAATTCCGAAATATTTCTTATATGATTTGGAAAATGTATAAAGATAAAAGCTAAACTCCTAGCCAAATACCCACCTTGGACACCTTGTGCTCGGCCAGGGACTTCTGGGGACGCGGCGTACTGGTTGTCGTTGTGGTCGTCGTGGTCGTGGTCCTCACTGTGGAGGTGCGCATAAACTCCTCCCGTAGTTTCGCTGCCAGTTGGGCCCGGTGCTCGGCCTTGAGCTGCTGTTCCCGCACATAGATGGCGTGCTTGATTGTGTCCACTGTAACGTTGGCAGCTGCGGCCAGTTCCTCAACGGTCACGTCCTTCAGATCGAACTTGGGCTCCTCGAACTGCAGGTAATTCGGATGACTGGCCACCGTCCGGTGCTCCTTGCCCACATTGGCGATCCGGGCGATGGACTGGGGCATCGCCTGGAACACAGGCACGGCCACCGGTTGCGACACCACCGGATTGTCCACGTGGAAGGTGCGGTTCGAGTGCTATTCGAACACGGATGTATAAATGTTATTGTAAAATAGGTTAACATTATAAAATATGTATTAAGAGTTTTATTTTAATTTGTTTAGATATAGAAATTCGATTTTAAAGGCCAATTAAAAATTATTATTCTTCTAGCCATAACATAGTCTAAATCACATCTAGAAATCTCTATGAGGAAGTTACTCACCGGCTTATCGATGGCACTTATCAGCTTGTTATTGATACTGACCCGTGGCTCCGGGGTGTCCACTGCCACCCGTCGCTCCGCAGTAGTGGGAGCCGGAACGGAGGCCTGAGTGGCGGCCAGTTGCTTCTGGGGAATGGGCCGGAAGGCGGGAACTCCCAATGGCAATGGACGAGCCTCGGTCATGAGCTGTTGCTGCTGCTGCTGCTGTTGTTGCTGCTTCTGTAGTAGCAACAATTGTTGCTTCAGTTTCAGTTGCTGTTGCAACTGCTGTTGCTGGAGTTTCTGCTGCTGTTGCTGTAGTTGCTGCTGCTGTTGCACCTGTTGCAGGTTGAAGGGCGCTGCACCGGTGGACCGTGAACTTATCCGTTTCTCGGGCAAAGGGTGTTGGACTGGTGGATTGACCTTCCGGAAAAGCATAAGATTATTCAATCAGTTCAGGTTACTTTTCTGTATACAAATTTAAAACTCCTTAATTTAGGTTACTTCTGCTTCAATTTTATAGTTTGCGATAGACATATCGCATTTTTAAAACTTGTGACATAAGATTATTTTTGCTTCCTAAAATAAAGCGACTATTCATAGATTTGAAAAGCGAAGAGTTCAAACTATTTATCACCCTTACTTCAATATCATAAAAATTGGCCCTCTTGTATATGTTTGGATATTTATTAGGACTTAGTTTGTGTGCCGGTTAAATTCTCAGGACTTAGGGGTAAGTTATCTCACCTGCTGCTGGTTGGAAGGAAGTACGCCCACCAAATCTGGCGGAGCTCCGTTCTTGTAGCTGATGGCTCGCCGGCGATCACTCTCCGTGTTGCCCAGCGACTCCGGAAAGCCCAGCTCGTCGCCCAGACTGAAACCTGCAAAAGGCAAAGGTTTTGGGTTAGGTCAGGCTCACGACGGCCCCATCAATCACTTCAATCGTGGCCGAGGGTTGGGCAATGATGTCTTAATTAATGGCTTTTGTTTTACCCTTCCCGTGGCTATTGTAAGGGTCTTATCAAAGTCTTATATCTACGCGGTTGGTATGTACACACGGCCTAGTGGAACCCATTAATAAAAGGGGTCGGTGAATACTAACCTATGTTGCTTTAAAAACATTTTTTTTATACTTATTAAAGTGTTTTAGATTTTGTCATTTTACTACAATTTAAAAACGCTAAATGGCATATGTTAAAATGAATTGAATTTTCTTTATTACCTAGATTTATTAATTAAGATGAAGGCCCCAGCAACTTATGCTTGTTAAACTGTCATTAAGATCCGATTTAATTGGTTTGAATAATATACATTTATGTAAGGAAAAAATTTATTCAGTTTTAAGTGTATTGAATGTATTTATTTTTAAAGTGGTTTTTAGCCTTGATTTGTAATTTGCATTAAATGCTATGTTTTAACACGATTTGGGAATTTGTTTTATTTAAATTTTTTAAATTATAAAAAACTTAATTTTAAATCAACTGTATATATTTTTAAAATATTCAATATCAATAAAAGCATTGGGATTATTATTAGATTTAA